GTGAGCACGCCGAGCGGTATGCTCTGGGAGTGGCTGGTCATGCCTCAGGGGCTTTCTAACGCCCCGGCAACGTTCAATCGCTTGGTCACACAACTGTTCCGACCTTTGCGTGCGTTCACACAGACGTAGTTTGACGACATCTTCGTCCACAGCCGTGCCGAGGCAGGCCAGACGGCCATGGAGGTGCATCTCCAGCACCTTCGACGTGTGTTCGAAGTCATGCGGGCGAACAAGCTGTACGCCAACATCGACAAGTGTGTGTTCGCAGCTGAGGAGATCAAGGTCCTGGGCTGCTTCGTCAGCAGCGCCGGGGTCCGGGCGGACCCGGAGAAGGTGAAAACCATCGCGGCTTGGCCGCCACCTCGGTCGCAGAAGGACCTACGACAGTGGTTGGGCCTCGCCAACTACCTGCACAAGTATAGTGCAGGCTACGCCGAGCTGGCACGGCCCTTGTCGGATCTCCTGAAGAAGGATGTCGACTGGCGCTGGGAGCGTCACCATCAAGATGCTTTTAACGGCATCAAAGCGAACTTACAGCGCGCGCCAGTCCTGGCATTGCCGGACGAGACGAAGCCTTTCAGCGTAGTCTGTGATGCGTCTGACTACGCAATTGGCTGTGCGCTATTGCAGGCCGACGATGAAGGCCGCGAACGGGTCATCTCGTTCCAGTCCAGGCAGCACAAGGCAGCCGAGCGGAACTATCCAGTCCACGACAAGGAGCTACTTGCCATGAAGTACGCTCTTGTCAAGTTCCGAGTGCACCTCCTGGGCTCGACGCCCTTTGTCGTTTATACAGACCACGCGTCCTTGCGGACTGCCGTCAACACGCCGCATCTCTCACAGCGGATGGCGCGTTGGCAGTCATTCTTCGCGGAATACAACTTCCGTGTCGAGTACAAGCCGGGCAAGTTGAACGTGCTTGCCGACGCGCTGTCGCGCCGACCCGACTACGAGCTTGCTCATATTAGTCGGGTCACGACGGATCTGTATGATCGCATCAGGCTGGGGTACCGAGACGATGCCAGTCTCGGAGCTCTTGTGCGGTTCTTGGCCGCTGGCTCGGAAGCCAAGGCCGAGTGGCTCACGCCCCGACAACGTGCAAGGCTGCACCGCTATGAGTGGGCTGACGGTTTGCTCCACTATAGGGTCGAGCCCGAGGATCCTCCCCGTATTGTCGTGCCCAACGACGAGGATCTCAAGTACGACATCCTGATGGAGGTGCACGACGCTCCATCCAGTGGCCATCTCGGCCGTGAGAAGACGTACGCGTCTGTCTCGCAGATGTTTTGGTGGCGTCACATGTACAAGTGGGTCGCCACCTACGTCCGTACGTGCGAGACGTGCCAGCGCGTGAAGCCTGCCGGTCACGCCTCGGCACCATTGCAGAGCCTGCCGGTCCCAGCGGGCTGCTGGAAGTCGATGAGTCTCGACTTCGTCTTCGGACTTCCGGCCGATGACGGTGGCAACACTGGTGTTGTTGCCTTCGTGTGCCGTCTGAGCAAGATGGTCCACTTTGCTCCAGTTTGTGACACCGTCACTGGCGACGAGGTCGCTCGCCTGTTCATGGACTGTGTCTTCCGACAGCACGGTCTGACCGAGACCATTGTCTCTGATCGAGACCCGCGGTTCACCGCTACGTTCTGGCAGACGCTGTTTCGCCTTCCCGGCACACGGCTGTCGATGTCGACGGCGGACCACCCGCAGACGGATGGCCAGACGGAGCGCGTCAATCGCGTGCTCGAGGACACGCTCCGCAGTATCTGCGCGGAGATGCCCCGCTCTTGGGCTGATCGCTTGCCCATGGTTGAGTTCGCACTCAACAATGCGGTACATGCATCGACGGGCTTTACGCCCTTTTACCTGAACGGGTTGCGCCACCCTCAGGTGCCGCTCACATTACGAGGCAGTACCGGGGCTTCGGTCCTAAGTGGGGGAGAGGCTCGGAAAACCTTTTTCTCCCAAGTCTCGGACGTGAGTCCAGCCGCCTTGCGGAAGCAACTGTCCTCGTTTGCCGAAGACAGGCTGAACATACTCAGCAGGGTGCGAGACACCATGGCGCAAGCCCAAGATAAACAGAAGGAGTACTCTGACCGAAATGGAAGAGGAAACATGAACGTGTTTAAGGTTGGGGATTTAGTTCTCCTAGATACTAGAAACCTACCGCTAAACACTGTTAGCTCGGTCGAGAGCAACAAGCTGAAGCACCGCTTCATTGGACCCTTCACGGTCCTCAGCCAGCATGGCGCGGCGTACACCATAGACTTGCCCAAGTCGATGACGACTCACCCGACGTTTTACGTGGGTCGTCTTAAGAGGTACCATGACCCTCTGGCTCTGGCTGCCCCGCAGGAAGCGGTGGGTGGCCCGGTGGAGAAGAGCGCAGCTCCTCGAAGCGCGGCGTCGGGTCGCGGTAAGGCGCCTGATACGCGCGCTGGTCGTAAGACGGCGCGGCGTACATCGGATCAGCATACGCAGGGGCCCCGTACGAGCCCTGGCCAAACTGGGCCTGATACGAGTGGGGCTGCTGCTCCGGATACGGCGCGTGGCCATGAAGCTCGGCCCGAAGGCCAGCGAGCTGGTTTCGCAGCGAGTCGTAAGACGACAGGTCGGCTCGACGATCCACACGGCCATGGAGACTGCGAGTTTCTTGATAGAGCGAGGCAACATCCTCACGGAGCCGCTCCACGGCACCAGGCTGACCAGCACGAGCGGCAGCCTCGCCACCAAGGCCGACGCCAAGCGCGATCTCGAGGACGTACACACGGTCCCGGAGAAGACGAATCTCCTCTTGCTGCAGGGCCACCACCTGACTCGGGGCCCCAGCATACGGCTGCGTCGCCTCAGGCTCGTAGCCATGGCCGTGCGAGGCCACCGCCGGCCCTCCTTGATCGTAATGGGCAGATCCACTACCACGTGGAACGAGTCGTCCGGGAGCGGCGGCTCCATGGCAAGCGCCAGCTGCTCGTGAAGTGGAGGGGTTACCCTGAGTCGGATAACTCGTGGGAGCTCGTTGAGCAGCTCCAGGCAGACTGCCCGAAGGCTGTTGCGATATGGGACGAGAAGCAGCGGCAGCTTCGTAAGTAGTCCTTGGCTTCTTGGCCGGTACCCGGGGCACGGTAGCAGACGTAGTCGCACCACGCCCACGCTCTTCACGAGCTTTGGCTCTCGCCTCTTGCTTCAGCTCGTCCATCTTCGAGTGGAGCTTGCGCTTGCTCACGGGTTGAGCGAACTCGATGCGGAGCTCGCGCACGTCCAGGATTGCGGTCAGAGTGCGATCCTCAAGGAGTTCTTTGAACTCTTGGTCGGAATACCCTTTGCGCTGGACGTAGCGCCAGAAGCGGTCTTCCACCTCGTTCCAGGTCATGTTCTCATTCGTCTTGACCCAGTGGTAACCCCACACAGGATGGAGTCCACCCTTGTCCTCCGGCTTCTTGCGAAGCGTGGTGAACTCCTTCAGTGTGAGCTTGTGTGGTGCTAGTAGCACACACCGGGCGACTTCAACGTCGCCAAGAAAGAGTGGCTCTTTCTCAACAAGAGCACGCTCATAGGAACCCCTCGAGGTGTACCCACCGATAAGGCCACGAGGAGCCGAGAGCTTCTCCAACAGCGCTGGCGCACCAGTGCCAGGCTCGGGCGGGAAGTAGCCCTGCGGGTACGTGGCATCCCCGCCTGAAGAAGACTCGATGGCAGTCGTGGCAGTCGGCTGCCTGGCATACGCACCCGAGCTAGCAGCGTGGTATTGCTGCTGCTGCTCGTCGAGGTTGTTGGAGAGCTCCTTGGGCTCGTGGACGGCACCCTCCTCGTCCTCAGACCCCGAGTCGATGAACAGCTTGGAGCTGGAGCCGCGAGGCGACCTGGAAGCTGAACGCTTCTTCGCCTTGGCCTCGGCGGCCTTCGCAGCGGCAGCCGCTTTCGACGCTTGGGCACGCTCACGACCTTGTGTCAGCGTCAGATGCTTGGGTGGCGACACCGCCTTGGGCTCAGAGCCCGTGTCGCTCGACGACTTCTCGGCCACGACCCCAGCGTCGGCCATGGCGACTTCGTCGTGAGACTGCTTGCTGTCGCCTGAGCCGGACTCGGCGTCCTCCGTCTCCTTCTCTGACGAGGCCTTTGCGTCGGCCGAGGCGTTGGTCATGTCGCCTGCCGCCAGCTCCGTGCCTTCGGCAGCGTGCGTGCTGCCCTCCGAGACGTTCTCGTCGTCGGGTGAACTCTCACCGTAGTACTGGACCATCGTGCAGTCAACGACGGCGGCTTCCCAGTCACGAGCCGGGCTTTTATGGCCCCGAGGACTCTCCTCCTTGCCTTGCGCGGCGTCAGGAGACTTGCTCCGAGCCCCGGCCTGACGGCCACTCTCCGGCGTGCTGCTGCGAGAGCGCACCACCTCCTCGGCCGCCTTCGTGGCCTCCATCAGCGCGGACGACTCGTCCTTGGCCTTGGCCGCCCTGGTCTTCGGCCCTACGGCCCGCGGTTTCGGAGGTGCTTTCGCACTGCGCGCACTGCGCTTTGGAGGCATGCTTCCGGTCGACGTGGAGACCCTGCGGCTTGCTCGGCGATGCGCCAGTTGCTCTGTGAGGCCCGGGAGCCGAGGCGCCAGAGCTCGCGCCGTTGTCGATGGATTTCGACTTTGCGAGTGAAATGTGAGTCGCCGGCGTAACCTCGCTCTGATTGGTCGATAAGATCGAATCTAAGTGGGGGAGGATGTAACGGGGTTACATGGAATAGTGACTCTGTCACTATTCCGGGATGGCTACATCGGTCACTCCCCTGGATAGTGACCCAAGTGGCCTCAGAGCTAACAGACACATTTTGTATGACACAAACTATAGGGAACTTAGGATTTGTATGCAGGCCAAATCTGTACCAACCTATAAATACATTCAGTCTTAGATCTACCGCTTTTCAAGTCAAGTCGTCCCCTTCAGACCAGAGACACGTGAACGGCTGTTCACTTGGAGTTTGTATACTCCTGCTTCCTCTGTTAAGAAGTACTGTGTGCCCCGTCACACGGTGGCTTCGGCCATGGTTTCGTCGGCGCCTTCATCTACTTCATTCACCGCTGGAAGCACGTCAGGATCGGGGCGCGAGAAGCCTGCACGGCCGCGTGGCTGCTGAGCTTGCTCTTGCATCGCCATGACGCTAGGAGGGGAGAAGAGGGCGGAAGGGTCGGGTGGTTTCTCGGAGTTAGCAAATCGAGAAGTAAACCAGCACTTCTGAATCGTAGAAGCTGACACATTATCCCACGCAGACTCGCACCACTTCATGGCAGTTAGTAAGTCGCATAGAAGACGATCATTGCACCGCTGAGGCAAATGCCCTCCGCCTCTGCAAGCATGATGAACTCGACGATGTTTTGATCGATCTGTAGCTGGAACGGAGACGGCTTGTTCTTGCGCTGAGCACTTTCGTGAGGCTGGAGCAACAGCGCGATACGCCCCGAGATGATGCGGCCGATGGTGGCATTCCCAGGGGGGCCTTTGCAGACCGAACTCGACTTTGGCCCAAAGGGCCAGGTCTTCATACTTGACAGCGGTGGAGCTCTCAGCCTTCTTGATCAGACGCAGCTTCTGCTGCTGGGTGAGGCGAGTTCTAGTCTTGGAGGAGGAGCTCATGAGGTGGGTGGATGGGTAGGGCGCTGGTGTTGTGGTAGATTCCGTTGTGCTTGGAGATCGCGCTGAGCGGGTTGGAGGGAAGGAGTTATGTTCGCGCCCGAATTCAAATGGTAGCTTCAATCACTGATTGGCTAGATCTGACCTCACTAGCCAATCACGTAGTCGCGCTCGTTGCGAAACCAACCAATAGCGCCAGGATCCTGTCGAAAGTTAACTTAAATCAATGTTAGCTGTGTTCTTTTGACTGACAGCTATATAATGTATGTAAGGATATTAGTTGCCACACGTCCCTTATTGACGCACATTACTGTAACACATACGTCGAGCATCGACCCAATTGACAAACAGTTAATACAGAACTTTCGAAGTTCTGTATTTACTATTTCAGTCGAAAGCATCAGAAAAAAATTAATTGGGGAATTTAAACATGTTCATAGCCATATTCACAAAACATAAACAAAAAATACAGCATGATCCACTCCTCAAACCCAAATTCTAAGCAGTGAACATTTACTGTTAATACAACTCCCACACTAGTTAATCGAGACAGTTAGAAACTAATACAAAGCTAGTTCTGAAAATGTGTACATATTTATTTCATCACGAGCTGTTCCCGTTCGAGTACCAAACAAACACCTACACTACAGCAACGCCGTCACGACACGGCCGTTCAGCGGCTGCACCGGACGCGCGTTCTTGCCGTCGTCCGTGATGTGCAGCTCGCGCAACTGAGACTGCAGACGCTCCAGGTCGGCCGTCGACACGTCCACGGGTTTCTTCACCACCCACCAGTCCACGATCTCGCTGCACGCGGGCGTCGTCAGGCTGCCGGCGTAGTTGAACACGCCCTGCGCGTCCGCGGCCTTGTTCACCAGGTCGGCGTACGACGTCAGACTTGCCGACGCTGTCGCGTTCGAGCTCATCTTGTCCAGCGCGTCCAGCACGGAGACCACCCACGGGTCGCTCGCGCCCTGCACGGCCTTGAAGAACACGCCCGTCACCAGCAGCGCAGAGCTGTCCGCGTTGCTGTGCACGAAGTGCACCTCGCCGCCCAGGTGCTCGCCGTTCAACGTGTGCTCCGACGGCACGTGCATGTGGAACTGCAGCATGTTGTACGACGCGCCGTTGGCGCTCACGGCGCACGAGCCGCCGTTCACGCTGGCCGTGAAGGACTCGTCCGACTGCGAGACATCGAAGTCGGCGCACGAGCCGCTGAAGGTCAGCGAGCGCTTCTCGGAGACGTTGTCTAGCTCCGTCGTCTCGATATCGATGGGCGACTGGCGCTGACCGCCGCACGTCGGGTAGTGCTCGGCCCATTGGTTGGGTGCAGCCATGCTGGTGTCGCTGGGCTTGTATCCCCACTTGGCTCCCTCGGCTCCGTCGGCGTTGACAGAGGTAGCAGTGAGAGCGCAGGCGGCGATGGCGGCAGCGGCGAAGATCTTCATTGTAGCGAGAGTTGATGAAGGTGGTGTTGGTGCGTTGAAGGCAAAATTGAAACTGAGCTGATACATGTACGCCGGAGGATGCTGTGGATACCAACCAGTGGCTTGACGTCAGATAGAGGCCATAGCATTGTCGTAAGTAAATTTAATCTTGCGCCGTTAATTAATCTGTACGGAAGCAACTCTCCGCAGGCCACGACTACAGTATCAAACACTGACCGACGAATCCACATGCTGCGTCCTATGCTTAGAGTGATTTGGACGGAACTCCGCTACACACGCTGCCGATCGTCTAGCCGCTACATTTCAAATCGATCCAACTTCAAGGTCGTATCCTCTAAAAGCAGGAGCTCAGCTCATCACATCTCGATTCCGAGAGAGTTTGGCTGGCTAGGGCTTGCAGAGGAAGACCCCAACTCAAGAGAATTGCGCGACCATCTCCAATAGAGCCTCCAGGATACTCCTCGTACACCTTCCGGAGCCGCTCAAACTGTACATGCCCACCGTCGTCAATACGGCGTTTCGCGCAACAGGAAGGCAAAGCACGACAAAAACTACAGCGACAGCACGCGCTGGGGTCTTGGCCCAAGACACAAGACTTGGGGGCCCGCAGGTACTGTAGTTGCTGTCGCAAGCCACAAAACCACGTGGAAAAGGTTGCGTCAGTGCTGTCGTCGAAAACGTTGCAGGTGACCCAATACATGTACATTTTATCTGGACCTACCTGAGAGATTTGAAGCAAGGACCTCGGACACCGCACGCATTGAATTTTTTAATCCTACAGTCGAACAAGAATTCACTTGTTGTGTTTCAAGACGAGTCCATGTGGCACCCAACGCCCCGAAAACCGCTAACGTTAGGTTGCTTTCGTCACTTTTGCTACGTACTTCAATCGGCGTTCTTTGTTTCTTGACAAGGAATGTTTCATTTTATATAGAAATGCTATTTTACTAAAACTATTATAAACATTTTATGTCAAAGACCAATACATTTAATTGCATTTAAACTGAGTCAACCCTACTGTTTCATTTATATGGGTACATTATTTACTTCGTCAACATACTGTTTCTTTGAACAATTAATAAAAGTTGAAAACAATATATATTTAAATAAAAACTAATTGGTGGTAAAAAGATTATTTTATACGTGTCTTAGAACCAATGTTTGAAATTAAAAATGTTAAATAGTTTATATTTCAATATGAATACAAAGACTATTATAATTGAAGTTCAGGGATCTAATTTACGACAAAAAAAACCTAATATTTGCTTCTATTGATTTCTACTTTGAATTTTTTGCTGTCCTCTTCAGCGGCAAGTGGGTGAAGAAATAGGTGCCGTTCAGCATTTCACAAGCTATAGGTTTTTCTTTGCTTGTTTTAAATTGATGTTAGCGCAGAGTAGCTGCTACGATTCAGTCACCATGACATGCTCGTTGATCCGACGCTAAAAAAATGAGATTATCCACCTCAGTTTGACTCTCTTAGATTACGAGGCGTGGAAGATAAAGATAGAAGCGAAAGGAGAAACGATGACATCATTCGAAATTGTCCTAGAGCCGCGGACATGGTCCCCACCATGCGCAAACGCTGGCGCGGTGCCTGTCTGTTTGGACGTCGGCTGCTCAGGTTCTTCACCAGCTTCCAAGTAGAATTGCGTGGTAACTACTCAGTCGAACGCGTCCGGAACCTGACTACGTACCACCAAACTACTTCAACGTTATGGGCCCTGCTGATCGCTGTGGTGTCCCCTTTTCCGTGCTTGGTCGTGGTCGCGCTGGTAGATTGTGTCCCTCTGGCTGCACCTAAAGAAGGATTAAGAGCGAATTACTTGTTCTGGTTCCGCGACTACGTATCGATCGCCCTCATGACGTGCGCGATCTTGGAGCAGTTCCGGATCAATGTCCCTGGTCTGAAGATCAACTCCATGAAAACGATCTCAATGCCAATCATCTCTAGCGCCGGCGCGATTGCATTCATGATTGTCATGGCCAGCGTCATCGGGTTCCCGCTACCGTTTGCACTCGTGGTGGGGATTCCGGTGTGGTTCGCCGCTCTCATCATTTGCTTCGCGTGCTGCTTTGGTCGTGCTTTGAAGCAAGACACGCAGCTCGTCCGCGAGTTGGTCAACTACGTTGTCGTTTTGATCTGTCAAGTGCTGCTCACGTTCGTCTACCCAGCATATCTCTACGGGTTCATGCATGTCGGACCGTCGAGTCAAAAGCTCTACGTTATTCTCCTCCCCGTCATTAAAATCATCGCCAAAAACTGGATCTCCTACTTTCTCGACAGGAAATTCGATCTGATGCCGCAGAACATGATTTTCAACGTGGACGTCTTCAACGCGCTGTACGTCTCAAGCTCGGTTCAAAACTCCAGCTCTATCACCACAGTGCTCGAAATGATCGCACTAGACGCCTTCCTAGGGTGTACGTCAATTTGGGATATCAGCAACCTAATGCGAGACATCGTCGCTCTGCAGCATAAAATACCCCATGGCCACCCCCTTCGCTCCGCCAAGTTCATCGACGTAGCATTGCAAATTGTCCAAGAAGCTCCGCAGACAGCCGCTCTTCTAGTTCAGCACAGATATACATTTCTCTTCATGGCATTCAAACCCAGACGCACTACTGATTCAATGCCGACGGATGCAACTACCAGACGAATATTCCCGGTGACGACAATGAACGACCCACTTCCAGTTGCCGCAGATGCAGACGCTTTCACACCTTTGAACCAGGAAGAGTTTGCCACGCTCGAAAAAAAATTCTCGCTGAAGGAGCGTCGGAAATTCGTCCAACGGACGGCTCAAGTGTTGTTCGTCGCGGAGTTTGTCATCCTCGTGGAGTACACGGAAGTCATCGTCCCGTTCATCTTCTGTGCGTACTTTTTGTTGTAGGGTTGACAGGTTTTGCATCTAATTCGAACTTGTGTATGTGTGTGCCTGCAGGTATGTATACGACCTCCATGTATTATCTTCCGAATCGCGACTACTACGCCCAGATAAAAGCCCTTGATAGTGAAGGCCTTGGCAGCATGCTCAGCGGTGTGGCAATGTTCGGTGCTGTAGAATTTCTATCACTTCTCATCATAGGCTACCTCGTCCAGCGGAAGATTAGCTTCTCCACGCTTCACTTGCTTTCGTTCGTGCTCGACTGCGGGTGGCGACTCGTCCAGTCCAACTTGTTCTTGTGGATCTTTTACACGATAACAAACTCGCTGGAGCACAACGGTAGGGGTACCAGGGATGATCAAGCACTGGGAGGTTGTGTGGCTATTGACTGGGTTTTTCCGTTGCTTCAGGTGCCGACTTTAGCTGGTCGTTCAGCTGGCTCAAAGACGGCCCAACCCACATGGACTGATCACGTATGTACATGTACAAGACCCAGTGTATGAATTGAATGAATACTCGCTACAGTGTACAGTGTGGCAAAATCCGTGCTCGTTTCCACCTTTTAGCGGTTTCTGCTCGAGCGAACGAGGCACTTATCGCGCAATTCATTGGCAAGCACGGACGCCTTGGGCCGAGGGACTTCCAGAATGCTTTTTACCTCTCCGTCGCTCAGAGCTTCGGCGTAAATGTCCATCAGATACCGCGGCAATAAGGGCGCTTCGCCTAGACCGTGCAGCTCGGCAAATAAGCACCAAACCATCGGTGCCACCACTCTGTAGTCCTTCATGAGAATCAGCCCTTCGCGTGCCGTGTCAGGTCGGCCAGGAGCGTCGTGAGCCAGCATCTTCCGCCAAGCAGGGTGAAGCAGGTTTTCGTTGCTAATGGGACCTGGTTCAGGCCCTCCGCGGGCAACGAAGTCCACCCACCGAGCCATCCACTTCGCGTCGATGCAGAACCAACACTCGCGCCGTTTTAAAACAGTTTTATCGTAGTGCATCACCAGGCCCAGTTCAAATTTGCGGCGCTTGTCAAAGTCTTCGTGGAAAACAGGGAGCGTCGGGGCACGCCGCATGCCAGTGGAGCGTGGCACACTGGACTGCTGCTGCTGCTGGCGGCGAGGTAGGCGAAATACAATTGTGCGCGGCAGGTGACCGAGCTCCCCAAGTCTCGTCCGCACATCATTCAGTGTCGCGTCCGAGAAATCCTTGCCATTGATGCGGACAATCACTGATCCAGGAACGATATCTCCGTTACGCTCAAGCGCTCCCTTAGAGCCATCGCGCAACTTGACAAAGCCCATCACAACGGCGCAGTCGAGCACTCCACCGTCCAGATTCAGCCCCAGCGGACCAGGAGGAGCTACAGCGGTAACGTACTCAGCGTCATCGTCTTCTTCAATCGAGTCGTCTCGGTCGAACTGGTTTGTCTGCGCCATGAGCGATGCAGCAATAGTGCCGGACGACACGTTGGACGCCATGGACAACGGTACAGGTGACGGTTGTTGCGACTTCTGCGGAGACAGTGTTTCAGGCTGCTCAGGGGAAGAGGAGCTGACCGTTCTAGCCGCAGCTCGAGCGGGCTTCCAACTCGCTTCTTTGGAGCCGCCTTGGCCCCATGTTCCCATGTCTTGATCACTTTCGTCTTCACTTGAATCGTCGCTATCAAAGTGACGCGTCTCTGCTAGAGCGGCCATGGTGCCGAAAGACAGCTCCTTCGGTATCGGCGGAGGGGCATCGTCAATCTCCAGGGCCAATCGTTTCGGCTGCTCGGATGACGGCGTCGACTGCTCCGTCAAATCAGGAGGCGTAAACTCCTGCACTGCCAGACGTGACTCCTCCAGCGGCATTTGCTGCGGTTTCTCTGGGGAGGCCGAGCTCACACTGCTCGTCAGTGGCGTACTCGACGATGCGTCGATGTTGGACCCCGTCAGCGTCCAGCTCGTACTCCCGTCGCTCACCTGATCCTCCGCCACACGCGCAGCCGAGGCCAGCACCACGTCCCCAACCACCGTCGCTTCTGTCACGTGGATCTCCTGGAAAGAGTCTCCAGTCGACGACGAGGACCCGCTGCCAGACACAACCATATTCTCCTCGTCCTTCTCTTCTTCTTCTTCTCCTCCTTCGTCTTCAAACTCTTCTTCGTTTTCCTCGTCTTCTTCTCGTGGCGGAGGTCCTCGGTGAGGCGCAAACTGCTGACTCAACGGCAAGTGCCTGTAGCTGCCGCTGTCATTGTCAATAATCTGCTGCTGCATCTGCTGCTTCTTCACTGGAACCTGAATGTTCTCCTCCTTCTCGTCGTCTTCATCATCATCATCTTTTCCTTCATCATCATCATCATCATCTTCTTCTTCTTCTTCTTCTTCTTCTTCTTCTTCTTTGGGCGGCGGCCCCCTCCTCGGAGCGAACTGCTGACTCAATGGCACGTCGCTGGCGTCCTCCAGCTCCAGTGGCACGCGGAACTTGAGCGTGCGTGGCAGGTGGCTCGTCTCACGCAGCACCTGCCCCACCTCCTGGAAGCCCAGATCCTCCGCCGCGAAGTCGTACTCGTTCACGGCCAGCAAGAGGCTGCCCACGGGCACGCGACCGCTCGTCTCCACGGCGCCGCGTTGCTCTGGGCGCGACGGCGACACGGGCGCGAAGCCATCGAGCACGGGGCGGTCCAGGTCGTCGGCGTCCAGCATGATGCCCAGCGGCCCGGCGGGCACCTCCACCGCCACCACGGCGTGGCGCCTCTCGCCGAGCAGCCAGCGCGCACTCGTCGCCATGAGCCTTTCACGGTATCAACTCGAATCGACTAATGCCGCCTCTGCCTGATTTGGGTTTTTGATGTCACTCAAGCGAATACCTAGAGTAATATATGGTGTCATTGAAGTGAACACACTTCAACTTGTAACTTGAGTCGGCTTGGTAGTAATTCGCGAGGCCAGTAGAATATAGTACTATAGTACTACTACTTCTACTATAGTAACCAGTAACTTGACACTTTCTGATTGTACTATCACTATAGTAACCAGTAACTCATCCACGCCCCCAATAATACTATCGAGTTACTGCTGAGGTTCACCTGAGGTTCACAACTTGAAATGACACATACGTTCGCTCGCGAACCCCTCGCCTGCTGAGTCTATCCCAGAGCCCAAAGCTCCACTCGGGTTTAATCGCGGTGAGTAAATGGTGAGTGTTGATTGCAATAGTTTAGCACCGCCGCTGGTACGCAAGTTGCTGCTCAGCATAATAGGAAAAAATGTCGTAAGCCCCTGTGCTCGTTCGACGGCGGTAAGAAGTACTGGGTCTACATATTTTGGTGTTGGTACATCGCGAGATTTTGTATCTACTACTTACAACGCACGTCCGTTTGCGACCAGATGTTCTCACATGTCAACCATCAACGAAGTCACACCCTTAAATAATATAAAATATTTAAACAATTTGACCATTTCGTGACAACCTGCCGAAAAATATACTTAAACATAAGTGTGTGGACCACATTCAGCCAGTAGTTTGATAGTACTATAGTACTATTACTATAGTAGCTAGGAACGCTTGAGCAAAAGGACCCAGTAACTAGTAATTCGTTTTCTTTTACTGGAATACTACTGGTAGTAGTTCAGGAGAACTACCGCTACTATCAAGCCCTGGTCATGACTCTTACGAAGTATTACTGGTCATTCAGTGTTGTTTGGATTGAGTACATGGAGTACGGAATTGAGTGACAGACAGCAGGAGCCTACGGTACTAGTCCTCCTTGAGCAGCGCGTGGGTGCGCGTCTGCTTGAAGCTCTTCATGGCCTGCGACGTCTTGGAGACGCGGATGAACCAGTCCACGAACCACATGGGCATGATGGTGGCCACGAACTCCATGGCCATCAGGATGGATGGCACCAGCACGCGCCACTGGTTGCGGCGCACGGCCTTGACGATCTGGTCGACCACGAACTCGGGCGTGAGCCACCGCGTGAACGGCGGCGGCTTGACGCCCTCAAACATGCCCGTCGTGATGAAGCCCGGACACACGACGGTCGTGTGCACGCCGAAGAGGCCCATGGCCTGCAGCTCCTGGCGCAGACTGAGCATGAGCCCGATGGCCGCGAACTTGCTGGCCCCGTAGTCCACCATCCCGGGGGACCCGAAGATCCCGGCGGCGCTGGCCACCGACACGATGTGGCCCTTGTTGCGCTTGGCCATCATGGGCAGGAACGCCTTGATGGTCCAGAAGTGCGATGTGGCGTTCACGGCCATGGTGCGCTCGATCATGGCGTCCGAGGACTCGAGCACGGGGCGGCCCCCCACGATGCCAGCGTTGTTGACGAGGATGTCCACGGCGCCGAACTCCTTGAGCACCTCCTGGCCCGTGGCGTAGACCTTGGCGCGGTCGGTCACGTCCACCTCGTAGAAGCGCGCGGAGCCGCCCGCCGCCTCGATCTCCTGCACCAGTTGGGGGCCCAGATCGCTGTGGAGGTCCCACACGACCACGACGGCGCCCAGCGCGGCGAAGCGCAAGGCCACGAGGCGCCCCAGCCCCATGGCGCCGCCCGTGATGACCACCACGTCGCCCTTGACGGACTTCTGCGGCCAGATCCAGTCGAACATGGCGGCGGCGAGGAGAGATGAACAATGGGCCGCTAATGGGGGATGGAGGGAGTTGAAGCGGTGCGGAGGGACGGGGTGTGTACGAGAGAATGTATAGTAGGACGGGATGACATCTTCGATTCGATTATGGCTGGATGAGCCTGCCGTCATGCTCGACGCGGCTTCGACGTGAGACTTGCTATCGGGTATGACGTGAGATGTATATTGTTGGCATTAGGCCTCAACCTTGCCGTGTCCTTCCCTTTGCAAGTCTGTGAATGGGTTTCCTCCTCCGCCTTTGGCCGAGGTGGCCCTGATGTGCTTGTGGTGGATCTGCAGGCTGTCGAGCGGCCGTCCGTCCTTGATGCTGAACTGCGGCTCGCACTGAGCAGCACCGCTCGCTTCCTCATCGCTCCGCTCGGGGTTCACGCGCGTCTGGCGGAACTTCTTCATGGCGTTCAGCGCGCCCGTGATGCGCATCATGAAGTCGTACAGACCGATGGGCGTCAGCGCCACCACCAGCGCCAGGAGCCCCACAATGGTCGGCATGAGCACCCGCCACTGGTTGCGTCTTACGGCCTTGACCACCTGATCAGCGGCGTACTCCGGACTGAGCCACGTCGTGAGCATGGGCACCCGCACGCCCTCGAACATGCCCGTCTTTATAAAGGACGGACACACCACCGTCAGGTTAATGCCGTACTTACCCAGCGACCGCAGCTCCTGCCGCAGGTGGCACATCAGCCCGTAGGACGCGAACTTGGTCGAGCCGTAGTCCACCATGTTCGGGAACCCGAAGAGCGAGCCGGCGCTGCCGATGCACACGATGTGGCCGCGGTTCCGCTTGACCATGTCCGGCAGGAACGCCCGCAGCGTCCAAAAATGCGCGAAGGTGTTGACTGCAAACGTGCGCTCGATCGTCGCGTCCGACGTCGCCAGCAGTGTCTTGCCACATACGATTCCAGCGTTGTTGACGAGGATATCCACCGTCCCGAACTGCTCGAGCACCCGTCGACCGGTCTCGTAGACCTTGGCCTTGTCGCTCACGTCCACGTGGAAGAAGTGCGCTTCTCCGCCGCCGTCGGCTGAAGTGATCTCCTGAACGACCTTCTGGCCGTTGGGGGCGTTGATGTCCCAGACCAGCACCACGGCGCCGAGTTGCGCGAAGCGGATAGCGAGCATGCGGCCGAGCCCCAAGGCGCCGCCAGTGATCACCACGACGCTCCCCGCCACCGACTTCTGCGGCCACAGCCAGCTCAACACCATATAAGTATATGCCAGTGTCTACAGCCGATGATGAAGTGATAGTGGAAACGATATTATCACGCTAGACGTTCGTCCTAAGAGGGCCATCCTACCCAGACCACGGCTATCAATACCAACCAAGTCGGCCAAAAGGCTGGTCATGGTGTTGAGCACTTCAACATGGGCCAGGTCGGGTCAAACACATCCAGACCCGGGTCGATAGGCTATTTTTATCCAATCCAGATACTTTGTCAACTTTCGTCCAATAGTACAACGTTTAGTTACGTCCAATCCGATGTTTTTCCACGTTCTTTCTGCCAATGAGCTGCTCTCCATAGTAAAGCTCTATTGCCCGCCCACTCAGTCCCAATAAGGCAGGAAACCCCCGCGGCCATGGCGGACTCGGACGCGAGCTCCGGCGGCTCCGGCAGCAGCTCCAGCTCCGACTCGGTGCTCATCCGCGTGCCGCTGGACCAGAAGCGGCGCAAGAAGCTGCGCGCGCAGCTGCAGGCGGACCAGCAGCGGCAGCGCGAGCGCCAGGAGGCGGCGGCCCCCAGCTCCGCTCCCGCGCCCGCGCGGCCGAAACTCGTCAAGTCCGAGCCAGACAGCGACCGCAGCAAGGTGCGCGGCACTCCGGCGCGTATTTACCGGCCTCCGCGAGCCTTTTAACGCTAATATTGACGTTGTTATGCCCTTAACTCCTCCAGGGAGAGCATATCTGCGTCGTGTGCGAGCGCGAGGGCGACGCGCTCGTGGTCTGCGGCGGCCCCTGCATCTCGGCCTTCCACGCGGCGTGTCTGTCGCCCGACAGCGGCGCCGCGCAGGCCCAGGACGACACCTGGCTGTGCCCCAGCTGCAGAAGCAAAACCCACGCCTGCTTCCACTGCAAGCAGACGGGCGTGGAGGCGCTGAAGGACGACGCGCCCGCCTCCGCCGGCGCCGACCCGACGCTCCGCCCCGTGCGCAAGTGCCGCGCGCTGTCGTGCGGCAAGTTCTACCACCAGGAGTGCATCGCGCAGTTCCCGCTGGCGCGTATCGCCACCAACACGCACTTCATCTGCCCGCTGCACACGTGCGCGGGCTGCAACCAGTCGGGCGCGCAGCAGGAGGCCGTGCGCTGCATGCGCTGCCCCGTGGCGTACCACGCGCGCTGCCTGCCGCCCAACTGCGTGCGCCAGATCTCGTCCAAGCTGATCATTTGCCCCAAACACGCCGCGGAGCAGAAGGAGGCGGCGCCAGAGAGTGAGACGAAGAAGGCGGTGAAGGCGCAGGTGCCCAGGCAGCTGAGCGAGCTGCAGGCGCACGATGAGAACGAGGACGAGGCCATGTCCGAGGCTTCGGCGGTCAGCGCGTCGAGCGCCAGGAGGAAGGAGAAGCGCGAGAAGAGGGAGAAGCGCGAAAAGAAGAAGAAGAAAAAGAAGAAGAAGAAGGATAAACACAAGAGGGAGAGTCTGGCCTCGCAGGCGGACGATGAAGCGGAGCACAAGGACGGAGAGAGTAGCGGCAAGAAGCGGAAGCGTAGCAAGCGAGAGTCCCTGGACGCGGATGAAAGCTCGAAGGCGCAGCGTGCAGAGAAGATTATTCCGTCGACGCCGTCTGGAGAGCGCAAGGAGACGATTAGAGTGGAGGCGGTTGCGACTCCCCGCTCTCCGGCTACAGGAACACCAGGCGCTGGATCGACTCGGTCGCCCACGTCTGCGTTGGCGCTGTTTGAAAGTCCTGCCACTGCTACGAAGAGGATACAGGAGCGTCTTGAAGAGGCGTTGGGGAAGAGCGATGACGATTCCGACGAGTCGACAGCTAGCCCTTCTCTAAAGAAGAAGCGCCCCAGCAGCCAGATCACAGGTTCACAGATCGAGGCAGCAGCACCACAGGTAGCAATTATCAAGGAGGAGCGCCCCATAGCATCTGCGTCCAAGGTTGAGCAAGGCCAGCTCGAGGATAAGGCAAAGTCGCCCGTGCCTTCTTCTCCTGTGCCTGCGAGCCCAGCCGGTGATAAGGACTCGTTAGAAGCTCGATCATCGGCGGAGGAGGATAGTCCAGAAGTCAAGACCGAGCGTACGAAGGAGCGCCGAGACAGCCGTGCCGCGGATGAGCAGCGACAACCGCTTGAAGGTGCTTTGAAGCTGGAGATCCCCAAGTCGCCTTCCGCCAGCGTGTTAATTCCGTCTTCGTCTGGTGGAATAGTGCTGAAGCATGTTCCAAGCGAAGATGAAGATGACGACGACGAAGGAACGGCCGGGTCCGCGACTCCTAACGCAGATGCAACCCCAAGAACTCCAAGGGTGGCTAAGACAAGTGGACCGGGCAAGAAACGCAAGAAGAACAAGGCAAAGCGGGAAGCGCGTGCGCTTAAACGAGAAACCAGCGAGGAGGAGGAGGAAGAAGCCAACGAGGCCAAGTGGGTCCAGTGTGATAGCTGCAAGAAGTGGCGGACGGTGCCCCCAGACTTCAATCTGGACGCGATGCCAACACATTGGTACTGCAATATGAACACTTGGGACGAGCGGTATGCGTCGTGTGCTGTTGCCGAGGAAGTGGTAAAGGTGAATCCGTCCCCGCTAGCAGAGAAGAGGAGGTACAAGTTGAAGTCAAGGTCCAAGTCGACTCAATCCAGCACAGGGGATGATGGCGGATACTCTTCGTCTGGATCAGGTACTCTGAAAAGGTCTGGAAGCTCTTTGAAGGGCTCCGTTGCCGACATGACTGCGCTGGAAGAGAAGGAGAAGGGCTTCAGATCTCTCAAGAGCAAGGACAAGGCTTCCAAAAAGCGCAAAATTACCAAGCAACTCAAGGAGAAGTACCGAGAAGTCAAGTGGGTGCAATGCGAGAGCACTCAATGCGGCAAGTGGCGTGTGGTGCCGACATTTATTAACTTCGATCGGTTACCTGCAGTCTGGTACTGTCATCTCAACACTTGGGCTCCGGAGTTAGCCAAGTGTAGCGCGCCAAACCCTCCTGAAGTGGATGCGTTCTTGCTGAAGCAGGCCAAGAAGGATGGTTCGGCTCGCCCTTCGAAGAAAGCAAGGACATCTTCATCTACTGGAGATGCTGCGCCGGCAGCATCTGTGTCCGTGACTACTGGCAGTACGATGACGCCAACGTCTTCAGCAAATGACCTTACCTCTCTTGGTAAATCGAATACGACGAAGCACGGCAAAGGCTCAAAGGCAACGGCGTCTGGGACAGGGAATGGTGCTTCAAATACCGGGGTCAGTAGCAATGCGGAAGGAGGGAGCAACAACAACGGCAGTAACCCAGACGGCGCCACTTCTGGTCACTCTACCAAAGGAAGGGGAGGACGTGGACACAACAACAGCGGCGCGAACACGAGTGGGATCAAGAAGACGGTGTTGGAGTGGGCGCAGTGTGAGAAGTGCAACAAGTGGCGCAAGCTGCCGCAGCACATTAAATCCTCCACGTTGCCCGATAAGTGGTACTGCTCGATGAACCACTGGGACCCATCGCACGCGAAGTGCAGTGTTCCAGAGGAAGCGGACCAAGAGCCCGTGCCTTTGCCTCCTCACCCAGGTTCGCAGTGGCACAAGGGAGGACACAAGGGCCAGCGTCCACGACGAGGCAAGTTGAGCTACTCGGAATTGCTTTACGGCAGCACGGGGCAGCTACGCAAGGCATACACGGCGGAGTCTTCCACTCAATCCTTCGAGTATGAAGGCACGACCTACCATCGCGACGACCAGTACAAGCACAGCAGCATGTATGTGTCTCCGGCGGCGATGGCAGCAGCGGCTACGATGGCAGGATGGAGCGGCAGTGATCGGGTGAGCAGAGAAACAAACTGCGGCAAGGCGACAACTACTGCTGGCAGTCATAAAGTGGATGCACTAGCCGCAGCAACCCCCGCCCAGGCCAGCGTCGACCACGTGGCTGCGTTGGTGCTTGAGAGCATGGACTTGCGGCGCCGCCGAAGCGTTTCGGAGCTGTTCGAAGCTGTGAACGCTGTGCAACGAGCAGCTGAGTCTGGAACGGAGACTGGAGCGTCAGGCCTTGCGTCGCTGGCAGTAGTTACAGCTGCGTTGGGCCAGTTGGAGCACCGCGGTATGGTCGAAAAAGTGAGCGAGCTATCAGAGGACAGCGATGAGGATGAGCCTTCCCGGAAGCGAAGGAAAGCGGAGTCGCTGTTCAGTGGCGCGTTCTCGTTACCGACACATTACCGCAAGGTGCCCACCAGACCTCTGAAGGCCTCGAAAAGCTGGAAATTCGGGACCAACGTCGTAGCAGTATCACCGCTGAAGGATTCGTAAGTACTCAATCAATCTCGTAGAGATTTTCGTCGTGAAGAAGGGCTAATACGCAAAACAGACATGGAATGTAAGTGCATTATTCTCCTCTCTTGCGTCTTGGTTGTGGATTTTACGTTGCAGCGTGCTTGCTGTGGTGCCAGGACGTCCGTCGTTCACCACGCTCCTCCAGCCGACATTGTCTTGAGAAGCTCTCGTCGCTTGCGGTGCAGCCTGGCTTCTTGGTCTGCGATGGCTAACGGATCGAGATGTTCTCTGCAGTACTCGTCGAAGAAGGCTTTGTCGTCTTGGACCAGCGGCTCTAGCATGACTACGGAACTTGAGTCTGCAGAGTTAGTGCTCTCGGTGCTTTGGCTCAGGAGTACTGCGTTACTGGCGGTGATTGACACTGAGCTTCGTCCAAAGGGGGACTGCAGAGGGGACAAACTGCCGGCGTTTGACTGCCTGGTTCGAGTAGAAGACGGCGGAGTCTCGCCGGCCATCCTCAGCAGCATCGTTTCTAGCGGATCAACGGAAGTGCCGAGAGCAGTGACGGTCGATGGTGGGGCTGCAGCTGAAACATCATCGAGATCGCTTGTGAGCAGGAGCTGCTTGATGTTTGTGATGGTCTACTCAAAAGAGAAGGGGTCAAGGCAAGTCGTGAGCTGTTAGCAAACACGCGGCGTCCTGGTACTCGAACGTGGACGTACCGCTTCTTCCTGATACTGCTCAAGCAAGGTTGTTAGCGACGGAAAGCAGACCAAGAGAAGGTCGCGCCAGCTATACAGCTTGATGTTCGTTTCCGTCGCTTCAGTCGATGGCGTAGGGTTGGCTGCAGCACCGAGGACGTCCTGATTCCCCGTGATAGTTACCAAAACACCGAGACTTTCGTTCGACTTAAGAGAAGTGGACGATGCCACATGAGCAGCCGGAGACGTGGCCGAGGGCAGTGTCGCCCAGAAGCTACCGATTGCTTCAGCCGTCCGCACGTCGTACAGCATGACCATTCCGTTGGAATACTCGACGAGCGCCACTGGGAGATCCGCGACTGCTGTGATATTCAGCATCAAGTTGGCGGGCTGTGCAGAAGTTTGGCGTGTTTTCGTGGAGGATTTCTTTGCTGGCGGTGAGATCACTCGCTTCAGCGCTGGCTTGCCTCGTTCCCGGACGTCGAAGAAGTAGATACGCTGCTGGGACTTGGACAGCGCGATGACGTATTCGGCTTGGTAAAACACGACGTGGCTCACCTCGGTGGAGACTGCGGCCGACAGCTTTTGCCGCGGCGGTGGCCGTTCTGCTGTGTCGTCTGCGTCGCTGAAGGGGGCGAGGAAGGCGTAGTCGGAGTCTTGCAGCACGTCCCAAACGACAACCGTGCCGTCTTGACACCCCACGGTCAAGTACTGGGTCGTCATGTCCTGCGCTGACGCTGTGATTTTGGTCAAGTGTTCCCATGACTTTGTCGGTGTTAGATGGAGAGGTGAAGACGCACTGCTGCTGCTGTTGCTGTCAAGCGGGAGCAAGAACTTAAGCACTTTGAGTCCGTAGCATACTACAAACGCGTACGCTTTGGGAGCTCGAGGAGGTTCATGGTGCGGTGTACGGGTTGGGACTGGAGCAACAAGGAAGTGCAGTGCGGGTTCACATGCGTCTTCCATGAACGGCGATCGCGTTGGCTCCAGATCGACTTGATACGTCGGAGTTGAGAGGTTCAAAGGTTGGAGAACCGCTTCTGCGTCTTGGTTGCTGCTTTCTTCGCGCTGAAGACTGTACAAGGAGACGATCTTCGAGCCGACGGACGTGACAGCGAGGAGCGACACGCCCGGGGAGAGCACGATTGAAACGATCGAAGGTTCCGCTGAGCTTTGCGTCGGACGTAGCGAAGCAAGAAGCTTGCAGGAAACCCCGGCACCATCGTCACTCGGACTTCCAGCTCTTACCGTGTAGATGTTCACACACTCCCGGAATGTTGGAGCGGCAGGCTTGGCGTCTTCGACGGGCTCTTGCTGTTGGCTGGTCGTTGTCTCAACGAGATGAACAGCGATACCACAGCTCGGAAGTCCCGAATTATCATTCGCGAGCTGCAGTGAACTAAGCGCTTTGATGGACACGTGCACTTTAGTGGCGGTATCAGCGGCTCCAACGGGAACTTCAGCGTCGACTCGAGGGAACTCAACAGGGAAGTCACCAAGAACCTTGACGTCATTTTCCGCTGTGCTCAGTACAGGAAGTGATGGAGCGGTACTGGTCGATGCGTCGTCGTAATTTATCCCAGCGACCATGAGAGACAACAGGCAGTGAGATGCCAGGCCGGCAACTTGCTGGGCGCTGGAGTCGAGGGGAATCTGCCACGAGGGCTCGCACGTCCGTCGTTTGGCGACTTCGTAGTCATTTCTCTGCTGCTGAGGCTTGTCCGCTCCAGTCGCAGACCTGGACGAGTTCATCCCGCCCTCGGACGCTGCAGTCTCGGCCCTGAATCGGACGCTCTCGGTCGTGATGATCTCCCACGCCGCGTCGAAGATGTCGCGCTCCCAGACCTTCATGATGCGGCGATACGGCTGCGGAAGTTGCGGGAAGAGCAGGTCAGGGTTCACGTGGTCGACAGGGGCGCTCAGCGCGATCCACCGAAGGAACGTGGTCGCCGACACGGCTCCGTTAGGCTCTTGGAACTGCCACAGCAGCACACGGGCTTCGGATCGACCGAGGGGGACACTGTTCGCTCGTAGCACCTCGAGGAAGGCGCTGGGTAGCATGAGACCCCGTCGACTCGAGCTGACGTCACTGAGTGCCTCCTACAACAAGCAGGAGCAGAGGAAGGTGAGGTCGGTCATTGTTCAGAGCTGATGATAGAGACGCAGATCCACGTCACCTTCCACGTTGCATCCCATTGCGCTTGGTCGTGCACACACACCGCCCTACAGACAGAACAGTAAGGACAGGGGAACCCTCTACTCAATGGTAGATTGACTGGCGTACCGAATTTGTTCCCGAAGAGATTGCAGCACCTGAGCGTGGTGAGCATCCATCGCTCACTAGATCCGCCAGCGGTGTCTGCACAAGTTGGACCGACCCCTTACTGCCGGAAGGTCGCATTGGGAACCGTCATCCCTATCAGGAAATGCTCAAGTTTCGGATGAACGCAGTGAAGTCATCCAGTTTTAGCTGGTAGAATGATGCCAAGTCTCCATTTAGCGCGCCGTCAGGTTGATTCTCTCTCTGCTCTGCCCCTCTCAACCGAGGGGGCCATCAAGAGCGCAGAGCTTCGCCATGACCAGCACGACCAGCACGCGTCCGCACGCTTTCGGTCGGTCGTCGAATGTGTGGCAGTACCTGGACTTTGTCCACGACCAGAATACCCCGCCGTCCGACGATCACGCGCTGTCGGCCTTCTCCGAGTCCTCCGACGTCGGTGACAGCGATGACGAGGAGCCGGCTCCATCCAACAGTGACGGCGCCGCAGCTCGTCAAGCGAGACAACGAGGCTCCCAAGTGTCCATCAAGCGGCACAGCAGGGCACACAAAGGCTCGTCCTCTCGCATCTCAAGCGTGGGAAGTCTACCGGACCTCCACCACGTCGGCAAACTACGTGAAGGTAGCAGGAGGACGCTCACAGTATCGCCCTCAGCTCTGGCAGGCGCAGGGCTGCGAGTGGTTGGAGGCTCCGGCTTCAACTCGGCCGAGATCATGCGGAGACTCAACGCTCTGGGGACGTCCGCGTCCACTCCAGCGTTGTCTGCGTCACCTACCAACAATCTCCACACGATGGAGAGCACAACCAACCAGAACCAACAGGGAGGAGCCACTCCGTTGCAGCTTGCAACCTCGGGCGTGGCCGGTCAAGGGGCAAACGGAGCCGCAGCTGTCGTCGTTCCAGTGTCCGACGCGCAGAAGCTTCGCAACGACTTCAACTCGCAGGCGACGCGCCTCTCGTTCGGCTGCAGCGTGGCGTTGGAGCTGTTCAATGGCCACCTGATGATGGTGGGCAGTCCGGACGGCCAGGTGCGAGTCCAGTCGCTGGAGAAGCTGCAGATCCAGGCCAAAGGCTACAAGGACCGCGCCATCTTCACGCTGCTGGACCTCGCAGACGTCCGAAGTGCCAGCTCCGTACGCTACGGCGATTCCGTCTGGCTGCAGCTGAGTGTGGGGCCTGGCGACGTCTCGTGGGAGCAGGGCGGAGTGCTGGGAGCCAAAGTCCGCGAGGCCCCGCAACTCAAAGCGCTCGGGCTGCTGGATGACGACGCTATCCGCAACGATGTACAAGCCCCTGCCTCAGTGGGCTACCCAGTCCCCGTCACCGCCTACCTCCCCAAGGTTTGTATAAACTACTACCATTACCATTCAATGCTTTTCGTTTGGGTTCTTACGTGACTATTGCTATGGTTGCAGAGTCGAGATGACGGAGACCTGCAGGTAGACGAGATCCAATCTCGTCTGAGGAACAAGAGCGCCAAGATGTTGGGCAAATGGACCATTCGCTCTGCTGTGTGCCAGCGCCGCAAGCAAAAAGATGTACGTTTTCAAAATACTACAACGAAAACATTGTTTTTTGTCCATGAAGCTTACTCGGTATGATATGTTGTAGAACTTCGTCTACAACAACGACGAGGTGTATCTGGAGCAAGATTGGTTTTACCTCGGCGCTGACTCGGATGCAGGGATGGCGGTGCTGCGCCAGCTCCCGCCGGCAATGGCTGGCAAGGACATCAAGCCTGGTGACTACGTCGTCGAGCGTCGGGGAGCCTGGAAACTGCGGCTGCTAGACTCCAGCAGTGGCGGCGCGGGGCTCTCACTGGCTCAGCAACAAATGGAGCGCTTGCTACTGCGTGCGAAGGCTCAATTGAAGCAGTCGCAACGCATGCGCGCAGGCCAAACAAAGGTCTACGGCCCCAATTTGCGTGGAGGAACGGGGTTTACGGCCCAACTTCGAGCTCAAGTGGCAGCTTCGACGCGCCAGACTGAGAGTCGCTATGCCGAGCGTCAAGAGTTGAGGCTCAAACGCATCGATCGCCAAATGCGAGAGAAGGCGCGGAGTATGAACGTGGGCATCAAGTTTGAGGACAATCTTAACGCTGACGGAGGCAGCACCCGACGCTCCAATAGCGGGATCAGACGCGATAGTGCTTTGGTTGACGAGGGACGGAAGAGGACGTTGCTCCGTAGTTCATCGGTGGAGATCATTGCGACCAGTAGAAGGCAGTCGCTCGCTGGTTCGGACAAGTCTGGGGGTTCAAAGGAGGCGACGGACGTTCGGATGAGCTCGTCGCGGTCGACTTCCTCTCTACCAGAGCCGATAAGCAGCTGCGGACTGTGTCATTCGTCTTCTATCGGCTACAATCTGTGCTGCCAGTTCCGAGACGTCATGCGAATGCTGGAGCAAGAGCGGATACTCGACTCGACTGCATCCGGTGAGGACCCTCAGCAAGATACTTATGGGGAGAGTGCGTCTTTGCCAGGGTCGAGGAGAACCGCCCGAAGTAGAGCGAGTCGCAGTGCGAGACCTGAGAACGGGTTGGCTTTACCCCCTCAAGTTGCGTTGACGTCGAGAGATTCTACCGTTCACAATGGAGTTGAGTCTGCCACGGGTAGAGGCACCCCACTGAGCCACCCATTGAATGAGCGTGTGTTGCAGCTCTTCGCTAAGGAGGACGCGGCCATGGTTGACATCATCAAGTTCAAGGAGAAGGAGGCGTACCGCGCCATGTACGCCGAGAACCAAGCGCGCGTGGGTCTTTCCCCCGTGGCGGCCCACTTCCGAGACCGGTTCAAGCACGTGGGCCTCATCATGCAGATGCACAAGCAGAACCAGCAAGTGCCGCAGGACGGCATCAGTGGCCACTTCCAGAAGCTCCACGCGGATCTCTACTCGGCCAACAGCAAGAACCGACCGACTAGCAGGTCGATCGAAGCCGATGAAGAGGATTACGACTCGGACTACGACTCCATGGACGACTACGACGACCCCGACAGCGCCCTCAATACCCCCATGACACCACCTGAACCTCTTCAAGTCACGATCGAACCCCACTCCGGTAGAAAACAGAGCGACGAAGGTGTATCGACCCCGCACGTGGAGCGGATCTTCCCTACGCCCGAGGAGCTGGAACAATTGACACCCGTGGACACCAAGGCAGCGCTGACCCTGTACGTGCAGAACCGAACTGCGATGGGGGAGATGCTGGACGGATACGCGGAGCTGGTGGACACGCAGATGGTCCCGACGCTCAAGAACTCGCTCAGTACGCGCAACCGCGGGGCGATAGTGGAGGCGCTGGACTTCGTGGCTCGAGCGTCCGAGTTCGTCTGCGCGCGTCGTGTTCAGGTGTTCGTGGCCAAGTTGCTGCACGCCGTGTCCGAAAGCGACGTCGGGGACTTCACCAGTTTCCAGAAGGAGTTTGACGAGCTGGTGATTGAACTGCAGGGCGCAGTCAACTTCATCCGCTTCTTCCTGCAGACTAGAGCGGCTCGACGGAAGAACAAGGAGACTAAACGCATGGAAATACGATAAAAGTATCGAATTATTCACGAGTCTTCGACACCGCCCTGCTTATCGACGGGAAAGTTGGAATAGGTCAACGCGACCAAGTGAAGCGAGTTTGTCGACTCGCCACTGAGTCCATCGACATCCGGCCTTGTCGCTTGAGATGACGCAGTGTGCAGCAGGATCGAATGTATCCGATGCGAGAGCGTCGAGTCTCTCGGCTGAAGCTTTTCCGCGTCGTTTATGAGCTACGAGCACCTCCAGCTTGGCATCGGATTCGGCCAGTTGGTCGAGTGTGTCGAGGAAGACTTCGTGCGCGGCCCAGTTGTACAGCACGTCGGCAGCGAACACGACGCGGACGTTTGCACCTCGCAACGGACTTGGCAATGGCGTGCCCCACTCAAGTGCTAGGACTGATGCTGATGGTGGAGATCCATTCCGGTCAAGATTCTTCTGCAGTCGGCCCGTGCACTCAGGCTTCTCCGTGAAGACGGCCTTAACGTGTTGGTGCGAGCATTGAAACCTAGCCAGTACTGCTGCAAATAACCCACACCCGGAGCCAAGTTCGAGCATTGTTTGGTTGCTGTCCGCTGGGTCGGCTTGCCCCGGAGATGTTGGAGCTCGAGTGCTAGCGTGAAGCATTGCCCAGCTGAGCAGAATTGAGGCGTCCCACACATGCGCCCCCATGGCGTCACCATAGTGTTCCTCCACTATCAACAGCCCTCCTTCATCTGTGGGGCGTCCTGTAGCTGAGACTTTGGACGGCGTGGAACGAAAAAGCCGCTGACAAAATGTGCTGGTGAGGCTGGAAGCGCTCGAGTCGCGAGCGTTCGTGACCTGCAGCTGAACTTGAAGCGGAAGCACCAGCACGCGTTCGTTGAGCCACGCACTACCGACGCAGAACGTCTGCAACAACAGTCGGCGGTGGTCATTCATGGTTGGATCACCCCCGAGCGCTGCTGTCTGCTTCATCATGATGCTGAGACTGACACAAGCGTCAATGACCGAGGACGTTGAGCCCTGCACCGAAGCCCAGAACAGCCACTTGGTTTGTCTATCAGCAGCGGCAGGAGAAACCTGCTCCTCGATCTCCAAAGTGAGATCATCAGAGTCCATAGAGCCGCTCTCCTGGTTACCACTGTCACCAGAAGTGAGAGCGATGTCGACCCCTTCTGGAGGTGCGAAGTGCTTGGGGAACGGTTGCCCCACTTCGTCCACAATGTCGACCACAACACGAAACCTCTGGCCAAGCTGCACACGAACGGGTAAGCCAAAGCGGAGTCGAAGCCGCAGCAACTGTAGATCGGCCGGCAGCGCGCTTTGGAGTCTCTGTAGCTCATTCCTATCGAAGCTGAAGAGCGGCAAAGGTGCTGTGTCCATTGTTGGTATATCCTCTGACGGGGCGTCAATTCAAATTCAGATCCGTCGCCTCTGCGTCTGTTCACCAAGTTGCGATTTAACTGCGGTCGTGTTGAGAAATGGAGGCGACGCCAGGCGGTCTGTCACTGCCGCTGCATCCGCGTCGAGCTCAACAGCTCTTCCAGGTAGAGAGGGGGTAGTAGCTACTACTTGTTGTCATTAGACCTTAAGGTTTTTGCCGGCTCTAATTCGTCCCCATTCACTAGGAAATACTGCTTACGGACGCTCAGTTGACCCCGCACCTGTCGGAGACGCCGCTACCTCAGCGACTGCAGCAGCTACAGGTGCGAAGTATAGCACAGAGCTTTGGTGATAGTGTGGCTGACCTGAAATTTGCGTAGAGTCTCAACTTGAGCGGCATTCAGGAGGCCAAACGAGGAACGAGTTTCCACCGAGTTCGGTTTGCTACAGAGCTGAATCCTCACAGTGAGATGGAACAGGTAACACTGAGGCTCTCGAAGGACGGATCAACGCTTCACGTGCTGGCAGACGCTGGCGATGCACTCACCAGCTCGCTTCAGTTGGTCGACATTCAAGGAATCGCCGTGCACACAACACCAGCGAATAGTTTCTCGCTACAGTTCGATGAGGAGGGCAACAACGCTACTTCATCTACTCCTCTGGTGGCAACCGATACATTCGTAGCATCAAGCGCGAGCACCTTGACTGGATGGGTGACAGCGCTAACCTGCGGGGTGAATGCCTTCCAGCGGCAACTAGAACAGCAGGACACGATGTTTTCTGATGCGAAAGCAGTCGACTTAGTGTGGCAGGCCGCGCGACTTCGTATCTTTGAGCTGGCACAAGTGATGCCGCTGTCCGAAGCAATCGACCACGTCAAAAAATCCGTTCCGATGCAGGATCTACAGCAGAGCGAAGCCCTCCGCTGCCGTTTGCAATTTTTGAACTCCGATCTCCCTCCGCGCTAGCCAGTATCACGTAAATCACTTTGATAAAAAATAAAAAGAGAGAATTTTTTATTCATATGCTATTCAGCAAAAAAAAAAACTTGGTAAAAAGTCTGCAACAACACATCCTCGGAGTGTTTACTCCAGCGATCAAGTCCGTCAATGCCAGCAACTCGAATTTTCTTCTGCACTTCATCTTTAGTCCACTCAGGAAAACCTTCCACTAGAGACTGGGAATAACATGAATCTGACCAGCGCTTTACTTTCGACGACGCAGAAAATCTCGCGAGTTTTGATCTCAAGGCTGAGTCGGAGTCTTGCAATGAGCACAAAAACTTATGGAAATACCCCATGTTTAATGCGTGAGTGTTCGCTCGCGTCACTTGAACGAACCGAACCAACTTGAGCTCCTTGTCGCTTCAACCAACCAGTTTTCGGAAGTTCTGGCAGATTGTCGGGATCCACGACTTGGACTTTTCCTTGTGGCTATAAAATGATCTTTTCACGTTCACGCAGCTTTGTCCATCCGTCGCAGCACTTGCGTCAACACCATCCGATAGGTTGTGGACCGCTCGTTGTAGTAGTTCCACCACTTCTGCAGTAGAGCGATCAAACATGTACCGAGCTTTGCCCCCCGCGAAGTAGAATTTCGATCGCACCAGCGTCTGGCGCCAAGAAAGCGCCAACTCCGCATTATTTGGCTCAAGGTCATCGGTCGAATACAACTGAGCTCGGACGCTTTCAAATAGTTCGTCGTTCTTGACTGCTTCGAGGAATTCGCTCAACACCCACGAGGATACATACAGCTCTCGGACACCCAAACTGTGTTCACTCTGCTCATCGAGTTTACCTCGGATCGACATGGCTGTCACGACTACAAGTCGACGGTTCGATCGATTTTGCTCGAGCCATTCGGTGCAGGTTAGTTTCTCCATGTTATGATCCACCGTCACCCCATTCAGAAACACGACATGCTGCTTCCGGTTGTCAACATCGCTCAAAATTCGAGGCACCGCACACTTAGATCTGTTGTTTTCTTCACGTTCCCCTCCAAGCGCACACACGCCGGGGCCTCGTCGTGAGTGAGATGAATCCACGTGACCACCCACGTATTCGTACGAGCAACCGCCAATGCGAAGGCTGCAGCAGTTGCTGATTTCACCGTCCCGGACGGCCCCAAAACGTATCCCTATCGACCATCGCGTAGAACTTCATATTGCAAAAAACGAAACAACTTGGCAACGTCCTCGCGACAGTAAAGGTCCAGGTTCTTACCCAAAGAATGAACGCCAAAACCGGAGATAGCAGCGGCGTGAAGCTTCCAAAACCTCGGGAGATGGTTGTCGTCGCGGACACTTGGTAATGTTGAAGCTGCTGGATCCAGCGTTGTCGTGGTTGTCCACCTGACGTTAGTTCTCGGCACTTTGGTCGGTCTCGCCGGCACTTCACGATGAGCGCGTTATCCTCGTCCAGCCCCAACTTTTCCACTGAGGCGGATGATATCAATGGCCGGCCGTTCTTGCCATCGTACGTGGCTCTGTTGGCGTAGATATGGAGCTCGCAGGGTGGAACATAGGGATCAATCTTGGTGTGGAGCTCACAGAGGAGCTCGTCGACGTCTTGGACATCTTCAGCAGGGTGGACATAAACCACGTTCCAACGCTCGAACGCGTCCCGGGTGCCTTCATCACTAACTGGAACCAGACTTTGCGTGCCATCGCTGTATCCTGAAATGTGCGAATGACTGCAAGAAACATCAATCATGCGCCAAAAAGCAGTAGATAGATAGATAATCGGACTTTTCTCATGTCAAGTGAATTGTAAACTACGCGATCTCAAGTCCCCCCCTTGAAGTTATCGTCACGTCCTGCAACGCAAGAGGCTGAACGTCGTGCAACACAGAAGTGCTCTGAAAATGGGTCCACGGTTCGTGAATGCACTTAAGAAGCCAAGTTGGCGCAGGATACACTTGACGCTGTCCTTATATCCTTTCGAGTCGTCGCACCAACCGCGCAAGTTTTCGAGAGCGCCTGCGATCGCTGTGAAGATGACGGCCACCGCGAGGCTCACGTGCTCCTTCTTGTCTTCGGCATCGCTTCGCACGAGAAAATAACTCGCCGCTAGGATCGCGGCAGTCCACAGTGACATCCCGACCCAATTGACGATCAACAGCGCTAGTCTGCGTAGAAGCTGGCGTATCAACTTGCCAACGCAGTCTTGGAACGGCCCCGGGTTTTCGCTGGCCAGCATGCGGAAGTAGCTCGGCGCAACACTCCACACCACGTCATCGACGCCGTCTTGCTTCACTTGCTGTAGCTGGATGCGATCGGCGAACTCGAGCAAGCCGTCCACCTTTCTCCACCCCATTTCCAGCAGGATGACCTCCTCCCTTTGACAAAACACATCACCGCAGGTTGGCAAGAAGTCAAGGGTCGCTGGTGTTGAGGATCATTTCGAATACCATAGTGCAGCTCTTGCAATATATTATTCATAAAGTAAGCTTCATCGATCATTCGTTGCGTAGTATTACTTGTTGAGCACTTGGCACTTCTCGCGAAGGCTGTTGGTCAGGCCCCCTGCCTGCGCTTTGGCGTCGTGGAGCACTTCATTGATATTGTCGGGCGCTTCCGAGTTGATATCGAGCGTGAATCTTGCGATGGGAGGGGCGTCTCCTTCGCCGTGCAGCGCGACAAACAGGCTCCAAACCATCGGCGTCACGAGCCGGAAGTCCTTCATGATCTCAAGTCCCGACCGAACAAAAGCCGCCCGATTGGGGTCTTCACTGGCCGTGTCCCAGCCAGGCTGCAGCAGCTCGTGGTTCGTGATCGGACCCGGCAAGGGGCCGCCCTTCCCCACGAACAGCGCCCAGCGGTTCATCCAGTCGGCGTGCACTGCAAACCAGCACTCTTTGAACTTGAGCTCCTTCCGGTCGTAGGTCATCACCAGCTTCAGCTCCAGACGTCGACGCAGCTCGATGTCTTCCGAGTACGTGGGCTCGGAAGCCGAGGCCAGGCTCATCCGCTGCAAGCTGACAGCCGAGATTCTGCGACTTGGTGACCGCGACACCGGTGCGGGTGCTGGCGTTGCAGTAGTTGGCGGTGGCTGCACTGTCAGCTTCACTGGGGGTGGTAGACGGAAGCTCAATCGTCGAGGCTCGCTACTCAGACGGCCCAGGCGCTCTCGAATGCCTGCCAGCGACTCGTGTGAGACGTCTTCTCCGTTGATTTCCACGATCTCAGCACCCGAAGGCACGCTGCCGTTCCTCTCCAGCGCACCACGAGAACCGTCAGGCAGAGGGATGAAGCCCAACACCACGGCACGATTCGCCACCGAGCCATCAAGGTGTAGACCAAGCGAACCTGCTGGAACCTCCACGCTCACGACTTTGTCGGATGCGCTTGGAACGAACGGATGCGTGTCGGACTCCAGCGCACGATCCTCCATGCCTGTCACGCGCACGAACGACGGAGATCTACCCGTTGACTTGGCCACCGCAGGCACGGTCGGCATTGCAGCAGTTGATTCAGCTGTAGGCGACGTCGTCTGACCTTCCGGGGTTGCTGTGCGAGGCGTAGCTAAGGCTGTCGCAGCGCGTAGGCCACTCCACATCCAGCTTGACCACTCCCCAGCAGACTTTTTGTTGTCACTGCCTTCCACGAGACTTGTTGAGCTACTGGTGGGACCGAGAAGCAGTTGAGCCTTGTCATCCTGTTCAGGACTCTGGGGAGTGCTTAGTGCCATCTTTTGGTAGTTCTGCGGCGGCACGCGGAAGCGCAGTTGTCGTTTGAGGTGCGCAGCTTCTCGCAGGATGGTGCCAATCTCAGCGAGCGTCTTCCTCGGCTCTTGCATGAAGTCCGTCTTGTCCATCCCGACCAGTACGCTGCCGTGAGGAACTTTGCCACTCGCTTCCACAGCGCCGGGAGTGCCTTCACGCGCCACCGGAGCGAAGTCGTCCAGCAACGCGGCATCGGCGCAGCTTCCATCGAGCAAGATACCGAGCGGGCCTGCAGGGACGTTCACCTCCACGATCTGCCACGCCGTGATATCCATGCCAGCAACGATGATGCTCGAGGGTTTGACTAACCCGCCGGAGATCTGAGTGAACTCGCCAGTTGGACTGCCGGGTGTCGCGATCAGCTGCACCGTGTCCGACGTGGTCGGCTTGATCGCCGAGAAGAGCGCCATCATGGTGTTGTCTGCTGCCACTTGCTGGATCAATGGAGCTTTCCACAATGAAGTCTCAGGTGTGAAGCTCACTAAACGCGCCAGTCCTCGAGTATGACCCGCACCTTCGTCCTCAGAGCGACCTATTTTCAGCCTGGTGAGCACCTCAATGCATCAAGAAACGAAACTTACCAGCGCCTGCTTCAAGACACCCATCCATGCAAGGTCATTTTCATCTCCATCATCTCTGATTCTTACCGCAGCAAAGCGAGCGGTGGGGACTGCGTCTTCACGTCTTGAAGTAGTATGTATTCCACCTGCTCCACACGTCAGAACAGCACACAGCTCTAGTGCATCGCATCGCATCGCACGCATTAGCCAGTTGACTGCCTTCGTGCTTCACAGGGGTCTGAAAAGATCCTATCTACTGCGAAGCTGTGGGCGCCGGGGGCGGCACTTCAGCCGACGAGTTGGAGCTGACAGCAGGAGCTGCACTCGCACTCGCGTCCTTCTCGCCATCGTCGCTGTCCTTGCTGCTGCGCGGGCTGCTGCCGAGCGTCAGCGCCTTCGTGAGCGAGATGGTGGCCTTGACCGTGCTGACAGCCGCGCGGAACTTCCTGCGCGCGTTGAACTTGCGCAGCTCCTGCAGCGCCGTGGACAGCTGCACGTCCTTGGCCGCGTCGCCGGCGATCCACGGGTGCTCCAGCAGCTGGCGCGCGGTCCAGCGCTCCGCGGGCTTGAGCACGAGCATCTTGCTGATGAGATCCTTGGCCTCGGCCGACACGTCGTCCCAGTAGGGCGAGTCGAACTCGTAGCGTCCGGCCTTGATGAGCCTGAAGAGCACGCCCTGGTTGTCGTGGTGGAAGGGCGGGTAGCCACACAGCAGGATGTACGTGATGACGCCGATGCTCCAGATGTCCACCTCCTTGCCGTAGGGCCTGGCCATCAAGATCTCGGGCGCCACGTACCCGGGCGTGCCGCAGGCGGTGGACAGTCCGGCGTCTCCGTTCTGGATGGCCGACTTCTTGGCGAAGCCGAAGTCGGCGAGCTTGATGTCTGCGTCGTCCTCCTGGCTGCTCAGCAGCAGGTTCTCCGGCTTGAGGTCGCGGTGCACGACGTCGGCGTCGTGGCAGAAGGCGATGGTCTCCAGCAGCACCTTGACGAGGTCCCTGGCCTCCCTCTCCGAGTAGAAGTTCTTCTTGACGATGCGCTCGAAGAGCTCCCCGCCGGGCATGTACTCGGTGACGAGGAAGAAGTATTTTTCTTCTTGGAACACGTCGTAGAGCTTGACGATGTGCGGGTGCTGCATCTCGCGCAGGATCTTGACCTCGGCCACGAGCGCGCGCAGGTCGTCGGCCGACAGCTGCGCGCGCTTGATGCACTTGATGGCGAAGCGCGCGCCCGTGGCCTTGTGCGTGGCCTCGCGCACGACCGAGAAGGTGCCCGCTCCCAGCTCCTTGCCCAGCGCGTACTCGTCCGCGAAGCGGCGCGCCGCGTCGTGCGCCGCCAGCTCCTCGAACTGCACGGCGGGCGGCGGCGGCGGCACGAGGAAGCGCACGACGCGCTCGGCGCCGCTGGTGCTCACGAGGATCTCGCGGATCCTCTCGAAGCTCCAGGCGGCGGCCGCGTCCGTGAAGTCGTGCTCGTTCACGCCCAGCAGCAGCGAGTTGGGCCCGATCTCGCCCTGCAGCTCCAGCGCGCCGGGCTCGCCCGAGCCCCCCACGGGGCGGAAGCCGTCCACGATCACGTGGCCCTCGCCCACGGGGCTCTTGCTCACGATGAGGCCCAGCGGACCCGCGGGCACCACCACGTCCACGCGCTTCCAGTCCGAGCGGTCGGGGCGCGACGGCATTGTCGGTCTGTCAGTTAGTATAGGGGTGGAGCACGGGGTGGTGCAGTTGTGGACAGCTAGGAAGAGCTAATAATGGCATGCCTTGCTTGACACGGGAACAGGAGCGTCACATGGCGTACTTAAGTGGGACTATAGTGGACGCGCTATGCTACAGTAGGTGGTCGGAATGAATATCCATCAGGCGGACAATATTCAGTGGGGGGGGGACGATTACGCTGGTGTCGTTGTTGTGCTGTAGCGTACTTAGTAGTAGTTGGGGATGACGACGTCACGCGATGGGGAGCCGGAGACGGGCGCGAATATCCACCGCAAGCGCCCGCGCGAGGCGCCGCCGCAGTGGAGCCCCGACGCGAGCCAGGAGCTGCTGCGGCTGCGCTTCCGCCAGCTGCGCGCGCTGTTCGACGACGCCGAGACGGTGGCGGACGTGCACGAGGCCTGGGGGGTCGTGTCGGCCAGGCTCAATGATACCGACGGGCTGCTGGACGCGCAGGTGGACGCCGTCAAGTGCAGCGACCAGCTCACGAGGCTGCGCCAGCAGTGGCAGGACAGCAGCACGGCGCAGCTGCACCTCATGATGGCCGAGTGCTTCAGCAAGAGCAAGGGCGTCGCACAGCAGCAGCAGCAGACACCTCCACAGCAGCAGCAGCAACAACAGGAACCGGTTAGACGCAGCTTTAACAGGGCGATGGAGCAGGCCATGGCGCAGGAAGAAGAGAGCGCGAGGGTGGAGACATCTCCGAAGCGGACGAAGACGGCGGAGACGACGGCTGTGCCAACGCCGCCGCAGACCGAGACGACGGTGGTGGTTGTGCCAACTTCGCCACCACTAGTAGAGCCAGTGGAACCACCTCCATCTCCATCTCCACCGTCTCTTCGGGAAGAAGTACAGGACTCACCCGAGCCAGCGTCGTTGTCGCCTGAGCCGGTTCCACAGGAAGAGGGGGGACACGAAGTGCCAGCTGAAGACGAAGAGTTCCCGAGGCAGAACGAGATCATGCACGCTCTGGAGAGACGCTCTGAGCAGCTCGAGAGACTCGCCAAGTCCCACCAAACGCTGGCTGAAGCGACCCAGAAGCTCATGGAAGCGCTAGTGAACCGGCACCTGTAGCCGGCCTTTGAAGCAACCGTATTAGCGAATTGGCGAATGAAGCAGTATTGGACTTGAACGGGCGAATGGGTCTGCTAGAATGCGACTTGCTTTTGGGCAAGTGCACATATTCAGATATTGTGGGGGTTCATGGCTATCCGTTCCGAGGAATCGTATCGACGAAAGCTACGCCAGAGGATCGAGGAAGAAGGGAGCTGCCGGGGGAGACTAATGTTAACCAATGCACTTGGATTTATGTGAAGCTCGCGTCGGCGTGTTGCAATTACTATGCTGGGATGCCCCCTCCATGGGAAGCTGAGCTGGCTCGCCAGCGAGGGTTCTGCGACGCTGGAGCAAAAGAATGTCCATGGCATCCTTCAGCCATCGCTAAGCTTATATGAAATGGTGGCTGCGGCAGTTCACGGTGCCAGCGCCACCTCTATGAGTTCTGCGCGCCTCGCCATTTCCCATTTCACGGCCTCCAAGACAACTTCCGCCGCCTTCAACCCGTCAGTGTACCGTTGTCTCGGATGCAGCACCAGATACCCGACGAGATTCGCTATTTGCTGCCGCCCTCTGTGGTGTGGGCTCACGAAATGATGGGGGTCCTCGAGATCATGGAAGAGCAAGGTGTGTACCGCCAGGTCATCGACGACGCGACCAACCGCGCGATCGGCCTCTTGGGGGTGCTCAACACCGTGGCCTACCCACCGCCCGCAGAGCGGCCCAACGTGTGGCAGCGCTATCTGTTCGAGCTGGACAGGCAGCAATTCAAGGACGAGTTCTGTATCCATCCACAAGGAGACTTTCAACCAGGCGGTGATTATCATTGATCTCGACCCCGTCTTCTCTGACAGCGAAGCCTAGTTGGATGATCCTGTCTGCTGCCAACTTCTCGTGACGCTGAAGCGACTAGGCTCTTCTGGTGACGAGGTGGATGGTGAACCGCTGGGCAGCATGTTCGGTATTACAGGGGATACGGCTCATCGCTACTACATGCGCTGCATCCACACCCTACACAACCTGCGCGATGATCTAATACTGTGGCCGGACGAAAAGGGGGGGGGGGGGATCGCGCAGCGGATCGAGGACGAGCATGGATTCAGTACCCTCGCCGAAGAAGTCTCGCCATTCGAACCTTAGATTGTTTTGTCCCAACACTCGGCTGTCATGAACCGAGCCCGGCCAACCCGCATTGAAGTAGCTACCAATGCAACAGCATCAACAACAGATAAATCAACTCATTATAATGGCAATGCAAAGGTATTTCAGCAGAAGACGCACCAGATCATCCGCTTGTCGTCCGAGACAACAATGGTGTTAAACGCGTGAAAGCCGTCCTGGCAGAGGTAATCTTCTTCGCGGTGCGACGGTGGAAATGCCAATGGAATCAACATGCCGTCCACACACCCGACGCAACCCAGTACTTGCTCGGCGACTCCGCCTACAGCACCCACGAAACGCTGGTGCCTAGCTTTGAGTCTGACCCCGAAGAACCTCTGACCGACGCCCAGTTGCGCTTTAACTCTCTCGGCTTTCGTCGTGGTGGAGCAGTGCGTTGAGATGCTGAAGTCGTAGTTCCAGAGCTTGAACGGCCTCCGGGTCCAGATCACGGACGACGTAGAATCCGTGAGGCGCGCGCTGAAGCACATCGACGCAGGCGTCGATGTGCACAACCTGTACCTGGCGGGCCATTAGCTGGATTGACAACACTGCAACAGCTTCCTGAATGTTGCCATGTTCCTCTCACCCATGTCAACTTATATCTTAAATAGGGGTTTCGTACTTACTCGAAGTATCTGTTGGCTGGGCGTCAATTCGTGCGTGCCGCTGCAGTCGACACCAAGCGCCCGCCCGATCCGCAGCAGCAAAGAGCTCCGTCCGCCGCCATGTTCAAGCGCTTCAGTGTGGACGAGCACGTGAGCACCAGCAGCAAGGTCAAGTCCTCGCAGCAGCGCAGCATCCGCTCCAAGGTGCTGGAGCAGTACCCGGACCTGGAGCCCTACGCCGAGATGCTCATGCCCAAGAAGGCGCCCATGGTGGTGGCCAAGTGCCACAACCACATCCAGATCGTGCTGCACGAGGGCGAGCCCGTCTTCTTCAACCAGCGCGACGGCCCCTTCATGCCCACGCTCAAGCTGCTGCACAAGGGTGAGCACCGTTCCAGCTACTGATGCTGAAGCTATTGGGTTTTGGCGTAGCGTACTTACTTGATGGTTGTGTGCAGTGCCGCACGTGATGAAGCAGGTGCGCGCGGACAAGGGCGCGATCCCGTTCGTGCTGTCGGGCGCCAACGTCATGTGCCCGGGTCTGACTTCGGCCGGCGGCGACATGCCCGAGCCTCTCGAGGCTGGCACCCCCGTGGTACGTTGGTGTAGTGAAACTTGAGGGCTGTACGTTTCGTTCGGTGCTGATGCTTTTTCTCTTTTGGGGTGACAGGCTATTATGGCGGAGGGCAAGGAGCACGCCATGGCCATCGGCATCCTCACCATGTCTACGGACGACATTCGGAACAAGAACAAGGGCATCGCCATCGAGATGGTGCACTTCCTGGGCGACGACCTGTGGACGTGCCCGCACATCGATTAGGCAGCGAGCAGATTGATTGGCCGAGTAGAAGAGCACTTGATGGTCCAGTTACTCTGACGTGAACTCAACCCTTGTTCATTCATCCGAAGTTACTTGGCGCAATTTTTGACTCAAAGTAATGGGTACGACACGTTTTGGTGTGCATCTTGACGTCTTTCAGTATCTATCGGGCCCGAGGTGCTAGGATTTGTCCGAGCCATTTTGCGTCGACGCCAGCGTCCGCTCCAGCCGTTCCCGTAAGCTATGGCTGAGTCCCCTGGTCGCACTTGGGCTGGAAAGTACATTACCGCCGTTGGTTGACGCCGACCTGTGTAACTTCCAGTCGAAATTGTGCGTGTTGACGTTCGTGGCTGCAGGCTGTAGGTCGATGCCCCCTCCCATGAGCGAGTTCCCGATCGTAAAAGCTGGAGGGCCACTAGGTGGTGGGCCTAAGTCGACGGCCCCGCTGTTGTCCTCAGTAGAAGTGGACGCAGTATTGGTGTCTTTGGTTGTTTCTCCATCCTCGCTCGCAACGCTCGTCAGTGAAACCAGCCTGTCCAGACTGAGGTTTGTCTTTGGTGGAGATGACGGCGCCGTGGTCAAATCTTTCGCGGTCTCATTCGCCTGGCTGATTAAACGCGTCAACAAGCCCAGTTTGTCGAGGGTCGGGTGTGACTTCGGTAGATTGAGCATCGAAATGCCGCCACCCGTGAGCGAATTCTGGAGCAGGAACGAGGGTGGCGCATCGGGCGGTGGGCCAAGCATGGCTACCGCATTCTTGCCCCTATTGTCGTCGGAGCTCTTGTCGTCTTTGCTGGCGTCACGATCACCAAGAGGCTTGAAGGAAGACAGTCCTTGAATTCCACCTCCCATAAGCGAGTTCTGGAGAGTAAATGCTGGAGGCAGTTCAGGCGGAGGGCCTAGACTTGTCGCAGTCGCAGTCGCCGACGCTGCACTTCCGTTGCTATGTGTACTTCCACTCGACCCTGACGGTTCCAGCCGGTAAAATCGAGCGTTGCTGTTAGGACTGCCAATTTCGCGGGGCTCTTGCTGCTTCTTACTTCCGTCCGATGATGTTGACGCTCGCCGTGCATGATTGATAGCAGTCTGTAATGCAGCAAGTGGGTCAAACCGGTAGGTTTCCAAACCTCCAGAGGCCCCATTGTGAGTCGTGTCCGAAGTCGGTGCTGAAGCCGTCGTGGTGACCGAGGAGGTATGCGCACTAGTATCCGTAGTAGATCCATCGACCGGAGAAGAGTTAGCTGGTGCACGCGCTGCACTCGACAACGCGTCCAAAGCAGTGCGATAGGACGCAGAAGAAGACGTCAGCTGGTGTAGGGCCGAGGACAAGCCTGGTTGGTCCCCCAGCAGCCCCGCCGCTGACGCCGTCCCCGTAGATTGAGTGCCGCCCAGCGTAAAAATCGGCTGAAGTCCAGCTGACGGCGAGGGGAAGTACGGCCGCAATAAGTCGCCGAGCGTCCCCAATCCGTCGCTGTCGTTACGAGCAAACAGCGGATTGGATCTCGGTGGTGGCCCCACCTCCCCAGCACTCGAGCTGGCCGACTGAATCTTGATATCCGATAACTGCGATACAAAACTCGACGTCGTGGACGAGGTCGAGGCACCCGTCACACTGGCAGAAACGTCCGTCGACGAGGTCGAGTGGATGCCCGGCACGCCCGTGGACGACGTGGAGTGAATGACCGACTCGTCCGTGGAGCTGCTGTGGCTTTGGCTGCTGCCTCCCCGCTTGATGGGTTGACGGAACTGCGGCTCGTAGAAGATAGGTACATGTTTCCTGTTGGGGCGGGGCTTTGGAGGCGAGTCCGGGGCTGGCGGCGGCTGTCGGGCAGCCCGTCGGCCCTTGGTCTTGTTAGTCGCCGCGTCCAGCGGCGCGTTGGCTGCATGGCGCTGGTCCCGCCGCAGGATCTTGACCTTGAGTGTGCCCGTCTCAGCCTTGGCGGTGAAGGCGTTCTCCTTGTGTTTGCGCTTGACGCCGCCTGCCGACACAAATATCAGAGTAAGAGTTGTTTAGTCTGGGGTATTTCTTAGCTTGTTCACACGTAGAACACGTGCAACTGGTATGCAACTGAAGCGCAGACACAGAGGAAGCTAGCGGGGCTCCGTGCAGGCTCCGGTGTGCACCACAGAGCGCAAGACGTCAAGCGGCGTACCGGAGCTAGCGACGCTCTCCATGGTGTGCGGAATGTTTGTTCTCAAATGCTTTCCTCATTTGGTACTGCGTACCATATACAGGCGATATGGTACAGTGTACCATATGCGCTGTACCTACTAAGTATTTGAAGTTGTGGCTACACTACCTTGACGCCAACGATGGAGGTGGACGGCGCGAGGCTTCAGCTGCTGCTGGCGACGACGTTCAGTGCGCGCGCGCTGGAGGACGACCCACAGTGGCGCGACGTGCCCGAGGTGGTGCGCAGCTCGTTGCTGCTGGTGGCGACGGAGCTGCGGCGTCTGCAGCGCCTGTTGGTTGCAAATCTGCAGCCTCGCTCCGCTGCGCTTCAAGGCGCCGGAGAGGAGGAACAGGATCCTAGGATCCAGAGCCTGCAGGTCGAGGTGCGGCAGCTGAAGACGCAGGTCCGGGACTTGCAGCGACAGGCCGACGCCCGCCACGAGAAGAGCAAGCAGACGCTCTCGAGTCTGTGGGGCGAAGTGGCCGCTACCGCCCGGGCGACGGCCGACGCGCAGACGCAGCAGCTCGCGGCTGCAGACCGCGTCGCGGCCAGTTGGGAGGCTGCAGAGACGCAGCTTAAGCTACTGCAGCGCCGCGTGGACGAGCAAGGGCAGGGGCGATGCGAGCTGCGCAAGCGGCAGGAGAGCTGTAGCCAGCAGCTCCGACGGCTCAAAAGGGACTTCGAAGCGCACGACCATCGCGTGGTGGGGACGGCGGTGCCAGTTCAGATGACAGCGCGAGTGGTGACGGAGGGGCTGGACGGGGAGATCCAGCAGAGGCTGAGGAGCGGAACTAGGAAGCATGGCGGGGCGGGCCGCGTGCTGCTGCATCAACGCTACGTGGAAGCGCTGAAGAGACAGCAGCAACGGGACAGAGCGGGGCTCAGCACGGTCGTGGAGGATCGTGTCAGTGTGTGAGGAAGAAGAGCGAGTGAGTGAGTGGCAGTTTGTGAGATGATGTTGATATTGTGGTGTGGTGACACAGTACGAAGGCGGTTTGAAAGCTGGCTGCTTGATACCGAAGGATGGCCCAATTCTTCAAGAAGAGTACAATGTGGACAAGTACTTAATAGTAGGTTATAAGTCAAAACTGACTTCGTCTTCACGACAGAGTTTGAGCTGCCACCGTAGCTCCATGTAATGGCTCGGTAAACGTTGCGAACGGGCTGAAGTACTCCACCTGTCGACGAGTGAATAAAAGTTGGCCCGGATTTCCTACCGCAAGCTCTACCAACAACCGAGGGAACCACCCCACGATCGTCACAGTGCGCTGAACCGCCAATACCGAGGTGTGCATGTCGAAGCTCGCTTTGTTGTTGACTCGGATGCTCCATAGTAAACGCGGCGAGAAAATTTCGTCGTCTCCAATGATGAGCTCAAACGCACAGCCAACAGCGACGCATAGCACCAGAATGACCGCTGGCAGTCCAAAGTACCTGCGGATATGCAGTTGGTGCGTCAGACTCGGTATGACAGCGTCGAGGACCAGCAAAAAATGCAACCAAAGCCACCAAGCGACGGCCGCAAGACGCGGCGAGACCTGCCAACTCGACAAGTCAAACAGACAGGCTGCGAGGACAGTGCCCTGGGAGGTGGAGAAGAGCACATCGAAGTTCCAGACGAGTAAGCGGAGCAGAGCACGCTGGGCTAGTGCAACAACACTGCACGTGAAGATCAGCGAACATGAAGCTGCGGTAGCTGCCACGCCGACTATATAGGGGTTCGTGGAATCTCCCCGCTGGGCAAAAAAATCATAAACCAGGAGATCGCTGTAGCGCTGATCCCCACACTTCCAGTCATCTACAGCGCAATGTTTTCGCGAGGTGAGATCAACCGCTTTAATAAATGAGCAAGGAGCAGAATTTTCGTTGCGTCCACGACTAGAGCTTTAGTCGGCGCCAGTTGCAGTTGTTGAGCTCGTAATAAATTGCTGGTTGTGTTTGGCACTGATACGGAGGCGGGTGCTGAATCGCGTAGCCCAAGTTTCACCCGTGCCAGTATCAAAACGCAGGGGATAGTATGTCGGCCAGGCGTTGGAGCTGGATTGTTCCTCCGGTCATGGAGACGGATTTCCATGCGCTGACGCTTAGTGTGGGCCTTCTTGAACATGAAGACGGCGATCGTCGAGGCCGTGAAGACAACGACTTGGCGAGATTGGAAGGGCATAACGCCGATGTGAAGCGTCGGATAGCTCGAGTCCACCACGAGACTGTAAGCGCAGCACACGACGAGGGCTATCATTGCTGGGCCAGCGATCATTGTGGACTTTACGGCGGCAGGGAATGTCCGGAAGTTCGCATCGATAGTCACCACCGTCTGGAAATTGAACCATAATGTGAAACCTGTAAGAGCACGCAAGTCACCGAAGATCACGCCTAGCCCAAACCACGTGAGGAAGTTGAGAACTGAGATGAAGCAGAACTCGTAATATCGAGGCAACAGGCAGAGGATGTCGATCGAGAAGAACGACGCGAAAAATACTGGAGGAAGCGTTGAAACCACAAAGAAGAGAGGGATCCATGGACGGACAATTGTCGAGGGCACATACAGCAAGCCAGCAAACGATACCAAACTGATGCCAAACAGTGTCAAAAGTATCGGGGTGAAGCGATGCATGGTCCTCTCAAACCACTGATACGCTCCACCTGGCAGAAGAGCTGACGCGGGTGTTCTGGATATGCTGACGACTGGCAATGTCTGCGCTGACTGTAGTTCATACAACCCCGTTGCATCTGACTGTGTTGCTCTTTGTAGTTGACGCTCGAGTCTGTTGGCAATAGCAACAGTACCTGCTACGACGTCAAGATGAGTGGATTTTGGGCCCCCTGGATAATTGACAGAGGGGACTGGGGCGATACGTAGGCTTCGGCGAAGCGCTCTCGAGCTGGATCGAACATTAGGAAGAGAATGCAGTCGGCGCAGTGGCAGGACACATTGACGAGTGCAAGTAGATTTCCAAAATACTAAATTGCCAAAATAGTTTGAACGAGCTGGCAGCAACATATCGGGCTATAACTACTCGCTGTCCGTATTCCACACACGCCCTCCAATAGCGTCCGCGGTAATTTTCTAGGACAAAGCAAATGCTAGTGAGTCAAGCTTGCAACGTCTACACTATCAACACGACCACTATTTGCCTCCACTACCGGGACAGAATCTTTTGCTTGTCGTCGCCGCCAACACCTCGAAACACTTCGCTTCTGTGCATCTTCCACCACCCCCGTTGGTGCTGGATCTGAAAAGGTCGCGTATGGACTAAAGTATTCGACATGCCGATGAAGAAACAGCAATTGCTCCGGACTCCCGGTAGCTAGCTCCACTAGGAGCCGAGGAAACCAGCCCACAATCGTAATTGTGCGTTGAACTGCTAACGTTGATGTGTGTAGATCGAAACCGGTGCCTCCTACCACGTGTACGCTCCAAAGCAGCCGCGACGAGAAGACACTTTCGTCGCCTAGGATGAGTTCTAGAGCACAGCCAGCGGCGACGGCCAGCACTACAATAACTGCTGGTAGTCCGAAATGTTTGCGAATATGCAGCTTCCGTGTCAGACTTGGGGTAAGTGCGTCGAGCACGAGCAGACAGTGAAACCAGAGCCACCAAGCAACAACCGCAAGGCAGGACGAGGTCTGCCAGCGCAGCAGATCCAGCAGACATACTGCGAGAGCCGTACCTTGGAACGTCGAAAAGAGCACGTCAAAGTTCCACAGAACCAAGCGGACTAGATTTCGTTGAGCGAGCGACACGAACACGAACGTGAATGCGAGAGAGAATACAGCAGCGATAGAGGAGACGATAAGTTTGAGCTGATCAGTTGGCCGGTGTTCCTGGTGGTACAGAATCACCACCCAGGCAATCGCTGTAGCGCTGAGTCCTATCACGCCGGCAATGTACACAGCTATCAGAGTGAATGGAGCTTTCATCCACCACAGAAGACGCCCAGGTAGCACCACGTTCCTCGAGTCCACAATGAACGGGTCATGGGGAGCGAGTTTCAGGTTTTGGGTGTTTGACGTGTCACTTGTAGTTTGTTGATCCGTCAGCCTCACGGCTGATACGCTAAAGCTTGCTGATCCTACGCGGGGTTTTGCTTTCAAATGTTTCAGCTTTAGTCGTGCGTGTAGACCGACGCAAGGGATGGTGTGTCGTCCTTGCGCTGCCTCTGGGTCAGCTTCTCGATCTTGAAGACGCTTCTTCAGTCGATTTTTCTTCGCGAAGGCCTTCTTGACCACGAACACCGACAGAGTTGACGCCGTGAAGACAATAACTTGGCGCGACTGCAGCACCAAAGTCCCTATCCTGATAGAAGGAAAGCTGGCGTCGACCACGAGATTGTACGAGCAGCACACGACCAAAACTATAAGGAACGGGCCGCTGATCATAATGGACTTGACGGCGGTCGGGAATGTCCGGAAGTTTGAGTCAATGAGCACGACGCTCTGCGAACTGAGCCACAGTCCGACGCATGAAATGGCTCGAATGTCTCCGAAAATGACGCCTAGCGCCACCCAGTTGAGCGTGTTGAGCGTCGAAACGAACCAGAACTCGTAGTGGTAGGCCAGCAACACGAGCACATCGAGCGAGAAGAAGGTCACGAAGATCACGGGAGGTAACACGATAGCCGCAACCATGACAGGCACCACCGGCATAATGAACTTTGTCGGCACGAAAAGCAAACAACCGAAGCAGAGCAGACTGAACCGGAAGAGCGCTACCAGAAAGGAGTTGAGGAAACGGTGCATCACTTGGTTCAGTCGGTTGTGAAGCTCTGCCGGCAACATCTTGGACACCAGCGTCTTGTTGAGGTCAAAGCTTGGTAGAGGTTGCGCCAATTGGAGCTCGTACAAATGCTCCGACTGCGGGTCCAGCATGCTGGCAACGCGCGAACTGGTCTGAGCGGTAGAAAATGGGACTTCCGGGGCAACTCCGAGCACTGCAAGCGGTTCACCTGGCGGCTTGGCCTCGTTGCGCACCGGAACAATGCGCATCTTGCGAGGTCGGACTGACGGACGGAAGTGTTGTCATGTTCATGCTAGAAGCTCATGCTAAAGAGGTTGACGCTATAAAAAAAGTGTAGTTACTACCGGTAGTCTGATCCTCTTTGAAGCACGACTAATCTAAGTTCAGCTGACGATCTGTGCTGGAGAATCAAAGCACGCCTCCTTTGCCAGGCTGACGGTGAATGATGTAGAGCATAGCGAAACTCCGCAGGTGAAAAATCGTAACACCGGATACCGGTACCGTACCCACGCTGTCTGGGAGAACTCAATTAGTACATGTAACTCACCATTATCGTGTGCAAGTGGAAGAAAACGCGAAGTCTAAGTAGAGCTCTACGCTGGTCAGTGCTCCATAGGGGCAAGGCTCTAAAAGCAAGTACCCGTAGTATGGTACCGCGTACCGTTTTTACGGCACTAATCGTGTGCACACAACCGCCTTATCCATTGCGAAGACGGCGAAGATGATGAACATGCGGTCAGCGCTCTCGCGGCCTCTGCGGCGCGCTCTGCGGGCGCAGCAGCCGCGCTGGATCTCCGATGTCAAGATCACGCGCGACACAGGGCTGCCCGACCTGATCATCACGCCAGTGGCGGCGAAGGTGCGGCTCACGCAACATTTGGTCTCAGTTGACGTTGACGCGGACTAATTTATTTACCAGAAACTCATCGAGGCGGCCGAGCGCCAGAAGACGGAGAATCTGATGCTCCGCGTGGCTGTGGAGGGTGGCGGCTGCTCCGGCTTCAAGTACGTGATCGAGTTCGAGAAGGACGCGACGCCCGACGAGGAGGAGGACATCGTCTTCGAGCAGCACGGCGGCAAGGTCGTGGTGGACAAGGAGTCGCTCGAGCTCATCCGCGGCAGCACCGTCGACTACGAGCAGGAGCTCATCCGCAGCGCCTTCGCCATCGTCAACAACCCCAACGCAGTCAGCGGCTGCGGCTGCGGCACGTCCTTCGACCTCAAGGACTGAGGCAGAAGACCACGCGGCTCTGAATGCATAATAAATACAGCTAACCTCTTTCCACCGCAGACTCCTCTTGGCTGAGCTGACCTCGCTTTGTGTGCTGCTTACTCCCAGAGCACCACCACGCCGTTCTTGTCACAGGACGCGACGCCCTGGCCGTCGGGACGCCACACGCAGCAGGCGACGGCGCCGTGGTGGCCGGTGGGACCGGGTTTGAGCTGCTTCTCGAGTTTGCCCGTGCGCGTGTTCCAGACGAACAGCACACCCGAAGCTCCACCGGCGAGTGCGTATCGACCGTCTGGACTGAGAGAAGCCTGACTCCAGTCGAACCCGCACTGGTAGTCCTTGTGACGGAGCTCGCGCAACACGCCGTAGGTGCGCGGGTCGATGATTCGGAGAGAATGGTCGCGCGAGTTGGTGAGCAGCTCGTTGCCGCCGAAACTCACGGACGTCGCTTGCTCGGTGTGGAGACCACGCATCTCCTGCACGCAGCGACGTGTCCTGGTGTCCCAAAAACGAACTGCGCCGTCCTGGTGAGCGCTCGCGAACTGGACGAACCCAGCATCGGCACCTGTCGGTGCCGCAATGTCATTGCAGCTCGAGACGCAGCCCACCGTCTGCAGCCGCACCCCGCGCATAACGTCCCACACCCGCAGACTGCGGTCCGACGAACCTGTGATCACTTCGTGAGGCACCACAGGAGAAAACTCTGCCGCCAGAACTTTGCCCTTGTGTCCTGTGAGCGTCTGCATGACACGCCCAGTGCCCACTCTCCAGACAAAACACTTGCGATCACAGCCCGTGCCGAGAACCAACGCTCCGTCCTCCGACGCTCGCACACACAGCAACGGATGAGCCGTGCCCACCCCTCGGTACTCTCCTAGAGCTCTGGGCGGCGACGCCGAGCCCGCCTCCGCTTCCCACGCTCTCACCGTTCCATCACTACTGCCACTAAACAGAATCTTCCCAGACGTATTAAAGCACACCGAGTTCACCTCGGTGGCATGGGCTCGGATGGAGTGTGTGACGTGCGTCACCAACTTGGCTTCGGGGCCCGCACCACCCAGTCCTTCCTCCTCGCTCAGCAGCAAGTGGCTCATGCTCTCCGCCACCTCTTGCGCCATCCTGGCACTAGCCGACAGCGCCGGTGACGGGTGCTCCGTTCTCCCATCTCCGTCGCCACTCGTCGCCTGAATCCACTCGTGCAGCAGCGCGCTCTTCTCCTGCACTTGGGTCTCGAGCTCGGCGTTGCGCTTGCGCAGTCTCTCGGCCTCGGCCTCGCTCTGCTCGAGCAGCGCGCGCTGCCTGGCCAGCTCCTCGCGCGCCAGCAGCAGCGCGGCGTCCAGCTCCTTGAGCGCCTTGTCCTTCTCGTGGCCCAGCACCGTCTCCTCGTCCAGGCGCTTGGTCACCAGCAGCAGCTGCCGCTCCCAGGCCTCGCGCTCCTGCAGCAGCGTCTTGCTCTCGCTCACGAGCGCCAGCTGCTGCCCCGCGTAGCTCGCGAGCTGCGCGTTCTTATCCGCCAGCTCGCGCTCCAGCCGCTGGATGGCCGCCAGGTACTTCTGCGCCGCCGCGTCGTCCTGCTCCTGCGCGCTGGGCGCCGGCAGCCGCAGAGACGCCCCCAGCGACGACGAGCTCGCGCCCAGCGCCGAGCGGAACAGCAGCTGCTGGTGCGACGCGATCAGGTCGCTGAACGCCGCCACCTCGCGCCGGTTGCGCGCCTCCAGCAGCCGCAGCGCCTCGCCCGCGAACCACGACGACGAGTCTGTAGCCATGCTTCTTCGCAATGGTATCGTATCAGCAAATGACTTATTTCTGGTCCGGGCTAATTCACGCATACTGTACACCTGATATGTATTTGGGTATCAGCTATTTTTGGTTGGACATTTATTATAGTCCCCACTTCAACTCGTGGTCTAATTATACGTCATAAATTGGACTGCGGCAAGCTGTAGGGGACACTAGCGAGCGAGGTTGGACGGCCATGAGTTCGTGGTCTAGTGGCTTATGGGCAAGCAGCTACTGGAAGCGGGCGTCGATCCTTGGGCCCAGAGCCGAAGCAAACGGGGCAAGACAACCAGCGCTGCCCACCGCGGCCGTGATAGCTGCAGCTCGTACAGCCATCGAGTGTTGATGGCTGTACGAGCTGCAGCTATCACGGCCGCTGCCTGCCATCGACATCTCCAGGACGCCAATGTCCGAAATGATGTCACTGTCGAGGCATACAAAGGTGGTGCCGATAATGCACAAAGTGACCCCAGTACTGGTGCGACTTAACCGCGCGAACATTTTGGTCTTTGGGTCGATCCTTTTCCTGCCTGCGCGCACAACTCGACCGTGGCTGCCACTGCTTGGGATTATCTCATTGGTGCCGCCTCTGAGCTTCACGCTGTTCCTCTCGGTCGAGGTCCTTGGATTGCTACTAAGCCGGAGCTACGAGTACTGGTTTGTGTCCGTTCTCAACGTCATCAACTGGATCGGGATCGCTCACGTCTTCGGCGACTTCCGAGCGCTCGTGTGTGTGAGCTTCTGGCTGAACTCGCAGAACGTCATCTCCATCGACGGCAACTATAGGACGTACCAGACGACGGTCAAGTCCATTGTCATGGCGGGGCCTTCCATGTTGGCGCTGGTGTTTTGCTGTTCGTATCGAATCATTGTCGACGCGGCCCCTTCGCCGTCCTTTATGATCGGCTCAGTAGAGCTGCAGTGGCGCCAAATCGTCATCTTCACGGCGTCCACACTCATTATCTTCATGTTCAAGAAGGCGTACGCTAAGGTCCACCGTCGTCGCCGACGTCGTCAGATCCACAGCGAGGCTCACGTACACTCGGAAGGCGGTAAACACGTCATCTCTTGTGTGGTTTTGCGAGCGCGCGTGTGCCTGGTACCCACCGCGACGAAGCAGAGGCTCCGACTTGCGAACATTGTCAGGAACCAACCCGCTACTGCGTCGAACAAGCAGCAACTGCGTCTGGCACGTCATAGATCCGTGGTTATTGACGCTAGACGGGTGTTCCTTCCGGAAAGATATCTCGAGCGTCTTGGCGCTGCAAGTATTAAAACTGCGCTGTATGCGACTGCAGTCACGAGTCTCACTTCGACAGCTGCTGCTTGGGTGTTGCTGCTGCACAACGCAAAGCGCCACGTGTTAGTGTCCAGCGCCGTTGCATTCGTGACCTCACTGCTTTTTGTGTCGACTACCGCAGCTCTCGCTCAGAGGGATTTGGTCCGGCTGCTCGTTTGGAACTTCGATGTCCTGTTCTCAGCCTTTCAAGCCACTGCATTAGCTCTGTGTCTTCTGGACTTGTTTTGTTGGCGTGCTGCGGCGAGCTGTGCTGTGATGGCGTGGTGGTTGTGGTTCGTTTGGCTCTTGCTGCTCGATGCGCTTACGCCCAGTGTTACGTCCAAGCTGCACCTTCGAAAACTCGCTCTTCCCGTGATCATCTTGGTGCTATGTATCGCTTTGTCGTGTGCAATGGAGATCGTCTCGAGCCATGACTCGATATTCACGTCGCGCCTATTTTTCAGCATCAGTTTGCCGAATCTGGGGACGTACGAGGAGCATACGGGCGCTCTGGCGGTGCAGCGCGTTATGACGATCATTGGGTGGAATGCTCGACTTCTGTTTGAGTTGGCGGTGGGTGACCCAAACCAGCTCCTCTTTATCTGCAGGAGGATCGAGTACGTCAGTCCGTTCCACACATTCTCCGAGCCACTACCGACAGAGCAGCAACCAAAGCGTGCACACTTGTGGCAAAGGAAACTATTGTACTGCAGCCCATTGTTGTGATCCCCCAAATCTCGCGACGCCCTGACACCAAAGCAGCGAATGGACCTGCTGCGTTTTTGACCGGATAGGATACTTAGCACCAGCTTTTTTGTCGTGGAAATCTTGTACTTCGAAGTAGTCTGCAAACTGCTGTGCTAGTGTACGTGTACTGTACGTACATGTAGTGTAGTGTTCGTTTTTGGTCTTCTCACGCAAATAACAGCTTGCAACGATTCCGATGTGCAGAGTGTACTTTCCAACGTGATAAAGTAGCAGTATCCAAGCGGTGGCAGTCGAGACGAGGCCTACGATTGCGATCAAGTGCAGCAAAACCTGAGTCCGAGGCGATACGAAAAGTTCGAGCTGCTTTTCCGACAAACGTCCAGGATAATGGAGCCGTGGTGGGCTAATCGAAGTTGCTGAGCGCATGACGCTGTGGCGGCTTGGTTCCGGACAACAGTACCGAGTCTCAGTCGCTGCTTCGAGATGACCGGAACCAGGTGCATCCGGGCGTGCAGAACGACGCATGATATGACATGCCGGTCACCACTAGACTCCAGATCCACCTGGTTGCGAGCTTGAACTCGTTGCCGATATACTCGCAAATACGCCTTTTTGACCAAGAAGATGACGAGCGTTGACGACGTGAAAATGACGGTCTGCCGCGACTCCATAGTCAAGATGCCGATGGGCAGCTTAGGAGAGCTGGAATCCGGGATTAACCTGTACGCGCAGCATGCCACGACCATTATCAATAACGGCCCCAACAGTATCGTAGATCTGACCGTCGACGGGTCCGTGCGATAATTCGCATCGACGGATACGACGATCTGTGAGCTCAGCCAGAGGACAACGCACACAGCAGCTCGAGAATCCTCAAAGATGCGACCTAAGCCAATCCAGTTGATGGCACTGAGGATCGAGATGAGCCAGCACTCGTAATTTCGTTGTAAAAGGGCGAAAACTTCAAGCGATAAGTTAGGAGCAATACGAAGCACAGGGACGGGATCATGGAGACTGCGCCGACCAGCGGCACCCAAGGGCGAATAGAGTCCGCGGGTGAGAAGAGTACACAGCAAAATGCCACACAGATCCGATTGAGTCACACCAGCGCAGGTTTTACATGGTGCATCCATCGTATTGCTTGCCCGTACGTCGCGGGCGGAAGCATTGCGGAAAGTGGGGTTCTGGAAATGTCCACGATAGGCAAAGCGTGTACCAGTTGCAGTTCGTAGAACCAGCCCGCATCACTCTTTTCACCAACCGCGCCGCCTCTCCTTCCGTTCTGCACCACGCGCGTGCTTGGTCCCACAACTTCAGCTGTGGTGGCATTCGCGACTTGGGTCAAGCTGATTCTCCATAAGCTCGGTTGTCTGCGCCCAAGTAAATCCATGAGTATAGTGGAAAAAGTGGAGTGCTACTTGTACCACGACCACCAAGCGAAGCTGAGCTGAGTCCACGAGAGGCGTATTATTGGTCCTCTCAATGCGGGAAAGCGGAAATGAAGGGAGCCTCGTCGTTGTATTCACGACGTTTTTTGTGTGATGCTCACGTTGTCCCCACGAGCGCATTTCACCCAGCTGTCATTTCGCACAGCCCAAACTCGACAACTTCATCAAAGAAGCGGGAGACTTGCGCGTCCCCCCACAGAGAGCTCCATCTCCTTTGCCAGTGGATAAAGCGTCAAAACTCATGGTGTAAATACATGAATCCAACTCCCCCGTTGACTTTCACGACATCACACGTTAGTAGGACAAGCCGCGCATTCCACCCAATGATTGTGATGATTCGCTGTACTGCGAGAGAGCTGGTGTGCTCTTCGAAAGTCCCGATTTTAGGCAAGGGTATAGCCAACAGCACCGTGACGTGAAAGTTTTACCATCACCCGCAACGATCTCAACCGCGCACACTGCAGCAACTGACAAAACTACAAGAATGACTGGGAGAGCGAACTTGCGCAGCCTCAGCTGCTGCGTGACGCTGGGGGTGAGCGCGTCAAGTATCAGAATCCAGATGAACCAGAGCCACCACGCCATGAGAGCAAGACTCGGCGATATATTCCACCTTAGCAGGTCAAGCAGACACAACGAACTTGCTCTGTGCGATCCAGCCCAGCTCCTCTTCATCAAGAGGTCGATCGAGTACACCAGCCCATTTCCGACCTTCGCAGAGCCACTGGACTACGAGCAACTACCGCATGCAAGAACCGGTGCTGCTTGCAGATGCTGGAGACGGAAATGGCCCCGACCTATTGATATGACCAGCGCGGTGGCTTGGAAGGCTGAAAAGCCACGTCAAAGTTCCAGAAAAGCAAGTGCAGCAGGTCTCTTTGAGCGAGAGCAGTGGATGACAGCACACAGATCACCGAGCACGCGTCTTGTCCACCTTGACAAAAGAACCCTCCGTTCCGTCGCTATAAAAGGCTTGGTGACTGCCATTCCATTGTCATTCTTAGCATCGCGTTGCTGTCACCAGGCTCCTCCGTCGTGTCAATAATCCCCTCGAGTCGCTATGACGGTGATCCGAGTGTCTCCGTTCCCGCGACGACACACTACGCCGGACGAGAAGTTCACGAAATCAAGGCGGCACTCCGACGGTCGCGACAATGCGTCCTTCCTGTACAAATTCGAGGCGACTCGCTCTCTGCCCGTCGTGGATCTGCGGCAAACGCTGTCGCTTTGGCTTCAAGGCCCGCAGCTGAACCTCAAGTTCCTCTGGTGGATGAAGAAACATTTCGGGATTCTGCACCTCGGCCAGGTGCTGGGCACGCTGCTTACACTCGTGGTGGTGGCTGCACCTCGCAACGTTGGGCTAGTATTGGGGCCAATTTCTGTGGTGATGTCGTTGACGTCCATCGTAAGCACAATCGGCACCGCCAGCATCGACGTGCTGCGGCTGCTGACCCAACACTACGAGTTCTGGTTCTTCTCGGTGGCGAATCTCGTCACATGGTCGCTGCTCGCCTTCTTCTTGGCGGATCCGCTTCGTATCGTCAGCCTCGTTCCGCTCCGGCTCATCCTGCAGCTCACGGTGTCCATGGACGCCAACTTTCGCACCTTCGTAGTGGCTGTACGCAGCAACATTTTGGTGCTGGTCGTGCTCATGATCATCGCGGCGCTGGTGTTTTTGATGGTCATCGATGTGGACTCAACGCGCCTCGAATTGGTGATCCCAATCTACTCCGCTCTCAACGTCTCGCTGCCGGTCATTGGGCTCTTCGAGAACGCACTAGCCACGCTCATCCCATTCGTCATGCGGGTGCTCTACACGAAGCGCAAGTTGTTCGGTGCACGCAGCGCTGGGTCGAAACTGGTGCGTTGTCAACTGTACCGAGCCCAACTTGTGCTGCGTCCTGTGCGGTACTCACGTACTGCCAGTCTGGGCGTCGAGACCAATCGTAGGAGCTACGTCTTGCATAAGCAACTGGGCATCACGGCACCGGAGATGTCGATCACCAGCGGCAACGACACGGCGCGGCATCACCAGCAAATTACGCTCGTGGCACTGCGACTCAGCGCTATCGATACGCGCAACACGCTGCTGCTGTCGTGGCCAGTGCAGACTTCAGGCCGGCTGAGTACTATCAAGCTCTTGGGAATCTACGCGACTGGGTCAGCAGGTTTAGCGCTTCCCGTGGTGACACTAGGACTTCCACCAAGCGGAGCTCAATCATCAGCCCAATACGTCATCCCAGTAGTGGGTTTCACGCTCACGATGGCCTTCTGCAGCGTGTTCGCCTGCGCGAGCCAACGCGATATGCTACGCGCGCTGCTGTTCCACAACTTCGGGTTCATCTTCTCGATGATGCACTGCTCGGTTGCTTGTCTGTGCGTGGCCGACATGATGAGCTGGGACAATCGATGCTGGGCGGTGGGTAGCGCCTTTGTCTGGTTCGTGTGGGTCCAGCTACTGGACGCCGTCACTCCTCCGGTGAGGCGACAGCTCTTGTTCTCCAAGGTGCAGGTGGTTCTGGTGCTGTGGTTGCTGTGGGCCTTGATGTTCGCGGTGGCGTACGCCAGCGTCTTCATCCCGATGGAGCGTAGCGGACTGCACGAACGAGACCTGGTTCATTTCCACGTGGGGCAAAACGTCACGGTGCTCAACACCAAGAGCATTCTGCTCAATCGCCTCATCATCATGTTCTTCTGGATGCAGCGTCACGCGTGGAACGTCTTCACGGGGGCTTTCACACGCTGCTGGAGGTTCCTGCGGCCGCCAAAACCTTCAGAAATCCCAGAGGAAGAGGCCACAGATCCAGATGAAGAGGAGTTGAGCACCATGCGAGGCTCGCTCGAGTATTTCTGCCCGTTCGAGACCTTCCCCGGCGTCAGACGCATATTCAGCAGTCTGCGGAGGTCGTCCACTAGTGGGCGCAGCACTCGTAGGGTCTCTATAACAGGGCGGCATCGAGTTCGACGTCTCAGCTCCGCGATCTTGCTGTCTGGTGTGGTGGGTCCGAGCGTGAAACAGCAGCAGAAACCTAGACGAGGTGCGTTCGGACAGCGCTCGTGCGATTCACAGGGTGAGAACGATCACCAAACGAACCCTAAGACAAGATCATGGACGAACAGCGCTCCTGGCATGGTTCGCGACGAGTGAGTCGAGGATTTCGGTACTGAAGACGGCAAACGTATCCTTATCATTCCATCCAGCTTCAGTCCGTGCCACCAATGCCGTCATTTTGGTCTTGGTGAGTTGAGGGCAGATCTGATGCTGCCTTGTGGATGCGAGCGATGAAGAGCCCGCTTGTGTTCTGCGACGGCGTGAAGCGGATGGTGCCTGGAAGTCTTCCCTCCTGTCAATTTAAGAAGCGTACAGTCTTAGGTTAGACCGATGCAATGGATAAACTGCAGCCGAAATGCTATCGTACCTGGCACGGCACATCTTCACTACGCACGATCGGGTCAAGCTTAGCCAGCGGTTCGTCCTGGAGGAAGCTTGAGACGATGTCTTCGTTCTGCTTTACAGACAGACTGCAGGTGCTGTAGATCATGGTGCCACCAGGCCGCAACATACTAAAGCCGTTCCGGATTAGTCCATGCTGCAGCTTCAAGATCCGCTCAATCTCGCTCGAGTTCAAGTGGTCGCGCACATATTCCTCCCACTTGGCGGCAGTATTCAGTCGCTGCAGGTGGCGGATCGACCCGTCATGAGTGCACTCGGCATCCACGAGCACCTTGTCGTACAGGGCGGAGTCCAGAACCAGCAGCTTCTGCCGCTTGGCGTCCCTCGCCCGAGCACTTTTGTTCTTACGCTTGCGCATCCGGTCTTTGGGCGCTCGCGACGCAATCTCCTGCGTGTCCAGCAGCACTTCCATCCCGTCGATGTGTGCGCACTCCGTCTTGGGTCCGATGTTGAAGGTCCTTCCGTCCGCATGGAACAGTCTGCATCTCCACTTGGTGTCTGCGGCCTCACTCTCGGGCTGGAAGAGCTGGTACTTGTGCACCAATTGCCTACAAGCGCCCAGTCTCGATCGCGAAAAGTCGACGCCCGTGACGCTCCCGCGAAGCTGCAGGAGGTCGGCGATCATGGTCAACTTGGCTCCCGGGGCACAGCACAGGTCCAGGACGTGCTCTCCCGGCTGAATGTCCAGCAGCGACACCGCATAACCCGACGAAATGTCGATACCGTACAGCTGGCCTTCCTTGTAGAGACCCACTCGAGCCAATGGAGCCGACACCGGCAGCGAATAGAAACCTGGAAGCCATGGAACAGCTTGTGGTACAGCCTGCTCGACGTGCTCTGTGTCGTTTTCAGCCGCTTCTCGGGCCAAATTGGCAGCAATAGCCTGCAGTCGAGGGTCTTCATCTTCTGTTGCACCGGTCCCAGCAAGTTGTTTGAGTCTGGAGGCGTGTGACGCAGAGAAAACAAGGAAAACGTGAATCTGAGGACATGGAATGATACACAACTTTAGGCGCCAATATCGCCTTACCGGAAGAAGCGAAGCGAGTCGCCATTGCACGACGGAGTCAACAGGTCCTTCGTAGAGACCTTGTGCTCCTCCAGGAAGCACAGGAAACCCGCGTCTTCCCACACGCGCTGGTCATCCCAAGCCGTCGTGGCGTCCGTCGTCGTCGCCATGCCTTCCACCGCTGGTGAAGCCATGTACCACTCACACATGGTACACGATCGCGTGCGCCGATTGGCGGAAAGACGATCTTGGGATCCGCCCGCTAATACGCGAGATGAGCGCTGGTGGTCATCAGCTCCGGTTAAACGCGCTCTCACAACTCAAGACGAGAGCCCAAGCGCAGTAGCCAAGAGTAACGTAGTGTAGCCATTTCCGCCATGTCCGAGGCACCGAAGGAAGCCAAGAAGCTCTGGGGCGGCCGCTTCCGCGGCAACGTGGACCCGGTCATGAACAAGTTCAACGAGTCGCTGTCCGTGGACAAGCGCATGTGGCGCGTGGACCTGGACGGCAGCCAGGCCTACGCGCGCGCGCTCGAGAAGAGCGGCGTGCTGACGACGGCCGAGGCTGACGCCATCGTGGCCGGCCTGGACAAGGTCGGCGAGGAGTGGGCGGCCGGCACGTTCGAGCCCAAGGACGGTGACGAGGACATCCACACGGCCAACGAGCGCCGCCTCACGGAGCTCATCGGCGCCGTGGGCGGCAAGCTGCACACGGGCCGCAGCCGCAACGACCAGGTGGCCACGGACGTGCGCCTGTACCTCAAGCGCACCATCGTGGGCATCCAGGAGGGCCTCAAGGAGCTCATCGGCACGGCCAACCAGCTGGCCGAGAACAACATCGAGCTGCTCATGCCCGGCTTCACGCACCTGCAGCCGGCGCAGCCGCTGCGCTTCTCGCACTGGGTGCTGAGCCACGGCGCGGCACTGCTGCGTGACGCCGACCGCCTGGCCGACCTCACCAAGCGCGTGGACTACATGCCGCTGGGCAACGGCGCGCTGGCCGGCAACTCGTTCGGCCTGGACCGCGAGGCGCTGGCCAAGTCGCTGGGCTTCGCTAACGTGACGCCCAACAGCCTGGACGGCGTGTGCGACCGCGACTTCATCGCCGAGTTCCTCTTCTGGGCCTCGATGCTCATGGTGCACCTCTCGCAGCTCTCGGAGGACCTTATCATCTACAACACGCTCAAGTTCGTGACCATGGCCGACGCCTACAGCACGGGCAGCTCGCTCATGCCCCAGAAGAAGAACCCGGACGCGCTCGAGCTGCTTCGCGGCAAGAGCGGCACCGTCATCGGCCGCCTCAACGGCTTCCTCGTGACGCTCAAGGGTCTGCCGCGCTCGTACAACAAGGATCTGCAGGAGGACAAGACGGCGCTCTTCGACGTCGTCGACACCATCCAGGACTGCCTGCAGATCGCCACCGGTGTGCTGGCCACCATGACCCCGCACGGCGACAAGATGCGCAGCTTCCTCGTCACGGAGATGCTGGCCACCGACCTGGCCGAGTACCTGGTGCGCAAGGGCGTCCCCTTCCGTGAGACCCACCACGTCGCCGGCGCCGCCGTGCGTCTGGCCGAGGACAAGAACAAGCCGCTGAGCTCGCTCACGTTCGAGGAGCTGTCCACGCTGCACCCCAAGTTCGAGCAGGATGTCCTGGACGTCTGGAACTTTGACGTCAGCGTCGAGCGCAAGAACGTCACGGGCGGCACCAGCAAGAGCGCCGTGGAGAAGCAGATCGCCAACATCAAGGCGTGGCTCGCTTAAGCGGTACCCAGCTGAGCAGCGTTGGCCGCTGCCAACGTCGCCTCCATACTCGCAGATAACAAACACATCGGCCCTCGAGCCGCGTCTTTATAATCCCCTTCCTAATGAAGAAGCAGGAACCCTGCAACTCGTAGCACATCTGCACTGCGTTCCCTGTTCCGGTTTCCCTGCTTTACAGCTTGCTGTAGCGCCAGTAACGTAAAACACTCGACTTGCTGCTTGCTTCTCCCTGTTCAGCAGCACTCCAAGCCAGCAACTCGGGCGAAACACTCGATTTCCACGATCATCTCTCCTCGCCACTAGCGGCGCTCACTATTCAACAAGTCGGGCTCTGTATCTCCTCTTCTCTCTAGTCTCTGGGTAGTAGTAGGCAGACGCAGCTCTCCTTGCTCCAGCTTAGTGGCCCCTGCACAGCACAGCACAGCCACACAAAACCAACACGGTCAGCAACAGTTAATTGACACAGCCAGCAGCAGAAGCAGGAGACGCACGATTTCTTGCGGCGCAGGATGAAGTCGATCATGGATCCGACGCGGCGGTTGGCGCGGCGGATGTTCTGCTCCTCGGCTTTGCGCTTGCGCTTCTGCCACTTCTTCTCGTGGAAGCGCTTGAGCGCCAGCGTCTTGAGCGTGCCGTCGCCCGCCAGGATCGTCTGCATGCGGCTGGCCACGCGGTCCGCATCCTGGCCCTCGGGCACCTTCGCCCACAGCGAGCGCTGCTGCTGCTGAGTGGTGCGGGACACCAGCGTGGCCGTCGGGCGGCGCGCGGCGGAGCGGAGCAGAGCCGACATCATCTTGGTCTCAGCTCGGGGTGCTGCTAATGGAGTCTGTGGTCCAACGCGAAGTCTTCCAGGAAGGCAATATGTTTATCGGGAAGTCAAAATAGACATATATCTAAGTTCGAAACGCACTTAGAACGACTCTAGCTAAGGTTCGCTGCCGACGTGGCTGCACTATTGAAACAACCGAGCCAAAGCGCAGAAATGGCCGACGAAGTGGCGGACGTACCCGAGGCGAGCCTGCGCAACCTGGTGGCGCAGAAGTCGCTGCAGTGGATCTTCGTGGGCGGCAAGGGCGGCGTGGGCAAGACCACCACGTCCTGCTGCCTGGCCATCCAGCTGGCGGCGCAGCGCGAGAAGGTCCTCATCGTGTCCACGGACCCCGCGCACAACCTCAGGTCTGCGCTGTACTGCAAGTAGTACATGCGCTCTACCTTTCTCTTCCTCTGGCGCTCACTCTACTTGCTTTATTCTACCCCTCTCTCCTGCGTAGTGACGCGTTCGGCCAGAAGTTCACGCGCGAGCCGACGCCCGTCAACGGCTTCACCAACCTCGCGGTCATGGAGATTGACCCCAATGTCGACGTAGGACGCCGCTCTACCGCCTCTACCTACTGCCCCACTTCGATTTACTGACTCTACCAACGTTTTGTTGCTGCCCTTGCTAGCTGGAGGAGATGAATGCCGATGGCGTGCAGGACAACTCGGGCATGGCCTCGTTCATGAAGGACCTGACCAACTCAATCCCCGGCATCGACGAGGCCATGAGCTTCGCGGAGCTCATGAAGCAGGTGCAGAACATGGACTACTCGGTCATCGTGTTCGACACGGCCCCCACGGGCCACACGCTGCGCCTGCTGAGCTTCCCCACGGCGCTGGACAAGGCCTTCGACAAGATCCTGTCGCTCAAGAACCAGTTTTCGGGCATGTTCTCGCAGGTGTCGGCGCTGCTGGGCGGCGCGCTGCCCTCGCAGGAGATGCTGCTGGGCAAGCTGGAGCAGACGCGCGAGGTCATCCAGAAGGTGAACGCGCAGTTTAAGGACCCGGAGCGCACCACGTTCGTGTGCGTGTGCATCCCCGAGTTCCTGTCGCTTTACGAGACGGAGCGCCTTGTGCAGGAGCTCACCAAGTACGAGATCGACGTGCACAATGTGGTCGTGAACCAGGTGCTGTACCCGGAGGAGGGATCAACGTGCAAGAGCTGCGGTGCCCGCCAAAAGATGCAGCAGAAGTACATCGACCAGATCTACGACCTGTACGAGGACTTCCACGTCGTGGAAATGCCGCTGCTGACCGAGGAGGTGCGCGGCGTGCCGTCGCTTAAGGCCTTCTCCGAGAACCTGCTGGCACCGTATGAGCCCAACCAGTAACGAGATCTACGCGAACGATTCCGTGCTGAGAGAAGAGAGAAGATAGCATTTTGTTCAACACGTCTAGATCCTCCTATTCGTCGCTGCTGTCACTATATTCAGCTACTAGGCTGGCTACAGGTGCTGCTGGTGCCTTCGCCTTGGCCTTCTTCTTCTTCTTGGCAACTACTGTGGTCTTCTTCTTTATCGTCACCGCCAGTGTAAGCGGCGCTGCTGCTGTTGAGTCAGCTTTACTTTCACCAATCGAGGACGTCAGCCCGGTCGCAGCTGTAGTCGCCTTGGTATCTTCACTTGCATCACCTACTGGCCTCTTCAGCGTGTTCTGCTTCTGCTGCAGCTTTTGCCTCTCCGCAAACACGCGATGCGCCTCGCGCCGGTCCTCCTCGAGCTGCTCCTCCTGCTCCTCCTTGCTGAGCTTGCCCTCGTCAGCGTGCTGCTGCAGCAGCTTGTCCGTGTCCACCTTGGCGTGGCGCTGGTTGATGGCCTTGATCTCGTCCAGCGCGTCCAGGATGTCCATCTCGCGCTTGGAGTCGAGCGTGCGGTTCTCGAGCGCCTTCATGGCGTCGCCCTTCTCCTCCTCGGCGCGCTGGGCGATGGCGGCCTCCTGCTCGTCCTCCGTCTCGCGCCAGGGCTCGAAGTTGCGCTGGCAGCCGTGCTCGGCCACGTAGTCGCCGCGCTTGGGGTCCGTCTTGAAGGTGATCTCGGACGAGCACGTGATGCACTTGATGTAGAAGCGGTAGATGCGGATGCCGTGGTAGTTCTCCTCCAGCACCTCCTCCTTGCGCGAGTTGAACTTCTTGCCGCGGTACATGTACTCGCCGCAGGTGGCGCACTGGATGGAGAAGGGCAGCATCATGCGCACCTCCACCTGCTCATTCTTGGGCTTCTTGCGCCGCGGGATCAGCGACGGATCGAAGTCCGGCGGGAAGTACTTGTTCAGCACCTTGCGCTCGCCCATGATGCTTTGATAGGGTCGATGTGAAAAGTATGCGGGTGCTGTTATGAGGAGGAATGTTTGAGCGTATTAGTGGGCCTGGAGAAGGGAATACCGGATTACATACCGGTTTAGCCGATTGGAAAACTGAACCTGCTCTAGCGCATTATTGCTCGATTATCCGGTGGTGCAATTTTGAAGCAGGACCAATTCCAGACCAATTTTGGTCCAGTTTCGAAGCGGACTTCACATGTTGCAAGCAGTCTAGGATGGCAGATCGAGTGGTGGCGAGTGCGGGTGCTTGGGCGCGGAGGATCTATGTGCTTGCGTGCAGACCCAAGCAGAGCGTTTCAGTGCGGGGCGTGGGCGACTGGCGTGGCCCCCGCCAGTGAGAGGCGAAGGTAACCGAGGCACGCGGTCGGTGCCAGCGAAATGAGCCTTGGTCCGGTGCGAACTACACGAAGTTGGTGCTGATCCGCTTGGAAATCATCGGCATTACTCGGATCATTTGCCCGCGTTGGATTGAATGAGCGGCTCACCGAACGGGGTCACGGGCCTGAGCACGGGCAGCTCTCGATTCAACCTGGTGCTTGACCTTCAAGCAGTCTGCTCGCCTCGATACATGTAAGTCGATACAGAAATCGAGCAATCGAGTCGATTGCTCAGCGCGCCGTAGTCTGCCCCCTCAGCCATTGCTTGGCGGGTTTAACCTCCGCCTGCGCGACACCTCGACGTTGAAGACACCGCTCTGCACGGTCGAAGCGCAATCCGAGCGATTATCTTATGGTAGAACCCAGGCGGACCCAAATCCGATCACGTGCGGATTTTGGGCTCGTCGAGACGTTGAGTCTCGCTTGGCAAAGGCGGCCGCACCTCCGGAACCAGCCGCAGTCTGCTGGCTGCCCAGCTGTGCGGCGCCATCGGAACAGCTCGGCGCGCTTGCAAACAGCGCATGCAAGTGTGCCAGCGGCACGCAATTAGACATAGCGAGCAGGCGCCGTCCCGCCGGTGCTGCTTCAGAGGCTGCTAAAAACGTCGCCGCCAGACAAACCGACCCCAAGCAACACGCTCGTTGCATCGCAACAACGCTCGATGCAGAGCTCGCTTGCCCGAGCGCGGCACCACGGTCTCCGAGCTTTTACGGGCCGCATCCTATCGACAGTTCGGCCAACGCATCTGGCCACCTCTTCCCCATCGCCGCCGCGCTTGCCGGTGGCGGACATCGTACGCAACGTGGGGCGGCGGGTCGCCATGTTGAGTGACGCAAAATATGATCAGTCCGGGGTGTGCGTTTCTCGCGGCCGAAGGTTTTCCTCGCCCGAGGGAGCCCAGTTCCTCCGCTCGGTATCCCGTTGGTGCAGGCAGTTAGACTTGAACGCTGTATGTAGCTGGATAAGGCTGGCCCGGCCTTGCGCGCTGTTCGGGAGGGAAGACACGCCGAAACCGTTCAGCCGACACAAACGGTGCTTCGCACGGTAAAGCCTGACCACACGCTGCCGAGATCGACTATCCTGGTTCTGCGTTCTAAACTTGCTTTAAAGTCTAGACACAAAACACTTTCACCATACCTGAGTATAGCGATAAAATCGACAGTTTATACTATCGATTAATGCAGGTCTCCGCATTTACATATTTTAGACCAATGGCCGCGCTCCCCTGCTGGTGGTCTGCCCCGCCTCCTGCGCGATTGTTCATTTTGGAACTGGTGACCACCAGCACAAGCCCCTCGCGCCGTCCGCCCCCCCTTCACGATGGCCCTCACCCGCGCCTCCGTCGCCGCCGGGCGCATGCAGGCCGCCTCGCGCTGCCCCTTCATGCACGCGCTGCCCACGTCCCGCGCCGCGCTGCTGCCCAACATCTCGCAGCTGGCCAAGATGTGCCCGCACATGTCCTCGGTCATGGGCGCCGCGGCCGCCGGCGGCAGCAGCTCGCAGGCGCACGCCACGTCCACCACGTCGCACGCCACGCTCAAGCGCATCGCCGAGCTCAAGAAGAAGGCGCAGCAGCAGAAGGCCGCGCAGCTCGGCGGCCCCAAGCCCTACTCGTCCGCCGTGGCGCGCTTCCCTACGGCGGCCACGCGTCAGAACCGCGTCGGCGGCCTCTCGGCCACGCAGTACGAGAAGGGCTTCGCGCAGACCATCGAGACCATCAAGCGCGAGGGCCGCTACCGCCTGTTCGCTGACCTGGAGCGCAAGCGCGGCAAGTTCCCGCGCGCCACGCACCACGAGGACTCGGGCAAGACCAAGGAGGTCGTCGCCTGGTGCAGCAACGACTACCTCAGCATGGGCCAGCACCCCAAGGTCATCGCCGCCATGCAGGAGTACCTTATGAAGTCGGGCGCCGGCTCGGGCGGCACCCGCAACATCTCGGGCACCAACCACAACCACGTGCTGCTCGAGCGCGACCTGGCCGACCTTCACCAGCAGGAGGCGGCGCTGCTCTTCACATCCTGCTACGTGGCCAACGACAGCGTCATCAGCACCCTCACCAAGATCTTCCCCGACCTCATCATGTTCTCGGACAGCCTGAACCACGCGTCCATGATCCAGGGTATACGCCACAGCGGCGCCAAGAAGTACATCTACAAGCACAACGACACAAAGGACCTCGAGGAGAAGCTCAAGATGGCCGACCCCAACGCGCCCAAGCTCATCCTCTTCGAGAGCGTCAACTCCATGGAGGGCACGGTGGCCCCGCTGCACGAGATCTGCGACCTGGCCGACAAGTACGGCGCCATGACCTTTAACGACGAGGTGCACGCCGTGGGACTGTACGGCAACCGCGGTGCCGGCGTCGCTGAGCGTGACCACTGCCTGGACCGTATCACCATGGTGACGGGCACCCTGGCCAAGGGCTACGGCATCATGGGCGGCTACGTGGCCGGCAACGCCGCGCTCGTGGACGCCATGCGCTCGTGCGCCTCGGGCTTCATCTTCAGCTCGTCCATGCCTCCCATGCTCGCCGCCGGCGCCCGCGCCTCGGTAAACCACCTGAAGGAGAGCCAGGTGGAGCGTGCCACCATGCACGCCCGCTCGCAGGAGCTCAAGAACAAGCTGGTGGACGCCGGCTTCCCTCTGCTGCCGAGTGTGAGCCACATCATCCCGCTGATGGTGGGCGACGCCGTCAAGGTCAAGGAGGCCTCGCGCATCCTCATGGAGAAGCACCGCATCTACGTGCAGCCCATTAACTTCCCGACCGTGCCCCGTGGCGAGGAGCGTCTGCGTCTGACGCCGCTGCCGACCCACTCGGACGCTATGGTGGAGGACCTGATGACGGCTCTGGAGGACGTCTGGACCACGCTCGACCTGCCGCGCCACTTCGTGCCCAAGGGCGAGTACCTGCCCAAGGTGGAGTGGGCCAACTCGCCGCTGGAGATCGCCGGCGAGTTCGTGGTCGAGTCGGCTCAGGAGGCTGCCTGCGCCGCCTAAGTGGCCCCCAATGCGGCGTTGCCTCGCACTCCGTTAATGGAAGAGCCCGAGGCCCATGCCGCCGCCGCCTATCCAAAATCAACCACACAACATTATGCGTAACGAGTAGGATGAGGAACCAAAAGGAAGAAGAGCGTAAGTCTCGGTTAATGTATCCCCACGATCCTGCTTCTCCAGAAGGTGACAAGCAGGACCAGGAAGTTCCATCCTATCAACCATTACAGTCCCACTGGTGTGTCCTCCAAGTCGTCTGTATCGTGAGCTTCCAGTATTAGCCCTCACCAAATCAGCTGCCAGGCTATTCGTATTTGGACTTCTTGTTGAGAAGTTCTCTTCTCAAGCGCCAAGACACTTCAGTGCTGACTCATGGTTACCCCTTCCGTCGCACCGCAGCCACAGCGTCCAGTGCGCGGTGCCAGCCCCACAAGGCGATTGAAGAAGCCCAAAACCGTGCTGGGCAGACTCAAGCACGTGTGGAAGTCGACCCAAGTGAGCCACCGAGGACAGTACTCCATCGAGAGACTTCTTGCGTTGGGGGAATACACGCAGCGCACTTCAAGACTTCGAGTGCTGCTCGTGTGTCTGGGTTCTCCGTTCCCCATGACCGCCTTCGTTTTGCTGGTAGAATGCGTACCGCTGCAAGACCCGAGCGTTGGGTGGAGAGAGAACTACGGTCTTTGGATTCGCAGCGCTGTCATCTGCGGCGTGATCGCGGCCACGATGCTCGTGGAGCTGAAGTATTTGATCGAGGGCGTCAAAGTCTCCATACGACAGGCAGGTTTCGTGCTGGTTTGCGTGATGGTGGTGGATTCTACGCTGCTGATGACCGCAGCGGCCTACTTGGTGTTCCCAATCCCGTTCATGAGTCTGTTGATGGTGCCTCCGTTGCTCGCGATTGTGGCGGTGGCGCTCCGAGTTTCGTTCGGAGGTGACGGGTTCAAGAAGATGCAGGAGCACCCAGCGCAGTTGTACGGCTTCGTGCTCTTCATCTTCGCTCAGGCGCTGACGCTGGTCGTCTACCCCATCTACCAGGTGCTGTTTAGCGCCTCCGTGAACACGCACTTTGAGCTCAGCGTTATGATGCTGCTCCCGATTGTCAAGATGATGGTCAAGAACATTGTCGCGTCGAGCATCTACTACATGGAGGACATGCTACCCGAGTCGGTCATTTTCACTGTCGACTTCTTCAATGCTGTCTATGTGGCCACTTGCATGCGCCAGGCTTCGTCGGTCTTTACGGTAGCGGCTATCATGTTCGTTGACGTGTTTCATACTGTCTACGCTCTTCGGAGACTGCGCCATACTGGGATAGAGATCAAACGGCGACTGAATCATGACTTGGGCAGCAATATTACTACCCTGGATCTGTTGGAGGTTGGCTGCTCGTTGTGCCAGCACCGCGACAAGTTCGAGAGGCAGGAGCTCTCGCAGATCCAATTGCGTTCGTGTCTCCCTCATACGCTCTCCTCGACTGGCAAAAGCACCATCGCCCGGTTGGAGAAGTACCCACTCAAACCTCCTATTAAAGCGCACCGACGACGCGCCTTTAGTACGAGTGTTGTACCGATAGACAACAGCACTAGCGCTCCACATCTGTGCCAACCTGTTCAAAGTGCAGGATGGAAGGCTGCAAGACAAATTGCTACCAAGGCCTACGCAGTTTCGGTCATGAACAGTATCACCACCAAGACATCGCAAAAAAGCACGGCCACGCGGACTCAAAGCGTCATTTCGTCGTATTCAGTACCCCCATCACGGATTCTCCAGCGAACGCTGGAAATTATGTTCATGACGGAGTGTCTCGTTCTCACCGAGTACTTGGAGTCCTTCACACCAGCCTTCTACGTCAACTTCCTGCTCATCATGGTTCGACTCCCGAGCGCGCAGTACCACACAGAACTCGACGGCATCACACAAGACAACGTGATGGATACGCTGCTGCCGGTCTTCTACTACGGACTACTCGAGCTTCTGTCATTTTTGCTCCTCGTGTTTGCCATTCGACGTACTATTGGCATGGATGCACTGTATCACCTAGCGTTCGTGTTGGAGACGCAGACGTCGTTGATCCAGAGCAAACTGATCGTGTGGATGCTGCTGACGCTGACGTGTCGAGTGGTTCACTATGGTGAGTTAGTGAGAGCTCTCCTTGACTAGCTTCAGCTGATTATGTTGTTGCTATTTCCCAGGTTTCGACTTCACCTTCCAGTTTTCGTGGACCAACGCAAGTATCTAAGTGATACCTACAGATTAAAAAAAACTTACAGATTAGCATGTAGATATTGTTCATAGCTTCTTCTCGATTTGTCATGTGTCTGTGGCTCTACAAATAGTGTCCGGCATCAGGAGAAACTATTTATTTTGTTTCTCACTTCGCCTATAATTGTAGCACTTGAACTCGTCATTGACTGTCATTTTGGTTTGATGCCATGATGGCTCCACCCCAGCCACGACGTCCAGGGCATGCTCAAGTGCATAGACGAGCAATGCAGATGCCCATTAAGATTCTGCTAATCAAACTCAGACGGGCGTGGATGCGGGTGCAAATAAGCTATCGAGGCAGGTACTCCATCGAAAGGTTCCTGTCACTCGAAGAGTACATTCGACGGACATCACGCGCTCGAGTGTTCGTGGTGTGCCTCGGTACCCCATTGCCCATGGTCGCCTTTGTTCTGTTGGTGGAGTGCGTGCCACTCCAAGACCCAAACGCTGGCTGGAGCGAAAACATCGGCATCTGGGTACGAAGTGCCGTCATTTGCAGTGTCATCGCCTTCACGATGCTCGTAGAGCTCAAGAACTTGATCGAAGAGGTGGCGATCTCAGTGTTGCAGACGATTTTCGTCCTGGTCTGTGTGGTGGTGGTGGATATCGCGTTGTGCATGGCTGTAGCTGCTTACTTGGCGTTTCCCATTCCATTCATGAGCATTGTCATGGTGCCCCCGTTGCTCGCTATTGTAGCCATTTCTCTCCGGATAGCGTTCGGTACCCAAACTTTCAAGAAGATGGTCTCCCACCACGCCCAGATATTTGGCTTCGTTCTGTTTATCATGGCTCAAGCGGCGACGCTCGTAATTTACCCAGTGTACCAGGTGCTCTTCAACGCAGTGACGGATACGAAATTCGAGTTACCGGTCTTGTTTCTACTGCCAATCATCAAGATTCTCATGAAAAATGTTGTGGCTGAGAGCATCGACTACATGGAGGACATGATGCCCGAGTCGATCATCTTCACCGTGGACTTCTTCAATGCCGTGTACATGGCTACATGTATGCAGCGAACGTCGTCGACCATTACAGTGGCGACCGTGATGGCCGTGGACATTATTCGCTCGGTTATAACGCTGCAGAGTCTGTATGGGACGTCGTACGAACTGCAGCGGCAGGTCAACCGAGAGATGCGGTGCAGCGGTGAACGGTTGAATCTGCTTGAAGTGGGCTGCTCAATCTGCCAAAATGTCGACAGATTCGCTAGACAGGAACTCTCGAAAATTCAACTGCGCTCATGCCTGCCTCATAAACTTTCCCAAGCTGGAAAAATTCAGCTTTCTCGGCTGGAGAAGTTCCCTTTCAAGCCAGCCGTCAAGGCTCACCTCCGCCGCCTCAGTAGCTTGGCAGTTTTATCCATTCGCAGCGTAGATATGGCCACGGCCTATCTGAACCAACGATCTCAAAGTTTAAGACGGATGTCCTCCAGACGCCAGAGTGCTAAGGTTTGTGCGGGGGCACCGATAAGCAGCATCCCAGTAAGATCATCCCAGCAACACAGCGCATCCAGAAGAGCAAGCGCGAATTCCCCTCATCCGACGTCGCGCATTCTCCAGAGAACTCTCGAGATCTTGTTCCGCTCGGAGTGCCTCGTACTGACCGAGTACTTAGGGTCGTTTGTTCCCATTTGCTACGCGAACTTTGTGTGCGTGATGGTCCAGCTGCCAAGCGTCCAATACCATACAGAGCTAGACGGTATTACTCCTGCCACCGTTCGAGATACGGTGCAGTCCGTCTTCACGTACGGAGGGCTCGAGATCGTGTCCTTCCTGGCACTTTTGGTAGTGATCCAACGCACGATTAGCCTGCGCGCGTTATATCACTTGGCGTTCGTGCTGGAGACGCAGATGGCCTTGGTTCAAAGTAAACTGACGGTGTGGATGCTGCTGACGCTGACCTTCCGGGTGGTGCACTACGGTGCGTTTGCAGATAGGTAACTAACTAGCTGGTAAATTGACATTTCTCACTCACAAGTTCGTGTTTTTGCTTTGGCCCGGTGGTGCTAGCAGGTTACGACTTTACGTTTCAGTTCCCGTGGATTAGCAACGAGGCCAGCAGCATTTCTTGAATTCATTAGGACTCGCAGGAGTATTGTGGGGGATTTTCTATTCTGCCAAGATCTTAGCCAATTTTGAATAAACAGAGTGCACCCTTAAAAATTAGGAGAATTCTTGGAACTGGTATTCTTCATTCCAACTGAACGTGAAGGACATCGATGTGATGATGAGGTATATTGGACAACTTCTCCTAACGAGGATTGAGTCCTAACAACCCTACTGCCGTGGTTTAACCCTCGGCCGCTTCCTCTCCACTATTCCCTTGTAGGCGTTGATCTATTAGCGCCTCTGTTGCATCTGTGTGCGTGTTAGACCACTCAAGCATACATCGCGACACAAGTGTGTCGATATGTGGGAATCTTGCCTGAATTGCCTCTGGTTCGAGGTCGTGCGTCAGCTCTTCCTCCGGTACTGTCAAGGCCAGGCTGCGCGCTGCAGTGTTCCCCGACTTGCTCAAGAGTGTCCATGACGCGACTCGCACTCTGTCCGCGGTACGTCTGCACTTGAGAAACCACATTTGTAGTCGTCTTGCTTTTGGTGGCGCTCGAGTTTTAAGTACTCGCAGGATCAGCTCGTTGTCCCCAGCGACATGGATGCCTCTGAGTCCACGTGTGTCTGCAGCGCTGCGCAGATGATAAAGGGCGACAAAAGCAGCAATATTGTGAGTGCATGATGGCGATGGGAGTGAGAAACTTGTTCCCCACAGGCTCCCACTTAGTACGCCATGACGGGCAAGTACTGCTCCGGCACGCGCCCCTGCATGTGGAATTCCTTTGTATCCATGAAAGAAGCCCACCACATCATTTTGTAGTGCCACCGCGTGCACGGGGCACTGCGACGAACGTGAAGGACATCCACGGACACAAGGAGCTGTAACGAAAACAATTTTTTGCAGGTTCGTGTTTTCTACGGATGGTACATCTCACATTCGTGATGTAGAAGAAAATATATCTAACCCAGCGCAAGTTTGCACTATTTTACCTCTTCATGACACTTTTGCTTACACTTTTTCTTACATAGCAAAACAAATATTCAAACCATAAATTTATTCATGTGCGTCAGGCCAAGTGGGAGCTATAACGGGCATCATAGCTCTGTCTACGCCATCTTATCAGCACTTTACATTTACATGTTTGTCGTGTTGGAGCCGGGATGGAATCCTCAAGACAAGAAAGCTCGGGGGTAATGAAGTTCAAGTGGCAAGATCTTCCAGGACTCTGTGCACCAAGCTTAGGCGGGCTTGGGTGTTCCTTCAAGTGGAGAATCGTGGCAGGTTCTCAGTTGAAAGGCTACTGGCCCTCCACGAGTATACCAGGAAGGTCTCGCGCGTTCGGGTGTTTCTTGTATGCGTTGGGACTCCATTGCCGATGGTAGGATTTGTACTCGCGCTCGAGTGCGCCCCCCTTCAAGACCCGAATGCTGGATGGGAAGACAACTACGGTCTGTGGATACGCTGCGTCGTCATCTGTGGTGTCATCGCCTACACGATGCTCGTGGAGCTGAGGAACGTAGTTGAGGCTGTGGCGATATCTATTAGACAGGTAATTCTTGTACTGATCTGCGCCATGATCGGAAATACGACGCTGTGTATGGTTGTTGCTGGAAGTCTGGCGTTCCCGATTCCGTTTGTGAGCGCCCTGATGGTGCCTACACTGCTGGGAATCGTTGCTGGGTCCCTCAGACTGGCATTGGGCCAGCAAGGCTTCAAACCGTTGCTTGGACACAGTGAGCAGCTTTGGGGCTTCGTGCTCTTCATATTCGCTCAAGCGTTGACACTGGTCGTGTATCCGGCCTACCAAGTGCTCTTTCACGCCGTTGTGAGTACGAGATACGAGCTTCCAGTCATGATGCTGCTCCCGCTGATTAAGTTAGTCACGAAAAACATCGTCGCGTCCAGTATCCGCCACATGGAGGACATGCTGCCGGAAGCCGTCACCTTCACCGTCGACTTCTTCAACGCTGTGTATTTGGCCACGCGCATGCAGCAAATGACCTCCCTCACGACCGTGTCGATTGTTATAGCCTTTGGCTTGGTGAACACAGCGCTGGCGTTGTACGAATTGTACCAGGGGGTTGTGGCCATCCGCGGCCGCCTGAGTCGCGAGGCTGGCGTGGTCGTGCATGACGTTGCACTGCTCGATCTAGGACGCTTCATATGCGGGGAACACGACAAGTTTGCTAGGCAGAGACACTCTCAGATCCAACTGCGCTCGTGTCTCCCTCATACAATATCGCAGTCGGGGAAGCAGATTGTTCACAGCCTGGAGAAGTTCTCACTGAAGTCAAGCACCAAAACTCTCTCTCGTGCGGTTAGCGAGGAGTCGATGCTAGCTCGAATTAGTGCCGCATATCCTACGAACGCCCCCCCCACCATCCGCTGGAACGCGACCAATGGACTCAGCTCTAAGATATACGCTCAACCATCACAACACCCATCACAGGACAAAGTTTCCTTTGGGAAGCGCCACGCCGGCTGCGACCAGCACCCGTCGCGCGTCCTGCAGATAACCCTCGAGGTCTTGTTCAAGTCGGAGTTCCTCGTGCTCAACGAGTACTTGGAGTTCATCACCCCGCTTTTCTACGCGGGCTTCGTGCGCGTCATGGTGCACCTGCCCAGCGCTCAGTACCACAAAGAGCTCCAGGGGATCACGCAGGAGAACGCTCTACAGAGACTGCAGTCAGTCCTGCTCAACAGCCTACTCGAGTGCGCCTCGTTCCTGCTCGTCGTGAGTGCCATCCGACGCGTCACCGGGACGGGGGCGCTGAGTCACCTCGCGTTCGTGCTGGAGACGCAGAGGGCGCTCGTCTGGATGCTGCTCACGCTCACGTGCCGCGTGGTGCACTACGGTGCGTCGGTCTCCTCCCTTTTCTTCTCCTACATGTAGAGCGTACTCACCTTCTCGTTCTACGTTCTAGCTGCAGGTTTCGACTTCAGCTTCCGCTTCCCCTGGCTCAAAGGCAACAGTGTCAACTTCAACTAACAGTTGCCTTTTTTGTAGCCATCTCGTCAAGTAGTTGTAGCCATCTCTACGCATCACTTCCCTCTGATCCCATGACGACCCGAGCCTGGCGATACGTGACGTTCGACGCGACGGGGACGCTGCTGCGGCCCGCGGAGCCCCCGGGCGCGACGTACCTGTGCTTCTGGGAGGCGGCTTCGGGCCAGCGATTCTCGTCCGCGCGGCGCGAGGCCGCGGCTGCCGCGCTCTCTGCGCACTTCCCGGCCGAGTTCAGTCGGCTGTCCAAGCAGTCGCCCAACTTCGGCTCGGACGGGGCCTCGGCCTCCTCCGCCTTCCCGTGGTGGCGGCGCCTCGTGCTCAACGTCATGAAGCGCGCGGACGTGGCCGACTGCGCGCATCAGGAGCAGAGCGAGCGCTTCACGCGCGACCTGTACGCGCACTTCGCGCGGCCCGAGGCCTGGACGGTCTTCGAGGACGTGCGGCCGACGCTCGAGCGGCTGCAGCGGCAGCAGGTGCCTATGGGCGTCATCTCCAACTTCGACGAGCGCCTGGAGACGCTGCTCGAGGGGCTGCAGCTGCGCGACGCCTTTGACGTCGTCACGGCCTCCTTCACCCAGCCGCATGTGAAGCCGCACGCGAGCATCTTCCACTCGACCTTCAGCCAGCTGCAGGGGCAGGTGGGGGAGGGCGCTCTACAGACGCAGCGCTTCCTGCACGTGGGGGACCACCCGAGCAAAGACTACAGGGCGGCCAAGGCCGTCGGAGCGCACGCCAAGCTGCTCTGGCGCAGCGAGCGCAGAGCCCCGCCCAGCGACGTAAGCGAAGGCGACGTCATCACCTCGTTGGTGGACGTGCAGTAGGAAGGAGAACGGAAGGAGGAGGCGTTGAACGGCTCAATATACTACTGCGCATGGCTGTCTGTAGAGGAGAAAGATTCTCGACGGTTATCTCTCCTGCTTTGGACGGACGGACGGACGGACGGACGCCTCTGAAGCGACGCCACTTGAAGCTTGAATTGAAGCTTGTTGACCCCTGGCATCTCGCAAAGCCAAACCCGGCGGAAGGGTAGAGTGCTACTACCATTGGTGATGGCGACGGAGCTACAGGAGGACGTGGCGCAGGTGGCGAAGGAGCTGCAGCGCGACGTGGAAGGCACCTGCGCGGCGGTCGTGAGTGAGCTCGTGGCCTGCGACGACCCGACGCATTGGCTCGAGCTGCTCACGACGTTGGCGGCGTCCGACGCTCTACCGGCGGAATTGGTAGAACGACTCGACTCTGAATTGCTACCGCAGGTGGTGCAGCTGCTGCTGGGTAGAGCGTTCGACCTGAGTGCGGTAGAACGAGTCAACGCGTTCTACCAGTGGACGCTCAGTGCAGTCGTCAAGAGTCTGCAGCGAGGGGAGATCGCTCGCCTGGCGTGTCTGGCCAGGATCCTGGACGCCCACCGCCGGTTCTACCTGTTTCATGGCACCAGTAACGACGGCAGCGCGCTCAATCAGGAGAACGAGGAGAACGAGGTAGAACGTCGAGGTAGATTCACTGTACCAGACAGCTCCGAGTACACGTCGCGCTACTTCCTGCGCAACCTCGAGTACTGGGGGACGGTCGGCGGCTTCTCGGCGTTGCTCGAGGTGCTGCGCTCGAGCGCGTCGTTCGAAGCCTTGCAGTGCGTTCTACGCCTGCTCTACGACGTCAAGGACCATTTGACCACCGAGTTCCTGACGCTCTACTTCCCAGAGCTGATCGACGCCGTTCGTGCCCTCATCACGAGTCTGCAGCCGGGAGAATTCTACGCGCTGTCGAGGGACTCGCTGCTGGAGGTGGTGCAGGTCATGGAGCTTATCCTGGTCAAGATCCAGCACGACTCGGACGCTGCAGCAGATTCTACCGACTCGGAGCGCCAAGTGTGCGAGCAGCGAGTGCAGCTGCTTCGCCTCGAGATCTCGCTGCGGTTCTTCCAGAGCAATTCGCTGGAGAAGCGCATCTACGGACTCACAGAGATCGTCGTGATAATCACGCGGCTGTACAACGAGCAGATCCAGGAGCAGGTAGAGCCCACCGCCGCGTCGCTCTACGCCAAGCTCAAGTTCCTGGTGGACTGGATGCATGACAAGCGGCTGATGCAGGAGCTGCTGGGGGAGAAGATGCACGTGGAGCTGGTCAAGCGCTCGACGTCGCTCTTCCAGTTCACGTCCGAGCTCGAGCGCCTCCCGAGCGAGTGGATCGACTTGGTCTGGAGCTGCTACCACGCAGAGGCAGACGCAGACGCGGAGGAGGAGTCGCGACCGGCTCAGCGCCGTCACGAGGCGTTCAGGGCGACGATCCACGACCTGCTGCTGGAGATGGCGACGTTCATGGAGCTCCCGTCGTTGAATCACCTCGTGCAGCGCATTGAAGCGGTCAAGGCCAAGTTGGACTTGAACCAACTGGGGCTCTTAGCTGCGATTGCAGGGCGGAAGCTGCTGGCGGATATACCCGACGGCTCCCCTGAGGACGATAATTCTACTCGACGGTCGCTCCGACAGAGGATTTTGATGCACCTTTGGACGGTTGTGCTCCCGTCGGTCAAGTCGGAGAACGTCCGTGATGAAGTTCTGCTGCGCATGCACGAGATGCTTCGGCTGGAGGTGGCTGGGGACGACAGTGAGGCGCTTGAGGGCGTAAAGGACCGAGCGATGGTGGACGAATTCCTTGGTTTGTGCCTGGAAAATATCCTTCGGAGGGAGAAGCTGGCGACGTCTCTGAAGCTGTTCACGCAGTTGGCCTCGTTGGTTGTGGAGGTGGATATCGCTGTGGCGACCCCGAGTCAGTGCAACAAGTCGTACGTGCAGGTGCTCCTGGACGAGATTGTCGAGTACAAGCAGCGGGTTCGACTCGCGCTAGACGCGTCCAAGTGGATCAAGATGGAAGACGAAGAGCGAGCGAAGCTGCTTGCATTGGTGGATCATGTGAATGAGATCAAAACCCGACTGCTTGCACTCCGAGGAGCGTGGATTCTGGACGAGTACAGGCAGTCCGAAGCCTCGTCGTTCACTGAAGAGCAGCTGGATAACGTGTGGCAGCTGATGGTCGTGGACGCGTTCTTGCTGGACGAGGGCGCGCTCTGCTTCCAGTGGATTGAACTCTGTATGAGCACGCCACTGCAGACAAGAGCGATCGCCCAGGAGAAGGAGAACGCGCGTCCACCTCGCGCTCTCATGCCGTTGGGCATCGCTGAATATCTCCTTACAACCAAGTTCCCAACTCTACCGGGGGATTGCATCACGCTCTCCACCTTGTGCTGCTTCCACAGTATCTTCCGTCGCATCAACCTCTTGAAAGGAGGGCTGGAGATATTCACAACAGCTGTGTCGGTAGGGGATTCTTCCCTGGTTCCGTCACCGACTGAGAGACCAAGTAGTGGCAGCAGCTCTGAGGGCGAGAAGGACGAGTCGGTGGAGCTCATGACGGGCCAACCCCTCGTCGGACTGGACGAACTCTGGCAACTCGCTGTTAAGGCGACAGACTCGGCGGTAGCAGAGGAGACGATCACTCTACTGGCGAGCTTCCACTTGGCGTTTGCCCCCAGCGTTCGGGATACGGAGCTGCCGTTCCAGTGCAAGATGCGGTTCCTCGAGAAGTGCATGGAGTTCATCGCGGCGGCCAAGGCGGACGCCGAAATGGTGCGAACGCACATGCTTCCGTCTCCACTTTCTTCTGATCAACTGGATAATGCCGATCAGAGCTATTCAAGTAAACTCGCTGCCGACGTAGCTGTCGTCAACCGCTGTGTGGATCTGCTGCGCTACTTCTTGGAGGCCTGTCGAGTAGGAGACGACTCTGCAGCCAAGGAAGACGAAGAGAAGATGCTGCAAAAATTGGAGAGCGAAGGAGTCTGCAGTACTGCCGACAGCGGCGATACTAACCGCAAGAAGACGTTCCGGATCGAGCATTTGGAAGAGCGGCTCCCATACCTGGAGATTTACCCGTCTCCGATGAAGGACCCGCAGTCTGACCCAGCCAAAGTCGGATTCCGTACGGGTCGGCGGCCGAGCTGGACGTTCCGGCAGCAGCACGCGCTGCTGGACGTTATCGTTGACGCAAATGACGAAACAGAGGTGGAAGACGCCCAAAAGGGAGGAGAAGACTCGACTTTACCTCCACGCCCAGCGAGTCGCCCCTCGGAGGCTGACAATTCTCCATTGAAAGTCGACCTCAGAGGCGAACTCATGATGACCGAAAGCCCCGTCAAGACCAACCTGCGGTCTCCATGTGTACGAGCGAATTTGCGGTGGCCTCAAGCTCCTTCACCACAGCGGGGGCCGGATTTAAGGCCTGAAGATATCGACCAAGCGCTGACCGACTTCACGTCTGGAGGTTTGAAAGACGAGCGCAATTACTCAGAGAAGCAGCAGACGAGGTACGGCATCATGAGCCAGATCCTCGCGAACCAAGGCTCGCACTTCGACGTTCTACTGGAGCTCGTTGACTGGGATGAAGCGACTTCGCAACGGACCTGGGATCTGCTCTGTCGACTGCCGACAAACAACGAACTACTGCGTAAAATGATTCGGTTGCGTAGCGAGGCGAAGGACCAAGAGGCTGGAGGAGGGCAAGTAGAATGGGCGGAGCTATTGGACGGATCGAACATCCACAGACTGCTGTATGCGCTTCGATTGGTGGAAGCGCTGTTGATACCGATCGAGACCGACGCGAAGGGCAACCAGGAGCTGAATTCTGGACGTCGGCAGTGGAGGGAGCGCTTCGTCCGCTTGGGAGGCGCCAGACACTTGTACGAGACGCTGCTGAAGTGGCCCCTGGAGACTGACAACAGTGAGGCAGGAGACTCAATCTCGCCCCAGTACGCTCAGAACATTCGAGCGACGTGTCTAGCGGCGGTGATGCGAGTTCTCAACTATTTCTTCCACTGGAGTCGCATGAGCTCGTTAGAGAAGCCGCAGCGTGATAGTTTGTCGCCTTTTGATGTTCGTCTACAGTCCTCGACTTTGCCCGAGTTCGTCAAGTCGATTGAACTGTCGTCGATGCTGCAATCGGCCGTACAGCTGACGGAGAAATTCTGTTCTCGTAAATCCGAGTCCTTCTTTTCGGAAGAAGCGGCGGAGGCGGTTTACTGCGGCGTCCAAATGTGCTGCTCGCTGATCCGCTTCGCACCGCATCTTACGATCACGGTGTTTGAATCGGAGATTGACAATGAAGTGGTTGATGATCGAATCACACTCTCGAAGTGGTTGAAGGCACTGCTAGTGGACTGTCCATCGAAATCTACACGCACCCTAGCGTTTGGAGCTTTATCCGAGATGGCGATGGCCTTTGGCGTCATGGATGTCGGCAGCCCCGCACGAGCGCTCTATGAGCCGCTCGTAGTCTCGGCGTGTTTTCTCGTATCCGAGAATTCCTTTACTGGAGTTTCGTCCTTCGCGGATGTGGAGGAACTGTTTGCATTCTGCAGAGTGCTCTTGGGCTGCAGCGCACGGTCAATAACGTCTTCAGAGGATGCGAATGAGGCTCTAGCTGATAGCCTCATCAGGAGAAGGATTCCAGGTCGACTGGTGAGGAACCTGAGTCGAATTGTATCTCAGCGACAAGAAGCTGCCGCTACGAGGAGTATCAAAAGCCCTCGGCATCAGGAAGAGGGGGTTCTGGGTGGGTATTTGATGCTACTGGCTTTGCTTACGGGCATCTCCGAGAAGATTCGCACTGTGATACTCCATTGTGACCCAAAGTGCTCATCTGCCCACGATTCCGGGGGGAAGATGATTCAATTTGTCCACAATGACCTACTTTTTGGCGATATGAGCAGCGAGCTTGCCACTCCCGTTCCTCCAATATGCAAGACAGGTATCACGCGGGAGCTCGCCCAGCGACTTCTCTTGAACTTAGCATTCCCCCAGACTTCTGTCGATATAAGCAGTCTGAACGGCGATATGATGGATTTACTGTCGTATCTTCACGACCATCAGTTGCGCGTATTGGAGACTGTGAACGCAGCAGGCCGACAATGGAATTATGCGCCGGCGGACTCGTTCCTGGATACCGAGAAGAGCACGCACCACGCTGGACTGGTGAACCCCGGGTGCATCTGCTACATGAACTCGCTGGTGCAGCAGCTCTTTATGATGCCAAGCTTCTGCCAGGGGTTGCTCGCGTTGGACTGCGCACAGATTAAAGCCGACAAGTCGTCGTCGTCGTGGCGGGAGGAGGTGGAGCAGCTCCAGAAGCTGTTCGTCTCATTGGCATACACAAACTACCGCGCGTCTGACCCCACGGCGTTCGCTCTCTCTCACAAGGACATGGACGGCAGCTCAACTGACGTCCACATCCAAATGGACGCGGACGAGTTCTTCAGCCTGTTGCTGGACCGACTCGAGATGTTCATCCGACCCAAACCTGCTACAAAATCTACAGACACTGAGTCGAGCGATGATAGTGACATAGATTTCATGGCCCGTTGCTTCGGAGGCGTCCTAGTCAACCAGATTCTTACGCAGCAGGGTAATTTATCCGAGCGGGAGGAGAAATTCTTCGCGCTGAGCCTAGAGGTGTCCAAGAAGCGGCACTTGACCGAGTCGCTGGAGCTATACGTGCAAGGGGAGACGCTGGAGGGAGAGAACGCGTACTTCTGCGAGCGCGTGCAGCGGAAAGTGTCGGCGACGAAGCGCGTCTGCATCAAGACGCTCCCGCAGACGTTGGTGTGCCACCTCAAGCGGTTTGAGTTCGACTACGACACGATGGAGAAGGTCAAGATCAACGATTACCTCGAGTTCCCCACTGAGATCAACATGTTTCCATACACGAGCGAAGCGCTTGCAGCTACTGACGGAGCTACTGCGAGTGACGAAGGCGGCAAAGCGATAATGTACGATCTTGTGGGCGTGGTGGTGCACTCTGGCACGTCAGACACCGGTCACTACTACTCGTTTATCAAGGACCGACATGATACCGACACTCAGCGGTGGCTGGAGTTTAACGATGAAGTAGTGCGCGACTTTGACGTGGACACGATGGGCGACGAATGCTTCGGAGGAGAGGAAGTGGCACAAAAATGGGATGCGCTTCAAGGCACCTACTCGCCCGTCGTTCAGATGAAGAGGAGGAGCGCCTACATGCTGATCTACGAGAGGCGGTCAGCAGAGGAGCAGTCTGTACCAGAATGTGAAGACCTGACGCTGTCCAGCCAAGTGCAGACACTCGCGACTCAGATCATGCAGGAAAACGCGCGGTTTGAGACCGTTGTGAACGCGTTTGACCCGATCTACGACCGATTCATCCACGACCTGGTGGAGAGCGCCACGAGGATGTCGGGGCAATGTGATCCTCGAGTGGTTCGGCAAGTGTGTCAACTGGGATGTCAGTTCCTGTTCGGTATCAGCTCACTACGGTGTCGAGCATCTACCTCAGCTAAACCTTCACCAGTGGTGACGAATGCAATGACTTCAAGTCACTACAAGGTCAGCGCTCGTATAGCCTTGTGGTTGTCCAGTTTTGACCAAACCCCGGACGTTGGGGTCGAAGAGGAGCAGATTCAACTCAGTAAGTGGGTCCTCTCGGAAATGGTGGCATCGCCCACCTCCTTGTCCGCGAAGCCGGCCTTGCAGCACGCAGAGAGTCAACGCACGTGGCTGTTTGACGTGCTGTTCCTCAGTCCTGAGAGCCCCGAGCTGGCCGAAAGCTGCTTCCTGGTGCTCTCAGCTGCTGTGACTGTCCTAGCTCGAGAAGCTGCAGAGCAGCGTGAAGACGCAGAGAAGTCGCTGGTGGCGTTCTTCCGCGCGTCCCTCAACCTGTTTTACTGTCGGGAGCCTCATCTAGACGTGAGCGACCCCGCCTCTGGCTGCGTCTTGACGCTCTCGATGGAGATGCGGGTGGCAGCGATGAAGCAGTTGGGCGCGTTCCTCGAGAAGTGCGTCAGTAAGGCAATTGGAGGCGCCGGGCAGGGGGCGAAGGTGACCGAAGCTCGTGCGATCCACCGTTTGTTCCTGGAGAAGCTGCAGTTCGTCGACCACCTCCTGCTGAGTCTGCAAATGTCCTGTGAAGTCTCGGAGGTCGCCACGTCTTCAGCGAGTCCCGCTGTGTCGTCGAGGGGTATCGCTCCGTTGGCGATCGAGACGAGATCCTCTTCTCCATTGCGCGAGCACGACCTTCGACTGTGCACGTTCCAGTTGGAGATCAAACTGCTGCGGTGTATGCTGAAATTTCACGACAAGCCAGTGCCTCTGCCTGTGGACTCCACGCTGTTATTCAACCACACAGCACTGAAGAACGTGGTTCTGTTTGAACTGGAAGAGATCGTCTTGCCGATTTTGACGCGCGTCATCTTTGAGAGTGAAGCTGCCTCGCCAAAGTGCGACCGTCTTGTGGCTCTGTTAATCGGGGTGCTGGAAGAGGTGAAAGACACCCATGCAGAGAAGGTATTGGCTGTATTCGGGGAACTCTTGGACACGGAAGAGATGCGTGCGGAGACTTCCGAGCAAGCAAAGGAGGTGTGGGATATCCATCGACACGTCTTCTCGCCATCGCGGGGCATCTTGGAGAGCGTGGCGTACTACCGGGATCATGGGTCGCACGAGTACACACTGCTACTGCTCGAGTTTGTGCTTCGTCGCGCCAGCAGCTCGCTGATGCTTCAAGAGCTCTTCAGGAATGAGCCAAAATTCCGTGACAGCGCGACCTGGATCCCTCAGTGGCTGGTGGACCACCTCGACTCCAACGGCACGATCCGGGCTCAAATGCGGGACAATATCGATGCAGAAGACAGCGATGCTACAAGCGAGAAGGCTCAGGGAGTTCAAGAAGTGAAGAAGTTGTTCGCTGAGGTGGAGAAGGCGTTCGGGGTGACGGTGCCTGCCTACAGTGAGGAGGTCACCCACAACGTTGATGGTGACACGGGGGCGTTGCTGATCTCTCCTCCGTCCTCACCTGCAGCTATAACTACCGAAGACGTGCTGCTGGAGGCGCTCGACCTGGACGGGGAGAACCAACACGACTCGAGCCACTCTGTAAAGCGCGGAAGTCGCTGGCTGGAGAAGATCTCAACCGATATCGGCCCCGAGCATGAAGGCGCCGAAGCGGAGGCCCACACTAGTCCGAAGCCAAACTGGACGTTGCACCGGTCACGCGAGGAGCTGTCGATGCTGCTCCGGATTGACCTCGACACGGCGCACAACAATGCGCGAGAGGCTTAGAAGGACAGTCAAACTCGATATTTTTTTACTAAACAAGTTTTCTTTGAATTCTGTAGTATGGCATTAGCTCGTGTCGGTGGCGCCTCCACTGGGTGGGCGCTTTCGCAATTGATTCGGTCGACAAGGGGCTTTTGGCTTAGAGCCCTTTGAGAATGAAGCTGAATTGGGGGTACGGCCCTTATGCCGTGCAGTCTTGGCCGACGAGCAGCGCTTTGGTCTAGTGGCGGTCGAAAGCTTCATGTTTCCTAGTAGGTCACTTCCACATGTGGCGGATCGACGCAGAGGTTGCTGGTGCTGCAGCTGTGAGAACAAACCCCTCGACGTCTCGACTTCGTCTGCACAAGCGGAAAAGTACAGGAGGCGACTTCGAGGTGACATTGCTGACAGTTCAGTGTTGCTCCAGGTTCCCCCCCCTCCCCCGCTATCGTTGCATTCGAAGTCGTCACTGCCGAGACTTGAAACGGAATGGCAGGTAGACACAGAAGGCGAACGCGGTGTCTCGGTCGCAACTCCGGAAGCGAAATTGTCGACAACCCACGGACCGACGGGTGACAGGGAGACTGACTCCGGCCAGTCTGCATCGCCTTCAGCGTCGACCAAGTAGAGAAAACTGTCGTCGTAGTCGCTCGAGTATTCGTCGCCAGTTTGCCCACCACGCGCTTTATCGCGCGGTATTCGCATGGATCCGGACGTTTGTTTAGGTCGCAGTTGGCGTGGATTCGAGGGTTGCTTGCCGCCGTGGTGGCCCCCAGAACTCGAGCTGGGCCTGGATCTCGGCATCGCACTGCGTAAGGACGCAAAGTCGAGCGAGGATACCTGGCCGTCAGCATTAGTGTTGCCGCTGGATCTGCAGCCACGACCCGAGGTGGCTGTAGGCGCCTCGTAAATGATGGCAGGCACAACCATTTGGATGGTGCTCTCGGCAAAGATCTTGTTGAGGTAACTGCTTGAAAGCGGGCGCTGGAGGAGTACTCCGCTGTTTGTCATCGAGCTTGACCCAATACTCGCAGCCACGGGGACAGTTGGGGCCACTCTCTCCATCTTCTCGACGGGGTTTTTCAAGTGTTTGCGGTGGTGTTTTTGAGGCTGGTCGGAATCAGCAGCAGAGTGCTCACTTCTTGCAGAAGATGTCGGCTTGATATGGTTTTGCTTCTGTTGCTGTTGCTGTTGCTGCTGTTGAAAGACTTGCTGGCGTAGGTCTCGGATGATCTGCTCAAGCTCCTCGTCGGTACGCTGCCGTGGCGGTGAATGCGGTTCACTCAGTGTAGTTGTCTTGGCTGTGGCAGGAGATCGAAAGTGGGTCGTCTGGTTGCTGTGAGCTGCTTCAGCGTTGTTGTTGTTTGGCAGTAATCGCTCGCCATTGTCGCTGCGAGAATCATCGGCTCCGGTATTACTACATGTAGTTGACCCATACACACTCTTTCCAGCACACATAATTAGCGAGCGTTTGGAAGGCTCTGACTCGTGATCGGCTATTCCTTCCGGGCGATCAGCAGCTTCCGACGGGCCCTCCGACTCGAGGCTTGATCTTGAAGGTCCGGCAACTTTCCTTGCCGGTCGTTTATCGGGTGGCTTCTTCGCTCTGCGGGCTTGGCCGTGGATTTGCGAGGTAGTCGGCGCAGCAAATGGAGCTGCCGGTTCTTGGTAGTAGTAGTAGCTGGCATTTCCGTCCCCCGATGCTAAAGTGTACGCTGAGGCTCCAACGCCGACGCTGCCGTTTCCGGTGCTTCCCCACCGCATGGGCAGGACGCCGAGGTGACAATCTGCGTGTGAAAACCTTCGGCCTCCGTGTTAGAGTGTTAATTAGTTTGCTATATAAATACCAAATACGTGGATGCCCAAAATTGGACGAGCATGATCTTGCAGCGTTCTCCTGGAGATTACGCTGCTGCCGTAAGATCAGTCAAAGAAGAAGTTCGGGTACTCGAGCTCGCGATAGAACGTGAACGGGTCACGATAGAACGTGGACGGATCATGCAGGAACCCGAGATCTTCATCACCGAACAGGCTAGGGTGGTGCGGCGGCCGTGGCGTCGCTACTAGCGACCATGAGTCTTCTAGTGATAAAAACGGTGGAGGCATGGGCGGGCGCAGTGGCGGTGCTGGCATCCGCCCACCCGAGCGCCAACGCCAGTGAGCCGGTTGGTGATGCATGAATTCTTGGAGACGACGCTCGCTGTCGAACTGGTTCCATGCCTCCATTCGCTTCAGGTAGGCACGGTGCTGTCGATATAGAGACTTTGGGTGGTCTTCAGAGTGCACGCTTGGGTAGTCTGCACAGAGCACATAGTTCTACAGTTAGGGGTGGTTGGAGGGTCTGCATTCAGAACACAATAGACGTACCACGCTGCAGGAATTGCTGCCACAGCTCCGCATCTTCTTGCAGCTGGTGCAAATACTACAACGGAAGACACGAAGTCAATGTTCTGCATCGAATCAATAGTCAGACACATTCCCGAGTTCTCCCACCTTGCTCGTCTGCGTGACTCGACAAAAGTCCGGGATGCTCAAGAATCCTCCAATGCGAGCAAGGAGCGGCTCTGGGAGACGGCTGAGCTCTGCATCTGAAGCCACCGAACAGGGTCCGCTCGTGGACTCAGGAAAAAAGTTGCGCTCCAGTCTACCGCAAGAAAAAGTTAGCCCTGGGTAAAAACTGAAAAACAGGATAAAGATAATGAGTTTTTTGCCGCTAACCTCCAGCCGAGGATCTCCAGGTTGCAGCGCCACGGTCCAGTGTACAGCACATGCCCCTGGTCTGGGTCTTGCTCATCCGACTGCTGCCCACGAGGCTTCACAAACTCGGACACTCTAAAAACAAATAAAAGTATCGATAACTTTAGCTGAGGCCTTCCTTGAATAAAAGGTCAACTCAAGTGAGCCACCCACTGTAGACTCAGCTGGACGCTCTCGGCGGACGATACGAAGTGGACGAACAGTTTGCCGCCCACCAGCAGCGCGCGCTCGTGAACGTCGGCGTCTCCTCCTGACGACGACGGCTGATAGCGCTGTGCTGGCAGCAGATTTGCGTCCCCTGCAAAGCTCTCGGGGCGCTGGGGGCGACGCGCATCAGGGTCGACGTCCTGCACAGTCCATCCGTGCTCCTCCAGCAGCGCTTGCACCATCCAGAGCAGCGCACCAGCAGCGGAGACGGCGGCAGTCATGGTATCTGCTACGCTTGCGGCCTGTGAGATGTAGTAGTAGTAGTACAATACTACGATGCCACTTTTCAGCAGCAACCGCTCTCTTTCAATTTTTGTTTGTGCGAGGGAGGGGGGGGGTACATGTAAGCTGTACGTCAAGTGTATTCCAAGTTTTCATTGTATAGAACTCGTGCGGTGTTGAACCCAGCCGCAAAACTATGATGTACCGCCGCGATCAGGACGGGGTTGGCTTAGTTGGTGCTATTCCTGATGTAGTACGGCGCGTCCTGGAACTCGGCCTCGCAGTACGGGAACAGCGTGTCGTCGTCCGAGGGCGTGAAGAGCTCCTTGCCGGCGTAGATCATGACGTAGCAGCCGGCGGCGGCGCACACCACGATCACCACCATGGACGCAGCCTTGTCCAGTACCGACATCTTCCTCCAGAACACGCGCAGGTAGATGATCAGCGGCATGAGCAGGCAGCTCGTCGTGTGGGCGGTGGCGCCCGTGAAGTCCACCAAGTCGAGGAACCGCTTACGCGCCAGCACGGCGCACACCACCAGAATGACAATGATGCAGATACGCAGAGCGATGTAGTGCAGCGCGTTCTTCTTGTATGGCTCGTGGAGCTGCTCCTCCGTGATCTCCTCGCCGAACTCGAGCGCCACACGCAGCTGGGACATCCGGCCCTCGGACTTCTCGATCATGCTGGAGGTCGACACCTGGCGGTTGGACATTTCGTTGGGCGTCGAGCTGCGCACGTACGATCCCTGCAGCTCCAGGTCCTGCTCCACGTTGGCGCGGTCCTCCTCACTGTTGAAGCGCACAACCTTGGGGCCCTTGTGCATGCCCAGGATGAGACGCTCAGCCATGTAGAACGGCGGCATCATGAGCGTCGAGAAGGCGATGGTAATGTGCACCTGCATGAACAGGTACGCCATCACCACAGCTCCGCGGTCGGTGGTGAAGCCAAGCGGGGCCAGGCCAAGCGGGGCTGACGTGCTCACGATCGAGTACAGGATGTTACCCGAGAGCTGGCAGCCACCGGCAGTGTAACCGGCCAGCGCAATCGCGATGAAGAAGGCAGAGATGATCAGGATGGTGATCACCACCACGCGGGGCATACGCTGCGGCTGCGAGTGCTCACGGTGGAGATCCGGGACGACAATGGCAGCACCGTAGGCCAGCGCGAGGTTGCCGAAGCACATCAGCACCTGGTGAGCCGAGATGTCGGGGGTGGGAATCGCTCCGTGGCCGCGCATCTTCCACTGGATGACAATGACGGCAATGACGTCGGCAATGACCGTGCCCATGGTGGCGGCGAAGGCCATGCCGGCACTCTCCTTGAGCGTCGGGATGAGGCACACGGGGATGACCATGAGCGCCATGAAGATGATCCAGAAGGTCTGGCTGAACGAGTCCGGGAACAGCACGTCGAGCAGCGTGCTGCCAAGCACCAGGAAGGCGCAGGGCGACAGGAGGCACACGCCCATCTGCGAGAGAGTCGTGAAGAAGCGGCCCCACTTGCCCAGGGCCCACTCGCCCAGGTCACCGTACGTCTTGACGGACGACGGCGACACGAGCAGCACTCGCGACAGCTTGAGCGTGGCGTACGTGTTGGCGAAGATCATGAAGGCCAGCGCGATGGAGGCGTACACGGGGCCGGCGCGCGCGTAGTTGGCGGGCATCGTAAGCGATCCCATGCCCAAGACCGAGCAGAAGAGGTTGAAGGACGCCTTGGCATCGTCCATCGTGAAGAAGGCCGTCTTGCCGCGCTGGGCAGCGGAGACGGTGGACACCATGGTTAGTCGAAGGTCGGGCGAGGAAGTTCGAGGGTGCCGTTGACTGGTTTCGCTGGAAGTCTCCGCTAGAGGAGAAATTGGAAAGTGAGACGTCCTGCATGCCTATCTTCTAGAGCTCGACCGACCGCCACCATTGCGCTGCATGTCCGTTGCTTTAGGGGAGCCTACCACCAGAGCCAGCCTAGCTCTGGTGGTACAGGCTCAGCCAGGTCGATCCATCGCTTGCTCGCCGCTGAATGTCCGGCCGCCACTGCCACAAGAACTCGCGGGGAAGCCTGAACTTTGACAGAGATTAACTATGTACACTGGCGAAAGAAGATGGTGGGGGGATGTGCATGGACACGTAAACGCCTCGTCTCTTTTCGGCTGTCACTTTTTTTTCGTCTACAGAAATGGATCGCAATCGTTTTGGACCAAAAAGGCACCAGCTTTACAGCTATTAATAAACATTGCGCCCCTCGAGCCGTTGACAAGAACAATGTTGTCATTATACCTGCAATCGTGCACAAAGGGCAGGAGAACTAATGGCAGTCTTTGCCGGACACCGACGGTGTCAACGCGTGCTCGATGTTTCCAGAATGATCGAAGGTTACGATGTCGTTTACAAACAAACTGTTTACCCAAACGATTTCTACATAAAAGAACCGTGCCCTTCCAAGCCTCCAAAGCGCGCTTTGAATCGTAAACCTGGTCAGCTTGAAGGCGCCTCCTCTCGTCTTCCACTTCAGCGTTAATCAGCAATTTGTTCTGTTACGCGCAACTTGTCCGGTAAAGTCACTTGACTAGGAGGTGGTATAGAATTTAAACTATATACTGGAACATTCAACACTACTGAATGTGCTGTGTACAGTACCGGTACATGCACTACAAGTGCAAAATGCGCTTTTCTAAACTTTGTGTGCGCAAAGTCGTTGTTTGTCGCCCGTTTTGTTAGAAATTCGGAACGGTTTTTGCATGCACCGACCAGCGACCTGGTTGCTGCAACGGGACTACAACTACATGTACGTCTCCGTTTGCAGCGGCAACTGAAGCACCGGAACGGTTGAGAAGACGATGCGACGCCCGGACACGGCGTTGCCATTTCGGATACTGTGCATGTATTACCTATAGATGTACACAACTGTAAGGAACTGAGTTTAGCGATCATTATTTTTGCTAATGTTTTCCTTTGTGGTGGTTGACAACCAACCACTGGTTGTATCTTTCAGCGGGTGGGAGTTGTGCCCATCCCCCTTAGGGACTGGTCGGGGAATGATCGTCTCAGTCTCGCTCGTCTCCGGTAAGCCTACCCCTAAGGTGAATCGAGCCGATGTGGTCGGTTGGCTGGAGACCGTCTTAGTTTTGGTGTGTCAAGCTGCTCGACTCAGCACCATCACACTCGAGAGCTCGCAGCCATGGAAGGCACCCTTACTGCTCCACCTGTGGGCGGCGCTGAAGCTGAAGACGCTACTGATAGAAGCGTAAGCGGCACGGACCCCAACGGGAGCGGCGTCGAGAGAGCACCCCCGCATGGTGGAGGCCGTGGTGGTCGCGGGGCAGGTCGCGGTGGTCGTGGAGGACGAGGAGCTTCGACCAGGCCAGCTGCATCATGAAGCGATGATGACGTGAGCGAGTTCTTTCGCCTCCGTTACGCAGAGTTAGCTGACAACTTCAAGAACACGAAGGACATCAAGCGCATCAAATATGCGTGGGCCGTCTTAGCATCAACACTCTCTGTTAACCAGAGCAAAGTATTCACTGACCACCAGTGTCAATCTAAGGTAAATATCTACAATGTGAAAATATCTATCGGAATGAGCCACTACTAAGTTATTAATCATGATGTGCGGTGAATATTATTTAAAGATGAAGAACATGAAGCAAAAGTGGCCGTCTGCGCGGGAAGCAGAAGGTCGAACTGGCAACGACGGACCCGTGCGGCGCCCAAATCACTACTCCATCATGAAAGACTACTGGGGTGATGCGACGGGGATGAACAACCGACCGCATCTTAGCACGGAGGACCCGGATACAATTGCTGCTGCTGGTGACGCTGCGAGCGCCGACGTCGCTGCCTTCGCCACGCCTGCCTCACCTCCCCTTCCTCAATCTCCAACGCCCCGCACCATGTCTGGCTCCACGGTGTCGTCTAATAAGCGACAGAAGCGCACCCAGGGGGAGTGTGTGGAGGCGGGTTTGAGTGCGGTTGCTAAAGGTTTTAGCGAAGGGCTAGAAGCTTTGGGCCAAGGACTTGCTACAGTCCGAAATGGGGGTGCCGAAGACATTGCAGCTGCTGTGCAGCAACAGACCGAGCTGTTCCGCGAGCAAAATGAGCGGGCTCATGCCCAAACCGAGCAACTCTTGTCGGAAATGCAAGCTCAGAGCGAGCGACTTCGAGTGCAGAATGAAACGATCCGAGAGCTACTGGATTTGATTCGCCGCGACCATTAAAATCTAGCTACACACGTTTTCTAGACTAGCTCAAAAGCTTCGGTAAAAGCCAAAATGGACTCACGTTTTCTCGAAGCAACATTTCTTAGAAAGCTTGGAGTCATCTCAGAGTTGTTCCCAGTTACAACAATATCTTCCTCTTCATCGAAGTTCACCCGCGCGTCATCTTCATCTTCGAAAGAAGTGTCATCCTTCAAACCCAACAAAATATTGTGGAAAACAATCGTTGCAGCCACAATATCCACAGCCTTCTCGACGCATTTGGTGTTAATGCAGCAGTTACCAATTCTGAAGCGACCTTTCCAGAGTCCAAAAGCACACTCGACTGTCGTCCTAGTTCGGGAATGTAGATAATTGTAGCGTAGCTGCTTGCGTGTCAAACCGGCTCCATTATTTTCCATGAACGGCGTCATGATAGCCGGACTAATAGCATATCCTGCATCTCCTAACAAGTGGGTCCCCGCTGGCAAAACGTCTTTGAAGTTGGAGCCTAAAGTAGACGCACGCCATGTTTTTTGGTCAGACCACGAGCCCGGCTGAATCTCCACGCTAGCAAAGCGCATTTTGTCGTCAACAACAGCCTGCACATTTAGCGCTGGGAACATCTTTCGACAATAGTATCCCTCAAAGTCCTCGGGCCTGTTAATCTCCACTAGAGAGCCGTCTATCGCGCCCACCACTCCTGGAATTCCACCTTTCGCTTGGAATTTGTCTTGAACTCGGGTCCATTCATGAGCATGCCGCGGAAAATGAACGAACTTGCGCAGCGACCGGCGTAAAGTCTTGAGAAATATACCAATCACGTCGATAGCCCATGACTTCGAAATTGCAAACGCAGCCGTAGTTTCTCTATAGCCACCCTGCGAGCCGAAAAAAAAAAGAAAACAAGCAACCTTCTCCTCAAATGAGTGCTCCTTCATAAATCGATCTAGCTCAAAATCTTTCAGCTCCTGACGCAGAACACCACAAAGCCTTAGAAACGTAGCTTGGCTACACGTTAGATTCTGTCGAAACCACTCGTCGTAGACCGCGTCGTAAAGCATAGCCTCAAACTCTAGCGGTGTCAGGGTAATGATGTTCTGCTTTGGGTTCGAAATTGCCCACACAGCAGTGTGGACCGCCGTCGCGAGAGCTTCCGTGGCCGCAGCAACTGCAGCAACGATGCTTTCGCTCTGCACCATCGAAACGCAGTGAAGACGCTCGTCTCCAAAGTGAGACCGGTGATTTAGTCGTCTCAGATTGGTCAGTCTGGAGACGATGAACCTAGCCGATCGAGCTAATAACTGACCAATCAAAAAGAAGAAAAAATGTCGCCACATCGTCTAAGACGATCGAAAGCCGAGACGAGCGTTCCACGACCAGGCCCTTAAGGTTAGCATAGGAATCTGTATCTTTGCCCTCTGCTCGACGATGCGTCAATACATGTAGCAAGCAGTGCTTGCCAAGCACTGCTCGTCGAGCAGAGACCACATTTTATATTAATACAGTACATGTACTCGTGTACAGACGATCCTCTCCGTAGTGACAGCCTCGGGAGACCACTTTTTATCACAATCCAGAGGCATCACAATCATAATTGTACCACAATGACGGTACAATATCGTTTGAAGGTACCAGTATAGTGATAATGCGTACTTGGGAGCTTGTATTGCACTTGATACGTGGTTAAAGCACTAGATAAAAGTATGTGTTGTGCTGGATGCTTTAATATTTACAACTATATGCCACGAAGCGTGACGATACGCCATCCACTATTCAAATGGAACTGGGAGTACTGCACAGGCAGCTACAACGCGAAATCTAGTCTAGCGCCCATGCTGATATGATAAATACACGTTCCAGAATCACAAACATGTCAAATTTAATAACTGGTGTGCGGGCTTTGGCCCGCGGTGTTCGCAGTTCGGTCGCTTTTTTTTTACTGTATCCCAAAACCTGTAGAGTAGAAAACTTTATTTACTACTAGTAGTACTATGTAGTAATAGCTGTAGAAGAGCGTTGCGTGAAGAAGTTCTTGAATTTTAGCACATGCTCTAATTTTTGTATTGTGAAGTACCATGCGTCCAATTGCTGGGTCGCTTACGCTGCTCGATCTGCCGTGGCGGATCTACATGAACTCACACTACAGATATTCATGCTGCATACTTGCACAGCTTCAAGCTGCCAGACTGAACTTCAGTTCATGTTGAATGTATAGTTTGTTTATTTTTCTCGGGTTATCGGGGCTATATGTCCAATTGTGACGCCTGCAACTTGATTTTGTAGAATTGCTATACTGACTTCCACGCCGTTTAGCTCTCCTCACTTCGAAATCGGCTCGCAACAAACAGTCTGCACCCACTATCATTAATCAATAGCGATAATTTTGTTTACTCAACGACGGTTTATCATTGCTGCTGCTGTGTCATCCGACATGTACATGTAGATATCGTATCGTAGAAATGACAGTCACTTGTCTAAACTAACTTAGCCGATATGACGACGACCCTGCTCGCTTGCTGCTCCGATACGGTCGATTCTTCGCAGTTTACATTGATTGACTGATCACCCCTCTTTATTATTGCTGCTGTCTGGTTCCGAAAGCATGCTCTGAGCTCAAATGAATCGGAGTTTGCGCTGCTATGCTGTAATATAATTGCTGTACAACTGTCATTGCTGTTGTTTCAAATGGTTCTTTAACCGATAATGCAACATAAAACCCTATGTTGCATTATCTCAAACATCCGCAGGTGTGCAGTACAGACAATCACTTGTGTCGAGCATTCGTAAGACAGTTTGACGACAAATCAAATGTAGCAATTTCATTGGTTAATATTGTATTATGTAGTCTCGAGTGTTGCTGCATCTCGGCTCGTAAATTGGACTGATTTATCTGTGTGCGCATTTTGCCCCCTTTACTAGAGGCAGCGCACTTGAAAAATGCCCCTTGAAATGTCCGGGCCTTTGATCCTGACGCCATGCACTAACCTCCTGCTAGAAGATTTAAATATACTTGCCAGGAATGGAATGTAAGGACATCATAGCACAGTTATCATGCGACCGTTTGTTCCCGTAGTGGAGCAATGTTTCTTCGCGTTACTGGGGTGAACGACTGTTGTCGTTCACCCCACCACGCCAACTCTCCTTTCTACAGTAAAGTACTAACACTACATAGAAGATGGAGATTCGGATAGAGCGCGCATACGCAAACCAGTCTACGCTGTAGCATCGACAAAAAGCATGGCTGCAGGCAGTGGCTTAGTTGCAGGAGATACCGAGTAACTCGCCGATGCCGAAGGTCGAGCCCAGCAGCGATATGGCGCGCGCCGAGCGCCCGCGCAGCAGTGTGGAGCTCCTCCGCACCTCAGCGTCGTAGGTATAAGATCTAGGTATTATCGCCGTTGCAGAGTACGTGGTTGCATTTTGTTGCTGGACTGTAATGATTAGGTAAGAGGGGGTTGGAGGATCTCGGGAAGCCCACTGGCAACACCGTTCCCTGGCTGCCACGCCTTCACAACTACTATGATGTACGCTCAAGCATAAAATTTACTACATTAAAATGTACATGTAGTACCGTTACGAGCTATTTGTCCCTCTTAGTTTACGTCTGCCAACTTCATCGTAACTCCGTGCCCTACAACGGCTGCACCTCTGAGTGGAACAGCTCCACGGACTGCATGCACGCGTTCGTGCAGTCATTATGCCGATATTTAAGCTTGCTGCCAGCGGCCAACTACAGGCACATCGCTTCGTGTGCGAACAAGAGGCTACTTACCCTACCGCACCATGCAACTGCATCGTTTCGGCGCTCAACGTTGCCACCGCGTCCGCGGCAACGATGCCGCTGTGACCTGAACACTTTTGGCCAATTGTATGGCGCAAACTAGTGTCCGACAAACTGTCTTATGTTTTGACAGACAATATGCAATGTAGCCACTGGTATACAAAAACCAAGATGTAGTCAAAACGCGTTGATCGGAAAACGTAAGACGCTTTGTCTTATGATAGCCATTCTGGGGCTATGTATCGTCTTACGAAAGAACATGAATCCTCTTTGGAGTGATATCCCGAACAGGGATACCCTCTGATTAGCACTAATAAAGGCTCTCCCGATGACCAATGATATACAAATTCAAGTCAAAACTCCTCTAACCTCCGGATAGTGTTTAGTGATACGAGATTAGGCTTAATCACTATCCAGAGACCGTTAACTGTGTGAATGTCCATTTCTTAAAGCATGCCGGGTAAAGTTCCACCACAACTGTGACCATGAATGGACTCAGATCCTCTGGATTCGCGCACATATTCGCAGTTCGTAAGAACTGTCGTTTGCGCCTCTTAGAGGGGGGGGGGGGGGGCAATATTCGTCTCACCTTCCGGACAGTACAGGGATTAGCGCGCATAAGAGCGGACCTCCCAAATCATGTTTCACGGGTATACATGTACATGTACAATGTTACAGACAATTATAACTGCGATACAATCATATCTATAGTTTAATTGAATTCATTATAAAAAATATGAGTTGATGGTCCGCTCTTATACGCGCTAATCCCTGTTCCTATAAGGTACCAGTTTATATTAGAATTCTCATTCCTACATAAAAAATGAATAATTTAAGGGCAAGATGACTGCAATGTACAAACAGCACAGAACTAAGCTTAGCGCACTCGGCAAAACTAGGCATGGATTCAGCGATATCTACATGTACAGCCGTTGGCTCAAAGGTGTGCTTGATTTCGATTGCAAGATACTCATCACGGCATGTTAGAGGGATGTCCAAATAAAAAAAAAAACTTACTTTTGGTGGCCGACTTATTTTAAAAAACCGAAAGATAAATAAAGCAGGTGCCAGATTTGCCAACTTAAAAGTCATTAGAAAAGAAGTAGGTCTGGGACCTGTTTTTCCCGGGAGATCAGACTTTTTTTCTTTGAAAAAGCAGCACCACAATGGCGCGTAGCAGAGCGCGCTCAGACGACGATGAACCTGACGTCATGGACGTCGACAGCGTCAGCTCAGGAGTGACAGACGTCACGCTGGCGGCCACGGCTGCCGCAGTGGAGGTAGAAGACGCACTTCTGGCTAAAGACGGTGTTGCTTTCAGCCCACAATAGCGGTATGTTGCCTTCCAACAGGTCAGTGCTAGCGGAGTTGGGTTTGCGCGGTTGCCTGAAGCTTTGCAGGGGAACGTTCCTGCTGCTACAGGCGTCGAGCGTGAGCATGCCACACACAAGCAAGAGGTTGCTGCAGCCCACGAGCTTGACGGTGAGAGTCGGCACGGTGCTCCCCGGCAAGATGTTGTAGCTGCTCAGCGAACTTTGACAGAATCAGCTTGTTCTTGAAACGCGCTTCAATTGCCAAAGCCGTCAGCTGGATTGTCCACTGCATGCTCTGCACTTCCTTCACCTTCGCCGTTGACGCCGTAGACTTCACCTTCGCCTTTGACGCCGTAGACTTCTTTGAGCTTTGTTTCTTTGCATTGGGCTATGTGGTGGCGGCGCCATCTGTGTCCACTGTGTTACCCGACGTCGGCTTCGTCTTCACCTTGGTGGTCTTGCGAGTGGAGTTCTTCGGGTCGGACTGGTTACGCCGACTGTTGGCCTTCTTCTTGGCGGCTCTGCGCCCAGTTGCTTTGGCCGTTGATGCTGCAACTTGACCGGTAGCTGGGACGGCAATCGCACCAAGTACGGTTTCTTCCTGCGGAGATGGTGTGTGACTTGAGGCTCTCGTTCTCTTCAAGGGGGGCTCACGAAGCCCAGGCGTCCCAGTGCTGGACGGTGAATTATCAGAAGACTCTCCGTTTTGCGAGTTTCCCTCTTCTTGGTATAGGCCGGTAGTCCTGCTGACGCTGGTGGCTTTGTCGTCCCGACTAGCCCGGATCTAGTTGCTTGAGCCTTCCGGGTTGGCATAATGAGTCTGTGCGCGTCGCCTTCGTCTTCTACTGCGAGCTGTACACCATTTCCGGGTCGTTCTGCACAAATGATCGATTCAAAACAATCACGTAGAAAAAAGGGCAGTATACACGTCCGACTCCGACCAGAACAGTACACGGATTCAAAACAATCACTTTCATTTTCTAAATGAACATGTGCCAGTTTTCTGGTACGTTGTGGGAAAGACTGATCAACAATTGACACTGCGTCGTATTTATGTTCCCAAATTAATACTGAGATCAGCCAGAATTTTCTCGAAAAGGACAATTGTTGATCTGCTTCCCTCTGTGGTATCACAGAAAGGGCAGCTGATCGTTTTGAAAATGGCTGTGGTCATTTTGAATCGAGAATTTGATCAGAAGTCGGCCAAGTATACGCCATAAGTATACTCACCCTTTTTCTTCGTGATCGTTTTGAATCGAGCATTAGTACAGAACGACCCGGAAATGGTGTAGTGGCCGCCACCGCAGTCGGTAGGCAACAGGAAACACCCGCAGTCGGAGCTTTCAAGGAAACCGCCTCTCTAAAAGAATGTTGCAGTATGATACTCCGTAGGTTACAGCGAAAAAGTCGGTTGGATGACTTTTACCAGGCTTAGACATAACGCCGACTTTTTTCGCTTACTTTTTCGCTGTGACTGAAGAAGTCAGCCAGCCAATAAGTTATCACTTTTTTATCTGGACATCCCTCTTAGCTATACTTTGTAAGCCCCATGCGCCCATGGTTATGGAGCGGTCACCATGAACCGAATATTATCCCCGTTAAAGTAGGCTACAGCGTACAGCGAGCGTGGCAGAGAATTGGCAGCAGGATGTATTTCATCGTAGTGCGCGACGTGCTAACAAATTCGTAGAACTTATACAGTAGAAGTCCGTGAAGACCAGGATCGTTACGCAAATGCGCAAAATCTGCCCCTTTGCGTCACGATCCTGGTGAGACCGCGTCAAACAAAATGATGCTTACTTAGTACAAACCATTTGGAGTTTTCGAGATACCGTACCTCACCCGAAGATTACTTTTGGTATTTCTCATTTGGCACTCAAATTACCGTTAAAAAGCTCTCATTTTCTTCAAGACTGTTTTCTTCTTGTTAATATTCAGCTGTTATACGCGTTTTGATTGGCTAAAACTACGTTTAAATTTCAAAAGAATTGCCTAAGGTTGTGAAATGGCAATCTAACTGTTGTAGTGGGTTGAAGTGGATAGCCCCAATTCAGCCCGTGCAGTGGGCGACAGGCTGATCTTCAGATTGGCAGTGGCGGGTTGCCACTGCCAACCACCGAGGTCGATCGTAGGCTTGTAGCCCGAGCTGGCAGTAGGGTGTGCCAATGTTTGCACCCTTTACATAGTGGCACATACTATACAACTACCCCTGGAAGCGGATGATCTGATACAAAAGGTCCCTTCAAAGCTGTTAGTCAAGGAGTAACTATGCTGTATAGACTGTACCAGTGTAGGTTTGCTAGAACCAACCATCTAAACTCTGCTGCTGACAGTGCGCCATCTCTAATCTAACTCACTTCGTCTTTTGACGACTCCTCCACACTCCTCTCGTCCTAGCCTCTCCGTTAATCTCGCAACAGGTTATGAGCTCAAGCCAAGCCTCCAGCGACGACTTCACCAGACTCATCGGAGCCGACAACTTCGACGTCTGGAAGGCTCCCGTGTGCGCAGCCCTCGACGGAAAGCAGCTACTCGGCTTCGTGACGAAGCCCGACTACGATGGTGTCACCGAGGACAGCGGGAGCGACATGTCCGACGCCGACGACCCGCCGAAGACCACGCCGGCAAGACGCCTGAGATCGATTCCGACGCCGCTGGCTACGACGAGAGTGACGACGATGACAAGTGACACGATGCGGCTCCAGATTTCTGCCCGAGCCCCACGTTGACGGCCTGGTTCTAGCTGGATCCAGGATCCAAGTGGCGGAAGAGCCTGGATATGCACTCAGCGCCCTGAATCAGGATGATCAAGGTGTGTCCAGGCTGGACCAAGATTGATGACCCTGAAGGCTGCCAGCCTGGACCCCCCCCAGCCAAGATCGAGCCAGTCATGCCACAAGAGCCGAAGACGTGCCCGACCAAGCTCGTCGATGCCTAAGCTGCCTGACCAAAGCCCGTGTATCCTGAATCGACAACGTGTATCCCGAATGGACGACTCTCCAAGCTCCAAGATTTGACCATAGAAACCAAGACATTAACGACCGACCAAGCCGACCGTCCAAGATCTGCTCGGCACATGGAACCTTGAACTCCCTCCCAGCTGTGCTGCCGATCCCCGCTGGATCTTTGCGACTCAACCGACGACAACCTATACTGAAACCAAGATAAAACTTCCAAGACTGCATGTTACGATTAGTGATAGCCTACAAAGATAAGACCAAACAGAGTTCGTTTTTCCTGCTACATCGCAAGTGTCTTCGGTTGGGAGCCAGGCTATTCAGAGCTGGTTCAGACTCAAAGGAGCCTTGTGTCTTTGGTTCTCCCCCTGCAGTCAGGGCACCTCGGCTAAGAACGTAAGGGTCGTGTGTGGAGCTCTCATAGTAAGTATCAAACCAAGTTAAGGCGAGTACCTGAGCTGTCGTGCGGCCAGGGTTGATAAGCTTTATTTCATATTCTAGTTGGGGTGTTTGTCCTGGACAGCACTGCCATTTCATATTAAGCTACTCCTAGGGCGGTTGAGGTAGTCACCACCTAGTGATTTGTCGATAGGCTACTGAGTGATAGGAAGGACTGTGTTTTGTATTGATTCGGCTTTTTCCCTCTTGATTGAGGGTGGTGCGCGATTGATTGAGGGTCTTGGACTTGCCAGTGTCCTGGATCTACCATCTTTGTTGACTGGTGCGTAGGGCCCACCGTCCAAGGGCCAACCAAAGAATAAGTGACGGTTGTGTGTATTGTATATTTGTGTATAACTCTGTATTGTTAAGGTTATCTCTCCGGATCCAGGCTATGAAAGCTGCGTTCTGAAGTGTGCGTTAGCTCCGCTTCCTGGTCCTAGCGATATTATCCTGTTTCCCGCAACCCACGCAGTGCAAGTCTCACGTTCGAAGACAAACGACACCCAAAGGGATTCCACAAAAAACACACGCCACCCATGACAACACCAAGTGCTCGTCCAGGGTTGTTTCGAGGGGACAAGTCTAGATCCTTTTCGGGCCACTGTACACCTGGGCGGCAAAAGGCGTTCACCCGCCTCGCCTCAGCTGGTGCGCGTGCCCGGATTCGAATCCTTTGGGACTTCACTGAGTTGCGGTTACATTTATTGTTATGATTGAGGTTGCGAAGTCTACTAACCCTCTGACCGAAGCGTTTATGGCGAGAGAAAACGGAGAAGACATGCGCGAGGAAGGACGCGATGGCGAGGGACGCGGTGATGCGTCGCGCCAGTCGCGTAGGTCTCAGGGGCTGCCGCCGGAGGAGCACGCGAGCCTGGACGAGGTTGTCCGGGCAGCTCGGAAGGCAGGCGCTGCAAAGCACAAGGCGGCCCGCGAGGCAAAAGCCAAGTCGTCGGAGAAGGAGCCGACTCCAGCACCGTCCGTCCAGGATGACGCGCACCAAGTGTCCCCGGATGGCGAGCTGGACGTCCAGGATCCTGACCCGAAGGCTGCTCAAGATCAGGGTGAGTCCGTCCAGGATGAGCCCGCCAAGGCGTCTGCGGGAGGCGCCGATGAGGTTGAGCCCCCGGCGGCGGATCGAGTTTCGGACTCTCCGCTGCCGGATCAAGATGCGGAGTCCAAGGAGACCCCGAACCTGGAAGACAAGCCGCTGCCGACTGTCCAAGAAGTGGCCGAGCTTGAGGACTCGCAAGAGACCTCGCCGTCCACCCAAGCGACCACGACGAACCCTGAATCCTCGGTCCAGGAAGCTTCGACCAAGACGACCCCAAATCAAGTCGTCCCAGACCAAGCTCCGGATCCAGGCTCGCTTCGCCTGACCAGAGGTTCACCGAGGTCCAGGAAAAGGCGTACGTCGCGCAGCAAGTGTCCAGGTGGGAGCGGGTGGAGTCCGAACGCGTGACCCCGCCCGCTGTAGAGTACTCCTGATCGACACCCAAACCGGATGCACAGCCCTGGATGGCCGCCATGTTGACCACGTCCAGGTACCTCAGTGCGCGAGCACTCTTGGAGGACCAGGATGGAGGCTGGATCGCGGAACTTCGTCTCGACCGTCGGGACTTGAGCACCGCCCAGGATCTCATGACTGTCCAGGTTCCGGTCCAGATGCTGACGCCGCGGGAGTGCATGGCCATCCTGCAAGCTCTGCTGTTCGAAGCCGGATTCAGGTTTGATAATCTGGCTCCGGTCTGGTTCAGGGCGAGAGCGGCCAAGGTCGCTCCAGCCAAGCTGGGAGTGGTCATCCAGGACGTACTGCGTCTGCTGGCCCTGGAACCGGTGGAGTGGCGTTCACTTGTTGTTGGCGCTACGTTCAAGATCATCCCTGTCGTGAAAGCGCAAGCATCAGAGACTCCCGAATCTGAACAAGCATCCATCCAGGACTACCACGCTGAAGATCAAGACGGAGATCTATTGATGACGGATTACGATCTAGGCCTACTCGGCCGGGAATACGTTCTCCGCCTCAAGCTGACTGGTCTTCGTTCGGCGAGGAGTCCAGGATGGCGAGCCTGAACCGAAGCGCCAACAACACCATCCAGCCCGGCCGCCGCTTGCGTCGCTGCCGTCCGCGTCGAACCCGTCTGAATTGGCGTCGCCCAGGACCTCCAGTCGGAGTGATGTCGTCCAGGCGGAGGAGGCCGCCCCGATCCAGGAAAATGCGACTTCGGACCCTGTCACGAGCTTGGTCGGTACTTCTGGATCCCCGGAGGCCTCCCTGTACGGAACGATGTCTGGATCCAACCCATCCAGGAACAGCTCCGAGAGCTCGTCCTCGATCGGACTTGGATTCAGCGCTGGCGCCCTCGTGCCGCCCTCGACGTACGGTCCGATGACTATGTCGATTTAGGCTGGGCGTCCTGGATTCGCGGTCGGTGGAGGCGCGGTGGGTTACTACGTGACCCAGCGTGTCGTGTCGAAGCGCGCCGTCGAGGTAGACCAGGATGACGTCGAGATGGCCGAGTCCGTTCAGACCTCCAAGTCGCGGACGGACAGATCCAGGACCAAGTCCTCGTCCAGACACCGCCGGCACCGCTACCAGTCCGAATCAGGCTCGGAGTCGTCCAGCGAGTCGGTGACCAGCAGCGCCAGGAGCCGTCGTCACCGACGCTCCTCGAAGCGGTCCTCGAAGTCGAAGCGGAGGTCTTCGTCCAGGCGGTCTAGCCGGTCAGGACGCTCGAGACGCTCGCACGGATCCAGGGCGTCCAGTCGGTCGTACATGTCGATCTCGTCTGGGGTGGCCGAAGTTGCGGTCACCACGATGAACGACGTCACAGCGCCTACAGACCGCCCTGGACCTCATGGCCCTGACCCAGCAAGCCACGTCGGAAGCCCAGAGCCAGCGTGAAGTCAAAGCCCAGCGCAAGCTGGAAGAGGCTGAACGCCGGATCCAGGAGTCCGAACGTCGGATTGCTGCTGCCCTGGCTGGAGGTCCCCGTCTGGACCCGGTCCAACCAGACCTGGACGCCGTCGTCCAGGCCGCTCGTGACGAGGCCGCCCAGGCTGAACGTCAACGCCTCCAGGCCGATGCCTTGAATTACGATCAGCAGCAACAGGTCGAGGTGGAGGCGCGCATGGAGGCCGAGCGCGCAGCGTGGGCCGCGGAGACAAAGAGGAGTCTGGATGCCCAGCAGAACGCGTTCCAGCGGAGGTACCAGGCCTTGGCGTCCGAGCGAGACAACGAGCGAGAAGCTGCGAAGCACATGAGGCGTTTCCAAGCGTCCCAAATTCGGGACCTTCGAGCAACATCCACTCAGGTTCAATCTGGTCGGGCGCCATTCAACCCTGATTCGGTAACCCCGGTTAAGTGGAAGAGCCAAACCCTGAATCGGCAACCATGAGGAGTGGCGTCAGTGCGGGACAGATCGCCAGTAACGGTGCACAGCCGGGACCGAAGAACATCGCCGAAGCTCAACTTCGTGCGACCATCCCGGAAGTGGATCTGGCCAGGCTTACTTCCAGCACTAAGACCCGGACCCAAGTGCCTAAGGCTGAACCGACGCCCAAGGCGACGAAGGCAGAGGTGCCCAAGGCGACTGTTCCCGCTAAGTCCGGATCCAAGCCGCCGCCGAGGAAGCCCCCGCCCAAGCCATCCAGGAAGAAGACCCAGAAGGATGAAGATCCGTCGTCAAGCAGCTCAAGCAGTTCTGACTCAAGCGACAGCGATTCCAGCTCAAGTGATTCTGACAGCAGTCTGGACGGGGGCGACCTGGTCGAGGCCTCGGCCAGGAAGATCAAGGCGGGGGAAACCTCGTTGACGATCCACCCCTATGTGAACTCGAGTGCGCTGGAGAAGTTCGACGAGAAGGCGTCCCTGGGCGACCGCCGAAGCTGGTGGGGAAGGTTCACGAACCTAGCCAGCCAAGGAGGCTGGTCCAACCGGGCCCAGATCAGCGAGCTCAAGATGAAGATGTCATCCCCGGTCCGGAATTGGCGTGGGCAACTCCCGAAGCAGGTCCAGAACGACTGGAAGTCCCTGGCCGGCGAGTTCAGGAAGAAGTATCTCAAGGCCAGGACCCCCGACTCTGAGCGCTACTGAACGATGAAGCAGAAGGGTGGCGAGTCGGCTCTGGAGTATTTCTACCGCCTGAACGACGCGGCTGGCAAGGCTAGCATCAACTACCGGTCATCCAGGAAGGACGTCTCGCATCACGTTAAGCGTTTCATCAAGGGCCTGAAAGATTCAGACTTGATGCAGGCCCTGAAGAGTCAGCGATTCAAGCGGATCCCGGGTCTGCAGTTCGCCCTGGAACAGGATGAAGAGGTGACGCTGGGTGGGGGTTACGATACCCCTCCATCCAGGACGCGCGACTTCCGAGCGGACAATGCTGGTCAGGGGCGATTCAAGCCTCGCCGGACCGGACGTGCTTTTGTCGGCCTGGATGGGAGCGATTCAGACCAGGATCAGGAAATCCATGTCCATTTCGAAGATGAACCAGAGTCCAAGCCTGATTCCCCTCCTGCTGCGGTGAACGAAAACCTGAATGGAGTGGTTCGAGACGCCATCGCAGAGAGTACGGCTAGGGAGGACGAGATGAGGAAGGCTGTTTTCCAGATCTTGGAACATTCAGGCTGGCGTCCCCCGAATCAGGATTTCCGGTCAGGGGCGAAGTCACCCAGGCAGGGTGATCCTGACCGGAACAACCTGGATCAGTCCGACTATTGTGAAAACTGTTACGAGTTTGGACATCGCGCTGAACGCTACTGGATCGACCTGGTTTGTGACCGCTGTGGACGCATGGGGCATCCGACTGACAGATGCCGAGCCCTGCCCTGCAAGAAGTGTGGCGAGTTCCACGTTGGACGATGTGAAGAGCACAAGGCCATCCAGGCTATCATGGACCTCATTCGCAAGGGTGCCCTGAAAGACCTGCCCAAGGCCATCCTGGATCCCATCCAGGGTGGTCAGGCCGATCCTGGTCGGTCGTTAAACGAATAAGCCCGCTGGATGGGGATCCAGTACGCGTCGGGCTTAGGAAGACCCCAGGATTGTGTGTCTTAGTGTATGTCGGCCCTGATTTGAGGATGAAGAAACGAGATAACCAACAATGCATGACTTCTATAATTCAAGATGGACCCGCTGCTGACCCTGAACCAAATCGGCCTGAATCGCAGACCCTGAATGGAGAAGACCGGATCGGGGAAGCCCCGAATGGAGAGACCCTGGATGGGCCAGTCGAATTATGGCTGAATTTCGGTGAACGATACGGATGGTGGGAAGGTCACGAAGCAGACGAAAATAGTCATGATGTTGCGATGGTGTATGGTGCAGTGAACGATTTCCGAACAAGTATCCTCTTGGACACTGGTGCGTCTGTCTGCATGGTCAGCCTGGATCTAGCGCGTAGACTCAAGCTGAAACTGCAGATGCACAGACAAATCAAGGTGTCTGGTCTAGGGGGCGTTCCGACTTATATCTCTGCCCGGGCTCGAATCAAGCTTACCCGCGGTCTCCGAGTGGTGTATGTCCTGGATGTGTGGGTCGCGAACATTGGAGAAGGATTGGATGTGCTGTTGGGCATGAACTTCATGTATTCTGCTGGAGTCAGGATCTGTGTGCGAGAAGCCCTGGTCCAGCTCCCGGATGAGGAGACTATCGTGATGCGGGGTGGGCCACTGAGGCGACGTCCAGAATTGGACCTGCCTGTGGCCCCCAGACGAACGCTTTATCTTCAGCCAGGAGAACACGCGATCGTCCGGATCGAGTATGGTCGAGCACACCCCGAACGAGATGTGGTTTGGGCCGGCCGGGGAGATCGCTGGGTGACACAGGTCATCTACGCATCCCGGTCCTGGCCGGTGGCGATTAAGGTGATGAACATTTCGTTGTAGATGATTTGGATTGACTCTCGGACCCCGGTAGCCAGGATTGTGGTTTACGGACACTATCCGGCTTACGGTCGTTTCGTCCGACCTGGACGGGGCGACTACAAGGAGAGGCAGAAGTTGATGCAGGAGTGCGCCCTGACTCCGGAGGAAATAGCCGAGGCTGACCGACTTGATGAGCTGGCGAAGGCACAGGCACCATCGCCCGTCCCGAAGCAGGTTTACAAGTGGCCATCCAGGCTCCGGATCAAGACTGGACCGGAAAGGAAGGAAGAGAAGCTGGTTTGCCTACAACAAACACCGCTCCCCCAGGGGCGGCCATCCAGGATCATGTGCCATGTCGCTACTCAAACGATCACGACTCAAGATGTGTGCGTTCAGACCGATGAAGCGTAGATTCAGGACAACAATGCGCAGGGAACCGTGGATGAAGTGCCGGATACCCTGGAAGATGTGACAGACTGTCCGGAGAACGATCGTGGTGACTCGTCGGAGGCACACGAGCCGGATGTCGAGCTCTCCGCCGTGGAGGATATCTCAACGCAGACTGAGATTCAGGAAGAGATTCAGGAAAACGTT